GTCTCTGCTCATAAAAGTACTCTGAAAGGACGATTGTATCAGGCCCTCTCTACCACCTGGGCGTCGCGTCGTCTGCATATTCTCCCGGCTTATGACTAGTCCACCCACCCACCCACCCACTCACTTCTGACGTATATAGTACACTCGGCTGCATTTATACCTGGTACACTGTCTGGCGCGTTTTGTGAGGTGTAGCAACTATGTGGAATGGTTATGTAGTATCACCAACTCACTACTACCTTCACCATCACCACCACTTCCCTCACCATCACCACCACTTCCCCACCATCACCACCACTTCCATCACCACACCCCCACCATCACCACCACTTCCCCACCATCACCACTTCCCCCATCACCACCACTTCCCCACCATCACCACCACTTCATCCACCCTTCCCTACATCTACCCTTCCCCCACCATCACCACTTCCCCATCCCACCACTTCCCCCCATCCCACCACTTCCCCTCACCACCACTTCCCACCATCTACCACTTCCCCCCATCACCACCACTTCCCCCATCACCACCACTTCCCCCATCACCACCACTTCCCCCCTCACCACTTCCCCACCATCACCACCACTTCCCCACCATCACCACCTCCTCCCCCACCATCACCACCACTTCCCCCACCATTACCACCTCCTCCCCCACCATCACCACCACCACCACCACCCCCTGCCAGGTTCACCGTGGTGGGCGTGGTGTGAGAGCAATACTTCCGGGTGTGGTGCTGCTGCAAGGTGACCTCATTATAGTTGTAAATAGCTAACCAAGCCAATTTCCCCGTGGGCGTGAGGGAGGGGTGGGCGTTGAGGGTAAGGTAGGGTGTGAGGATAGGGTAGGTGTGGGGTGGGCGTGAGGGTAGGGTTGGTGTGAGGGTGGGGTGGTGGGTTTGAGGGTGGGGTGATGGGCGTAAGTGATGGAGTACAGTGTCGTCTTCGTCACCATCTAGCAGTCGTCCCTCCCTCCCTGATATAGACACATAAGAAATAACAAGAGCTGAGAACAGTCAACCGGCAAGGGAGCTTAGAGGACGGAACAATATCAGGGGTAAAATTTGTCTTGGTGATGAATGAATCGTCAGGCTGGAGGTACTGTAGTGTTGCTCTGGGTACACGTGAGGGAGGGAAACCCATCGTAATAAGTGTGTGAGTATGTCCCTCCCGCTGCTGAAGATGAGCAAGAATGTTTACACTGACCAGAGGAGGAATGTTAGTCCTTTATTGCCCTACAAATTCTTCAGGAGGTATAAACAGTAAGGCATCGTGATCTGAAGCAGGCGAGGTGAGGTTGTGGTGATGAGTTTTTCCTTAAATAAACTTCTATTTGAGGGTAGATGAGAGGGAGGGAGAGAGAGTGTAGGGAAATAGGTCTTGGAGAGAATCATGGAGTGAGGTGGTGACTCCTGGATGGTGAAGACCCTGTAGTAGGTTGTGGCAGGAGCAGCACTGGCGTGTCTCCAGCCAACACAGCCTTGGGCCCACCGCCAGCACCCTCACCACCTGCCCTACCAACACACTCCTGGCTGACACATTCTGCCATATTATTACAAAATTTACATTGGCTGGTGAACGCCGTACACAACTCTCCCCTCCCGCCTCCACACACACACACACACACACACACACACTCTCACACTAAAAAACACAGCAGAATCGTGTTAAAGCCTCAGTCAGCGACTAAAAAGAAAGGGGGGTGACCATTAGTGTTGGTTTTACTTATCCCTGTTACGTGGCGCCTCTGGTCGGGGTCATTATAGTATATACTGCAGCAGTTTATTAGATCCCTGTATGTAGAAGGTAATATGGCAGGACTCCGGGACCTTAAGTGACAGCTAAAACAGGAGAACCTTACGTGACAGCTAAAACAGGAGGACCTTACGTGACAGCGAAAACAGGAGGACCTTACGTGACAGCGAAAACAGGAGGACCTTACGTGACAGCTAAAACAGGAGGACCTTAGGTGACAGCTAAAACAGATGTTGTATAATGCAGTTGAGAGGCGAAGAGACCGTATACTGTTGTAACCTAATAGTGTTGTGATAATGGCCTCACTATCGCCAGCTAGGGGTCATGTTTATCACTCTGGGGTAACACCTGTTGTCAGTATCTTACTATGATGGAGAGTTGTGTTAGGTTAGGTTAGGTTAGGTTAGGTTAGTAGCGCGGTCACCCCATTGAGGTGTGTAGGTAGGTGTTAGGTGTGTGTGAGTTAAATACCTTCTTCAACACCACCACTTCCTTCACCACCACCACCACCTCCTTCACCACCACCACCACCTCCTTCAACACCACCACTTCCTTCAACACCACCACTTCCTTCAACACCACCACCTCCTTCAACACCACCACTTCCTTCAACACCACCACTTCCTTCAACACCACCACTTCCTTCACCACCACCACTTCCTTCACCACCACCACCTCCTTCACCACCACCACTTCCTTCACCACCACCACCACTTCCTTCACCACCACCACCACTTCCTTCACCACCACCACTTCCTTCACCACCACCACCACTTCCTTCACCACCACCACCTCCTTCACCACCACCACCTCCTTCACCACCACCACCACTTCCTTCACCACCACTTCCTTCACCACCACCACCACTTCCTTCACCACCACCACTCCTTCACCTCCTTCACCACCACCACTTCCTTCACCACCACCACTTCCTTCACCACCACCACCACTTCCTTCCCACCACCACCACTTCCTTCACCACCACCACTTCCTTCACCACCACCACTTCCTTCACCACCACCACTTCCTTCACCACCACCACTTCCTTCAACACCACCACTTCCTTCACCACCACCACTTCCTTCACCACCACCACTTCCTTCACCACCTTCTGTAAATGAAAGATAAGCACTGTAACCAAACCTGCCCCTCTGTCACACCTACAGTATATATATCACACAGAAAATAGATACTTGGTATAGATAACAAGGAAATAGATACTTGGTATAGATAACAAGGAAATAGATACTTGGTATAGATAACAAGGAAATAGATACTTGGTATAGATAACAAGGAAATAGATACTTGGTATAGATAACAAGGAAATAGATACTTGGTATAGATAACAAGGAAATAGATACTTGGTATAGATAACAAGGAAATAGATACTTGGTATAGATAACAAGGAAATAGATACTTGGTATAGATAAGATAGATAATTCCATGAGGTGTAATAAAAGTATAGAATGACGAGACAAGACCTGAGTAATGTGTGAATGTTTGTGGCTCACTTCCCGGAGCAACAGTGATGAGTGGGAACATTTGGTGGACATGCCAGGGGAGTGACTCATGACTCTAATGATGCCCGGGGCTATGGGGTATGTCTTAACCTAACCTAAACCGGCACAACCTAATCCAACCCCCCAAAAAACCTAAACATCTTGGTTAAAAAGGATATGGCAGGTGAGAACAGGTGAACATACATTGGCATAGGTGAAGTTTGTCTCAAGTTGTAAATTGTTGATACCTGACAGACGATGGTTGAGGTGTTGACTGTATCCACACACACACACACACGCACGCACGCACGCTCACACACACACACACACACACACACACACACACACACACACACACACACACTGATTTGCTTGGCACTGTAGTTTGTGGGGATAGTGTTGTGTACATACCCCGCGAGGCTGACACTCCAGTCAGCTGTGAGGGTCATGGCTAAGTTAGGCTAACTATGCAAGGTGGCGCTGCTGCTGACTTTACTGGTCACTGCTGACTCTCCTTCTCTCCCCTCATCTCCTCTTCCCTTCCTTCCCCTCTTCTCCCCGTCCCCCGTCCCCCCGTCCCCTCCCCTCCTCTCCCCTCCCCGAGGTGTGAGTAGCGTCGTCAAGAATGGAGATATCTCTTAACCCAAATAATTTCTCTCCGGGTCGTACTAGAGGGTGACTATATAATTCAATGTTACCTAATGCTTTATTTGGGACATGTCCATATACTGATATAGGCTGTGTAAAGGTAGATTCATTTATATTGACCAAGTTCTCTAAACGTCTCATGATATAGTCGCATGTGTCTATTTTTGGGGCTTAGAGACGAGTAAATACACTGGGAATGAAACCTCGACTTTCTTCATTATAAACCATGTTCTGGTGCCCTTATTATAGAATGGATATCAATTCACTAGAGTCGGTGCAGCGAAGAATGACAAAAATGATTCCGGGACTTAGAAACCTTCCATCTCAGGATAGGTTAAAGAAACTTAACTTGCATTCCCTAGAAAGACGAAGAGTGCTGGGAGATATGATAGAAGTATTCAAGTGGGTGAAAGGAATCAATAAAGGGGATATAGATAAAGTTCTTATAATATCCGAGCAGGATAGGACTCGTAGCAACGGATTCAAGTTGGATAAGTTTAGGTTTAGGAGGGAGATAGGAAGGAACTGGTCCACAAATAGGGTGGTGGACGAGTGGAACAAGCTTAGCAACTTTATAGTAAGTGCTGGAACGCTGGAAAGTTTCAAAAGGAGGCTAGATAGATTCATGGATGATAGAGAGTGGTAGTAACTCTCGACAGGAGCTGCCATGCACAGGCCAACCGGCCTATTGCAGACTCCTTATGTTCTTATGTTATCACCGCCTTCCATCCAAGATCCAATAGTCTTATCATCATCACTACTGGGTCAACACTCACTCAGGGGTCTTTGAGAATCTCGCTGTTTTTTCTGCTGTTGATTCTTGCACAAATACTCGTTCCTGGCAGCTTAGGATGGTGTTGTTTTGTTACTATACGACCATTACTCTGCTACAGCTGTTTCTTCGTGTCTAGTGCCTACTTATTTTTGCTGTTTCTCACATTGTTCTTCCTCCTCCTCCTCCTTCTTCTTCTTCGGCTTGTTCTCCTCCTCGGTTTTTGTGCGCTCTCTCTCTCTCTCTCTCTCTCTCTCTCTCTCCCTCTCTCTCTCTCTGTGACGGAGGTAACTTGTATAATAACACTTTGTCTTTTTGTCCTGCAGGTGAATGGCGGGTCGGTGGCGGCGACTGCGGGGCTGCAGGCAGGGGACGCCATCGTCAGCATTGGCGGCAAGGACGCGCTCTCTCTCAGGCACAAGGAGGCACAGGAGGCTATCGTCAAGGCTGGCAACTCCTTCGATCTCATCGTCCAGAGGTAAGTACCTGAGACCAGGGGCATGGTGTGACGCCGAGACCAGGGGCATGGTGTGACCCCCCCCCAACCTTTCCTCGCAGTGATAGATAGAATGGTGGATAGTCGCCCCTTACCACAACACACCGTCCTACCTCACCTTATATTATTATGAGTATTAAGGATCACACACACACACACACACACACACACACACACACACACACACACACACACACACACGTGGTCGTATATATGAGGGACGAGGAGGTAGCTATTGAGACACCGACGGCCACTATTTTACGACGGGAAGATAGACAGACTACAAGGTGGATAATGGTGGATGAGGTGGATAAGGATGGATAATAATGGTGGATAAAGGTTGGTGGGGGCAGCTTAACGACACGCGCTGGTTGAGGCACTTAAAGGTTTAATTTGGTTAAACTGGGTGAAGGAGATGAGTGAGGTGGTGGTGGTGTAGTGTGGTGAGTGAGGTGGTGGTGGTGTAGTGTGGTGAGTGAGGTGGTGGTGGGTGTGGTGTAGGGTATGTAGTGTAGTGTAGGAGTACTTTATCGTGGTCTGGGAGGCTGTCGGGGTGAAGCTAAACCTAACCTAACTACACCAATCTAACGTGACGTAACGTAAGAATTATGCATGGAAGGTTTAGTAAGGGCAGCGTCAGAGCAGCGGCGTCACAAGGCCCTGTGTTGACCGGATGAGGTGCCCCAGATGGACTCAGTGTGTGATACCTCTTCCCCTCCACCTGTCTGAGGGTTCTTATCACTGGCCAAGATGCTGATGTAACACACACTTATATACATATACGCATATATATATACACACACACTGTACATACATATATACATACACGGTGGTGGTGGTGGTCACTATTGGGTAACTCTTGTAAATGTTTCTTAGTACAGAGCTCAAGGGGAGGTTCTCTTGCCGACCCTCCACCTTCCCTCTGTCGATCCTAATGCCCTCTCTGTCGACCCTTATGCCCTCTCTGTCGGCTCTGATGCACTCTGTCGACACTCTCCTCCTTTGGCCCTGTCGATCGTGCCTCTGTCGACATAAAAGATAAATTGTACTTCGCTTAGTGTGTGTGTGTGTGTGTGTGTGTGTGTGTGTGTGTGATGAGTAGTGTACGTGTATGTGTAGTGTGTGTGTGTGTCTGAGGATGGACAGATGTGTCAGGTGTGGCAGAGTATGGTGTTTAGTGCAGGTGTGTACAGTATATAGCTGCACACACCTGCCACTTCTTGTGGCATCGTCGGTCACCACAAGCAACACCTGTGGTTCACTCGCTCGCTCATTACCAAACATGTTGTGTGACACTTAGTGGGTTTCTGCTGCCAGCTACCTCTCTCTCTCTCTCTCTCTCTCCTGTACCAAAACAAGAAACGTGATGACAAACAAAGATATATTGCCAAAAGTTCACTTGTGTTCCATCTACGACAACCTGACCTGACCTAACCTAACCTGACCTAACCTAACCTGACCTAACCTAACCTGACTTGACCTACCTGACCTGACCTAACCTAACCTTAACCTGACCTGACTTGACCTACCTGACCTGACCTAACCTAACCTAACCTGACCTGACCTAACCTAACCTAACCTGACTTGACCTACCTAACCTAACCTAACCTAAACAAGCACGACAAAATTAAAGAACTAAAGACGTATATACACAGGTGTTCCCGTGAGTGGGTTCTGTAATTATATTAGATTGAGCCAAACACTACGTTACTGAGGGACTTTCACCTCGCTTGCCTGCTTACCTACATACCTGCGTGCTTACATACCTGCGTGCTTATCTGCCTACCTACCTGCGCACCTACCTACCTGCGCACCTACCTACCTGCGCACCTACCTACCTACACCACGAAAATTTAAACCTTGTGGTATAATTTCGCTGAGACAATGAGGAGGAGAGAAGAACTGGTTTGGAATGTGTAGTATAATTTTAGTGGAAAGGATTATAGTGGTGACAGCTGCAACGCTTACTTAGTGTGTTATGTTGTGTAGGTTGGGAGTGTACACCAACGTGAACACGCACACACACACACCCACACACCCACACACACACGCACCCACACACACCAACCTTCATTTCTATCTGTTAACCATGTACCGGAAACTAGCTGCCTTCTCTACACTATGATTAGAAACTTGTCTTGTATTTTTAAAGCCGAGGTGTGTTGTTTACTATTACTACTACGTTTTGGCCTCCTACTACTACTACTACTACTACTACTACTACTACTACTACTATCATCTTGAGCGTCAGCCATAATGGTAGGGCGGTGTTGATCCGTTCGGCCCCGAGTGGTAACTATGCCATGGCCTCCCGTCTGATACCCACCTCTCTGCCCGCCCACTCGCCCGCCCGTGCCCACAATTACCTCATTATAGGTGGGTGATGCCATAATGGAGGTAGAGGTTACACTGGAGGCCACGCCGGCGGTTTACGAGGACTCGGATACTATTATTAATGGTGTTTTAAGGCAGGAGAAAGGATTGGTTGCTTTAATGGAGTTTTAGTGTGTGTGTGTGTGTGTCTGTGTGTTTTAGTGTGTGTGTGTCTGCGTGTGTGTGTCTGCGTGTGTGTGTCTGTGTGTGTGTGTGAGAGAGAGACAAAACCATTATAATATTATATAAGGCATCATATTGTGGTAAACCTTTCGGACTTGGAGAACTAACTCTTTATATTGACAATGGTGAGTGGACGTTTGGGCCAAGGTTAGGTTAGGTTAGGTTATGTTAGGGTAGATTAGAATAGGTTATAGGGTAGGTTATAGGTTAGGTTAGGTTATGGTTAGGATGGGTTGGGTTAAGTTATAGTCAGATTATGGTTATGTTAGGTTCGGTTAGGTTAGATATACATTGTTAGATTAGATTAACTTCAACACACATTAACGATAACACCTGGAAAATCCCTCATTAAATGCGAAAACAGCAAGTCTTTTAATAAATACTGAGACAGGTAATGCGGACAGAATGTAAAGAACCACTGACAGGAGAGTGTGTGGGAGCCGTCCTGGTTATCACTGTCCTAGAAACTACAGCGACTTCAGGAAGCTCACGATAACACAACTTCGTCTCGAGTTTTTGATGTCCTTGTGGTCGAAAATTGTAAAGAAGAGGAGAGGGAGTGTCGACCTTAGTGAGGGAGGGGGGGGGAGGTTATAGTATAGTCCTGTCTTGTCGACGATAAGAAAGTGAGGTTTAGGTGCTGGGGCTGACGGATGTTGTGGGGGTTAACTCACTCTCTCTCTCTCTCTCTCTCGTTGGTCAAGCGTGATCTTAACTACTCTGAACTAGCTACATTAACGAGTGCTTAATGGTGGTGGCCGTGTTAGTGTCCCAGCAGCAGTAAACGTCGGAGATAGTTTTATAAATATTGTTGTTGGTAAGAGAGAAGCATAGTACAGCCACAGTTGGTGTGTGTGTGTGTGTGTGTGTGTGTGTGTGTATATATATATGTATGTGTGTGTGTGTGTGTGTGTGTGTGTGTGTGTGTGTGTGTGTGTGTGTGTGTATGTCTGGGTGTTTGTATCTATAGAGAGAGAAAGAAAGGGATGGAAAGACAGAAAAAGGAGAGAGAGAGAGAGAGAGAGACCTAGATTATAACAGATCAAGTTAATAGGTCGTCATCGTCAGGGAGGAGGGTCACGCTTATCCTCCTCCTCGCTCCTCTGGATTATGCGAGAGGCTAAACAGATAGACAGACTCATCCCTGTTCTCTCTCTCTCTCATCACTAGCCATGGGACTGATGGGTGTTAGGCACTGATAGGATTGTCTTCATAGGGTGCGAGTTGTGTAGTATTGTTCTGGGTAAGAAATACTTGACACACACACACACACACACACACACACACACACACACCTCGACTCATGGTGACCTTGGGAGAGATTTTAGTGGTTATATTAAAAGCTGTGGTGTGGGATTAAATCATCTCTCGCTGTAAGCAATATTTAAGTGTAACTCTACTCCTGTGTCTACAGCAGCCCCTCCCTCTCCCCCTGGTGGTAGCCGACACACTTGGGTATATTTAGTGTGGTTGGTTCCCGACACCACCACGTCCCTCCCTCCCTCACTATGACTACTTCCAACTCCCTCCCTCAGCTCCCTCCCTCACTGTCACACACCACGCCACACCATTCCCTTACTGTCACACACGACTGTATATAAAATCTTGCCATGAATATCATTAATTTATAAAACCAAAAATATAAAATTTTAATACAAGTGAGTAACCACGAAAAATGACCAATATATATTAAGACCCAATCCAAGTTATGTCCTTACAGTACAGCATATAAGGCAGATCAAGACAAAACACTAAATTATACTTGAACTTAATTTAAAAAGACCAAGAATTAAAGTTTTAATAGTTTTAAGCCCGGCCTTACTAAGATGAAGTTAAATCGATAGCTGATCATGTAGTGAAACACGGAACAATAAAACATTGTTACACTCTACAGTACTGAAAACAAAAATATTAATTAATTTTTTGTTTATTTTGCAAACTCAAATAACATAGTGTACTGTAATATAATTAACTGGCAATATTACTGATAATTTTATAAAGCAAGGGGCAGACATATTAACTCTACAGTATTGTACTGTACTGCCACTTTTGTCTTAATGTTGTACTTCCTGTATATTTGGTTTTAAAAAATTAATTACGCTCGGATGACACTGGGGATAATAATAAGAAACCCGAATATTTAAAAGAATGACGCAGTCACACAACCTTCTGGTGAACGTGTGAGCTGTTGACAGGTGTGAGGGCGGACGTCACCGGGAAATATACTCATTAGTACAGTACAGTTAACACAGTAAAGGATGACAAAAAGTCTATGTTACTGTAGGAAGGTAGTGATGGTACGGGTTTGTTCTCCACTAAGACATGATACAAGTAAGGTTGACGTTAACGATAATGTGTCGTGGTGTAAGGTGTAGACGACCATCACAGTCTAGGAGGTGTAGCAGGTGAAGGTTAGTGTCACCACACACACACACACACAAGGTGCAACAGTAATTACGGTTGTATCGTGTGGTGGGAGATCTGCCACAACTTCTCATTGCTCAGTCACAACACAATGGGTGAGAGTTAGAACGTGTGTGACGTGACCTCTGAGCACCTTCCTGTAGAGGGCGCGCGTCTAGTACACCAGCTACCTGTACCTTCCTGTAGTGGTTCTTGTCCAACTGTTAATATTTTATTCGTCTTGTGGTTCTTTTTATTTTCAATGTTTACACTGAGGGTGAGCCTCCGGGGAGTGTGTAGTGAGGCAGTACACGGTGACGGCTCAGACGCTACACCCAAAATCAACTTCTTCCGCCACTCCGGAAGTTGTGACGTCACAGACCAGAGGCTGTCAACAGGAAGATGAGTGAGGCATCACGTGAAGGTGCGGGAGGAAAGTGAAACTTAATGATGTAACGAAAGAAGCTCCTTGACCCAGGGTCACCACCTGTGTGACTCCGCCTCTCCCGACGCTGCTCAGGGAGGCTGCCTCATTTACTACTTTGTTCTCCAGTTATGAGATCATTGTTTTATATGTTGACGCCTTATTGTTGGTCCAAAAAGCGAGCGTCCCGACGTGTGTTGGCTCGCCTTAAGTGTGTCGACCTACAGCAGGTGTAACAGAGTGTAATGAGTCCACTTATTGTAGACGTAAATTTCGATGACAATGAAACTGTCACCTGTGGGTCGTAGGTGAAGAGGGTGAGTGAGGTGTGTTCTCCCATCACCAGGTGGAGGGGAGACTTATGGTGATAAGGGTGACCAGTACCGCCCAGGAATGTGGACCACAGGGGCTCGACCTTCCCGCAGGCGGAGGTGACCTCTCTCTCACTCGGTTGGGTATAACTGTAGTTTATCAGAGGCTTGATAACTCTTACACGTCACTGGTGGGTCTTTATTATTGTGTTGTCTTGCTGGTGCGGAAGCCTTGCGGGGCCATTGTTCGTTCACCCACCCGTCGTCCGCGAGGAGTTATCAACGCGACAACTAGACTAAACAACAAACCATTAACCAAACTCAGTAGGTGGATAAAGCCCAAGAAAACCCAAGATGCGTTCAATAATTAACCAATATATTGTAATGTTATTCCCACCAGTTATAGCACAGCGGGAGGGAGGGAGGAAGCATGGCCATCTTGGCTACTAAACACGTGTGTATGAGTGTCGTGGTGAGCGTGTTAATTAAGCGCCTTGGAGGAGTACAGTAACAACACCTGGTCCTCGTCTCTACCTGTGTGGCTCTTCTTCATCGTCTCCCGGATGTTTGTGTGTAATAATAATAATAATAATTAACTGTTTATTGAAAAAGTTCTGCAGCCCGAAGGCTGAAAATATACATTGGACATAAATGACTTATTACATACATTGGTGGTTTAACAAAAGCCATCATTAGAGAAAGGTGAAGGAACATACAGTGAACATACAGATTAATGTTTACAGTGGAGGTCACGTAGATCATGTGAGCTGAGGTGTTGAACAGCAGACACGTAGTGTAGTAACTCCCTCACAGATGGTGTTATGAGGGGCCTGACGTAGTGTAGTAACTCCCTCACAGATGGTGTTATGAGGGGCCTGATGCGGTGTAGTAACTCCCTCACAGATGGTGTTATGAGGGGCCTGACGTAGTGTAGTAACTCCCTCACAGATGGTGTTATGAGGGGCCTGACGTAGTGTAGTAACTCCCTCACAGATGGTGTTATGAGGGGCCTGATGCGGTGTAGTAACTCCCTCACAGATGGTGTTATGAGGGGCTGACTGACGCTGAGTGTAGTAACTCCCTCACAGATGGTGTTATGAGGGCCTGACGGTGTAGTAACTCCCTCACAGATGGTGTTATGAGGGGCCTGACGTAGTGTAGTAACTCCCTCACAGATGGTGTTATGAGGGGCCTGATGCGGTGTAGTAACTCCCTCACAGATGGTGTTATGAGGGGCCTGACGTAGTGTAGTAACTCCCACGTTAGTCTGAGCACATTATTTTTGTTGTTTATGTATGCCTTATGACAGCGTGGGTTGGCTGGTGAAGAAAATGATATAATCACTTGTTCACTTTGTTGGTGTTGTAGTGGTGGTTGTGGTGGAGGGTGTGGTAGTAGTGGTTATGGTGAGTGTGGTGGTAGTGGTGGATGTATTGGTGATGGTTGTGGTAGTAGGGGGTAATAGTGGTGAGGGGTAGTGGGGTGAGTAAGGAGTCACGGGAAGGGGACAATGGTGTGTTGTAGATATTGGAGGAGAGTCTTAGAGGGAGGGGACCCACCCACCCACCCACCCACCACCCACCACCCACCCCCCACCCACACACCTAAATCTTGTACTGTACTTAAATTGACCTTTGTGGGTTAAGTATTTGGTTATGTTATCTTCTGGACTTCCATAGTAAATTTTGTCTTGTAAACTGTGTGGTGTACTGCGGTGTTGTGTGAGACTGGTGGTGTGGTGTGGTGTGGTAGCGATAGTGTGGTGGTGGTAGTGATGATGAGGTGGTAGCGGTGGTAGTAGTAGTGGTGGTGGTAATAGTAGTAATAATGGTGGTAGTAGTAGTGGTAGTAGCAGAAATAGTAGTGATGGTGGTGGTAGTAGTAGTAGTAGTGATGGTAAATGGTAGTGGTGGTAGTGCCAGCGACACACACGGGCACTGGAACCCAGAAATACCCGGGGGCTGAAGCAGGTGCCAACTCCCGCGACACACACACGCCAACCTTAGCAAGGCCGTACATTACTACCAGACTGGGGCAGCACCTGTAAATTATGTTATTATTAAAATCTTTCTACCTGACCTGACCTGATCTGATGTACGCTCGTGAATTTTACTTTTATTACAGTAAATACTCACCTGACCTGACCTGGTGTACCTGTGAAATATACTCTTATTAAACATTTTATAATCTATATCGTTGACCAATACATTAGGGGTGTGTGTGGGGATCAGCTCACTACACACAGGAGGGGTAGTGGTGGCCCTGTGAGACGCCTTATAAGTATAGTGGTGAATATTGAGTTATCAAGATGGATCTCCCTCTATACCTCTCTGCCTTTATAAGTTTGTAGTGTCGGCGACTTGCGTGTGTGTGTGTGTGTGTGTGTGTGTGTGTGTGTGTGTAGAGGTAACGAGTACAGGTACATGACAGTGTGGAAGAGTGAGAGAGGGAGGGAGGAAAGGGTGGACGGGGAGTGAGGGATGGAAGGAGGGGGGGGGGTCGAGGGAGTGAGTGATGATCCGCCAGTAGGAGTGATGGTAGGTGTCTACTTCAGTGGGCTCCTCCCTCACGCACCTCCTCCCCTCACGCACCTCCTCCCCTCACCTCTTACTCTCCCGGGGGAAACATTACCTTCTCCTTCCCTGTGTTCAGGATCACTACGCAAAAATACGCCTTTTTCATGACACAAACCTAACTTACTGACCTTAGTGAACGTTTGGTTAGGTTAATTAGTTTTAGGTAAGGTAAGGTTAGCTTAATTTGGTGTAGCTTTATGTTAGGGTTTGGTTAGATTAGATTAGGTAAGCTTTGGTTAGGTTAGGTTAGGTTAGTTTAGCTTAGCTTGTGTCGTGTGCTTTGTGGTTTACTCCGCCGTCCCCCATTACTGTGTGTATACAAACCAGATCATGTATATGTATATCTAGGTCACGGCATCATTCTGTTCCCCCAGGGTATACACAAGCCTCCTGGGAATGACCATACCACTGTGCTGTATATGCCAAGATCTGTATCCTGTACTTGTACTTGATACCCAAATCTGTTTTAGTTTATACTGAATTCTGTTGTTGTTTATACCCAAATTTGTTGTTGTTTTCATGTATGTAATATCGCCACCAGCTGGGATTTACTGTTGTTAACTAATGTAACCTAAAAAACTGCACTTGTGTTTGTTGGGTTAATGTGAGTTGTTGTGTTACAGGGGCGCCCAGACGTGGAGGCCCGCCGTGACGCCCCTGGCCCAAGTGAAGACGACTCCAGAGGGCGTGCCCGTAGCCACCTCCACCTCCCTCGCTGCCAACAAGAAGGTAACCCCTTACACCCTCACACATCTTCTTCCCTTACATCCCTTCCTCACATCTCTCCCTCCCTCACATCCCTCTTTCCTTCACATCTTTCCCTCCCTCACATCCCTCTTTCCTTCACATCCCTCCCTCCCTCCCTCACACATCATCCCTCACAGATCTTCGTCACCTTAATCTACTTTTTTATTCTCAGCTGTAAAGGTTTTGAGGCGCCCTTAGCGTTTCTTCTCCTCCAGCAGTTAGAGGATTATTGTAAAAAAAAGTCTAACTTCCCCAGTTTTCGTTTTTCAGACCAGCAGCTACACGGTGACGAAGGGTGGTATAGTGTGTTCTCTCAGGTGCTGTTTGTGTGTGCATATATTGTTGTTGTGTGGTCCAGTACACAGACAGACACGAGGGGTGAAGGATGACAACAAACCCTTCTTCCCTACCTCCGTCCTGTCACAAACAAAAAATGAAGTCAAATACACAACAATATATTTACCAGGCGAGGAAGAAATATCTTAGTGATGAAAAAGACTCTTATTTTTTTCCCACAGGACGCATATAAATATTACAGGAAAAGGAAATAAAGAAAAACATGGAAAGAGAAACTGAAGAAGAGCGATACGTTTTTCCCAAGAGTGAAATAATGTCCTCTGAATGCATGTTATGGGTAAAGACGTCAACTGGGCAGGTATATATGGTCAGTCGGTCCGCTGTTATGGGTTGTTCGTTAAAGTTTATTATTCAGCCGTGTCTACACCATAAGATACTGTGTGTGTGTGTTATTATTCAGCCGTGTCTACACCATAAGATACTGTGTGTGTGTGTTATTATTCAGCCGTGTCTACACCATAAGATACTGTGTGTGTGTGTTATTATTCAGCCGTGTCTACACCATAAGATACTGTGTGTGTGTGTTATTATTCAGCCGTGTCTACACCATAAGATACTGTGTGTGTGTGTTATTATTCAGCCGTGTCTACACCATAAGATACTGTGTGTGTGTGTTATTATTCAGCCGTGTCTACACCATAAGATACTGTGTGTGTGTGTTATTATTCAGCCGTGTCTACACCATAAGATACTGTGTGTGTGTGTTATTATTCAGCCGTGTCTACACCATAAGATACTGTGTGTGTGTGTTATTATTCAGCCGTGTCTACACCATAAGATACTGTGTGTGTGTGTCGCTGTCATGTCATTGCTGTCAAGATAACAGAACAAAACTCGCCACGATGGACGTCAGCCGTCGTATATGTTAACTTATAAAAACCGCCATTATACAGCACGAACATGTCCACAAAGTAATATTAATATAAATGTATACAAAGATTTACTAGAACGCTAACTTACAGTACAATGGTAAAAGTTTAGGGACAAAATAACGGACTGATTATTGAAGGGAGTTATCGTTGGCTTATGTAATTCAGTGTTATTACGTCGAGATGATCAATACCTCGTCCTACCCAGCATGGTGAAAATTGAATAAATACAGCGAGAAACTGTTAGAGTTTGAGGATAGTGACACCGGGTGTAAAGTATAGTGGCTATCATCGTATTATGCAGTTGACTTGATGTTGACACGCATATGTACAGGCACCCAAAAAAGTCCTGTCGCGAACCATGAACCCCGAGATTCAGACTCTTGAATCCAAAGCATTTATGGACAGAATAATGTATCAGTGTCTACTGCTTCGGGTTCACGAGTTTTAATCGTGGTTTGCGACAGGACTTTTTTGGGTGCCTGTACACGTCTCACATGGCGGTGCGTCACGGAAGAAAGCTAGTTGTCTGTTGTTTAAGAACCTCGTGGACGGCAGCACCCAGTAGTAGAGAGAAGAGGAAGGATACTCATACCACCAGCGAAACAAGAGGCAGCGTGTGGGGTTCACTTAGCTGATGAACTGTGCTCCTGTGGCAACCAACTGAAGGAACCATTGTCCCGACGACCATTACTACAGGAGTGCCGAGCTGTGGTGGGATCTCCCTGAGCAGCCAGACGAGGGTGGCTGCCTCCTTCACCTGCATGTTTACCTCCACCGTCTGTTGTCTTGACTAATGTGTTGGCTTCTTCAGATCAGCCATTGCTATATATACTAATACATGCATGGTTCACACTTTTAACTTTTTATTATTTATAGTTTTATGTGTGTAGTACCGAGTGTACAGTACACTCGGTACTGGGTGTGTACCTGTGTGTCATAGGTAATAATCTACACAGGATGTATGAGACTTGAGACCTGTGTCAGTAGGTTGTGCCCCTCGTCTTGTCCACCAGTGTTTGTAGTGTGCCTTTTAATTCTGGCACACCTCCCGGATAAAACAAAACTAAGACTGTCTTTTAATCCTTAGTTTAGTATAGTATTTCCATACATCAATAGTGTTGCTTTATAGTGTGGTTTTTCATCCTTGTTTACATATAACTGTAGTTTATTTCAGTAAACAGTTACTGAGCTCTAACAGTATTGGCTGCCATTAGGTAGCGAGGAGTAGCATGGCTCTGTGTTGTGTGTTAGACTAACCCCGTGTGTCTCCTTCCTTCTGTCCACAGCCCGTCCGCTACATCGGCTCCAACCACAACAGTGTGGCGCGCCCCTTTCCTGGCTTCACAGGCTCCCAGCCCGCCTACACCCCAGGTGCCCGTACCCTGAAGAGCCCCTTGCAGGAGGCCTCGGATGGGCCTCTTAGTGCCCCTCTGAGCGGTACCTCCTCCAGGAGCACCTCCGGAAGTACCAGCCCCAGCGGCGGCATCCCAATCACCACCAGCACTACCATATCTTTAAACAAAGAAAATGCCAAAAATTTCCTGAAGATGACGTTGGACAAAGAGAACGTTAATACCATAAATGTACACTCCCCTTACAAGAACCAGAAAACTAACAGTAATGAGAATCTGTTCACCAGTCAGTTTCTGAACAACAATGGTGCCTCGAGTGGCACTGGCGGCCACCAAAGGAAGTATTCGCTCGCCAGTAATGCCTCCAGCTGTAGCAGCGACCCAGACCACGATGCACTGACGCGTCGCAACAATGAAGTAAGGCGCCGCCAAACGCTTTCCTGTCTGGCTTCTTCTGGTGGCGGGAATATATTACCTTACCACAGTACTGGACTTCCGTAGCTCTTTATCTTTAGTTCCCTTTTGTTACATTATTTTAGTTTGTTATGAACCTCACCAATCTTTCTTTTCGACAAAATAGTAAATAGTTAGAAGTGTAGATACTGTACCTCAATATGAACTGGAACGGCATTCTTAAATTATTTTGATACAAATTGAAATAAAATATAGTACAGTAATTACTCAAACTATTACTACAGTTTTCACTACAGTATATTATGGTCTACTTATGTGTGGCAAATGACAGACACCAGATCCACAATGATCTTAAGTTAATACTGTATGGTAATGGCTACCAGTACCTCCTCACTCAGAGCGTGACAAGTAAATACTATACTCTACCTATTCACTTATAAATCTTCTCTCCCGTAACTTATCTCTTCCCATCTTTGATTTCGTTGATCCATCACCATTTTCCCTAAATCTATGTTACTCTGACATAAATATCCCGTCTCTTGTTACTCCACAATAAATAATTCTGCCTTTGTGACTCTATAAAATTTCCCCAATCTTCCCTTTTACTTTCCCATCATTATAATTTCTAAGAGAGGTGGTGTATAGAGGGCACCACTTGTTGTATGGATGTTAGTCTACCTTAAATTACATGAGTGGACCACAGCCATGTTATGCTCATAGAGAGGAGTTTTACTCTGATTTCCTTCCTGCTACTCAAGAATCGTCAATATTCACGAGTGGGTTGACAGATGACACGGTAATAAATATAGGCATCTTAATCAGTTTGTGAGGGAGCAGACCATGGCTGTGGGCCCTTCATGTGTCCGTGGTGCAGGTGATGTATGTAATGACGTACCTCTTCCAGTATGTTGCTCCAGTAGGGGCGGCTCACAACACGGTCGCTCTCCCCTTCGCTGAGGTGAAGGTTCCTCCAGTCTCTTTGTGTGTGTTGCATGTAGCCCAGCCTAGTGCGTGGACCTAACTTCCTAATGTGCTTATTATCTGACAAATATTTTTAATTATGACCTAACGCTCTCCCTAGTCAAGAGTATCTATGTTAACTTGTAAGCTATAATTAATGTTGTATGTTAAGTCAGTTTCCAGTAGATTAAATGTAGCGAGGTAAACAGTTAAGAGTGGTATATTACAAGTGTTTGGAATGCATGTTTTTACCAACTAGAGGACTGAGTGTTGGCATAAGTTGGGTCATGTGTAGTGTAAGACAGGACTGCTGGCATCTCACAGTAACACCGAGTAGAGTGGTACATATGAGCGCTTTGTTAATACAGTAGTAGAGTGCCTGTTTGTTACTGGTGAATGAAATACAGAATGTGTGGCCAGCACCTAGTGTGATACCTGACACTGTAGGCCACATGTAGTACTGTAGCTGGCTACCATAACACAACCTGGTACAACTACAGTTACTTGTAGTGCACTTAATGTACTGTTAACTTTGCATGTGTAAAATGTGCAGGTGTGATAACATGTAATCATTAAAAAGTAAATTATAATACATGATGTAATTAATTAAATTATGAATTTATCTAAAGGTACACTTTAATGCCACTGGTAAATATCATTTAAATTAATGTTTATTATTCACATGATAAATGTAAACAAATAAATATTGACGACGTCCACCAGTTAGAGTAGTGATCATTTCGGACACTCAGTCATCCACTCACTCCCATGATTCTCAAAAGTTGTTCAGTCGCTGAGCTTACATGATTTATAGATAGATTTTGTGAATTTGAGCTATTTTTATGGCACTACAGGCACTCCATCACAGATCTTGGGTCACTCTTTATGTTGATTTCAGTAACTTTGGCAAAATTAGTGTTGGTTATAATAAAGTTCCTCGGCTTTTTGCAGCTGCTTTAGTGAATTTTCGGTTCTGAGAGTTGACAATATTCTCATATTGTCAATTACAAGGAGAAAATAATGACAATCCTTAAAAATCCAATTTTTATTTAGTTTTATTCCCTTCAATACTGTACTGTACAATCATCCATCTTTTCCACCTGTAAACTCCTCACCCACATCCATCTCATCCACCTATCAATTCCTCATCTACATCCACCTATCAACTTTTCACCCACATCCATCTCATCCAACCATCCACTCCACATCCACCATTCCCCGCCAAGACGACCAGCATGTGAGGGTCATTTACTAACATATCTACATCCGGCAGGTGAACGGGCAGCAGATCGTTAACGCTCAGTACAACACGCCCCTGAACCTGTACAGCGAGGACAACATCGCTGAGACCCTCTCTGCCCAGGCTGAGGTTCTCGGCAAAGGATGCCTCGGGTAGGTCCTCCCTCGGGTGACATCTTGTGGCTCCCTCGGGTGACACCTTGTGGCTCCCTCGGGTGACACCTCGTGGCTCCCTCATGTTCAATGTCTGGTCAATGGTAACCCGATCACCACCATCACACTAGTCTGGTAACTGATCACCACCATCACACTAGTCTGGTAACTGATCACCACCATCACACTAGTCTGGTAACTGATCACCACCATCACACTAGTCTGGTAACTGATCACCACCATCACACTAGTCTGGTAACTGATCACCACCATCACACTAGTCTGGTAACTGATCACCACCATCACACTAGTCTGGTAACTGATCACCACCATCACACTAGTCTGGTAACTGATCACCACCATCACACGAGTCTGGTAACTGATCACCACCATCACACTAGTCTGGTAACTGATCACCACCATCACACACTGGTAACTGATCACCACCATCACACTAGTCTGGTAACTGATCACCACCATCACACTAGTCTGGTAACTGATCACCACCATCACACTAGTCTGGTAACTGATCACCACCATCACATTCATGTCTTAACATCATCACCACACTTTAGGTCACAATACAGATTCCTTGTGAGTACAGTAGTTATTAATTGTCAAGCCTCCACATAAAGTATTGTTTTACACCAGTGATACTGTAGTTAAAACTATTGATACATTGACACTTGGGGTTCATTATTGTGGCCATTTCAGTAATGTTTTATTTTAAGTTTTTATTTAATTATATTTTATGCAGAAAGAAACATACCGGTACTGAATGTCTGTGTTGATCATTTTTTTTTAGACCATTAAGAATATTCTGTATATTATTACTATATAATTGAAGAGAAGGTTTGTCAGTTTGCTATCAAGACTGAATTATGTAGACAGCAACATGTGGGTGTGTAGCAGCTATCATGACAGTCTGCACCAAACAGCATTCATTAATAGTTTGTGACATTCCTGACTTTTTTCTTAATTGAAGGCTTGAAGAAACTTATTTTAATCAGATATTACAGCCTGAATAAGTAAGATCATTTAAGAATTATGCATACTATTTCTGAGTACTGTACTGTACAGTAATAGAATCAGGTAAAGAATGCCAACAATTTATAAAATAATGTACAGTATTTCTTTCTTTGACGTGGAAACTTTAGAAATTAATAATTAGTTTAGTGTATAGTTAAATAACTGAGTACTGATCAGTGTGTGTGTGTGTTTGTCTGTATGTGTATTTTGATGCGGGGGCTGGACACTGGTGCAGCATCAACTTCAAGAAGTATGCGCGAGAGACTGTTATCCAAACAGAGTCTCCCACGTACAAACTTATCCACGGAGATGGAGATGATGCTCCGAAGAAGCCTCGCCCCCCACCCGTCTCTTCATTTGACAAGGAGGCCCAGGCCCCTGCCCCGACCTTCCCCCGACCGAAGCCTGCATCAAGGCCAGCACCGGCAACACCAGCACAGCCTCCTCAGCAGGGAGGAAAGTCAGGTGACCTGCCACCCCATTACTCCTGCACACGTTTGCTCCAACACCATTCACTGTCGTGTCTTTCCCTGGAGGTGGCTAAATTTCATCTTTGTGCCGCCTCACGGCGCCGGTGTGCCTAGTGGAGTGCCCTGCATGTTCCCACACTCCCCCCAGGCTCTTAATCCACAGGTGGTGCCAACAACATGGATGGAGCAAGGAGGGTTTTATGATGCTTCTTGGTTAAGGAATCATCTTGCCATTATGGGTGTGACACGTGTGACTGTGTGTGCGTGTGTGTCTGCCACAATTTTTATCGCATGATTCTCCTGATTTCTCCCTTCCCTCTCTCTCTCTCCTGCCTGCTCCACCACCACCACCTCACTTTGATCACTACTACTGATGCTGCCCCATAGTGTCAACTTCATGAAGAATGAACGAGCTTACGACGGCAAGACTTCCGACGTCCTGCGGATGGTGCAGGAGATGGACAAATGCCCTGTTCAGGAAAATGAAGGTGAGGTAACGAGCCTCTTATCCCCTGACAAGAATGTTGTCCAGGGGCATTCCTTCAAGCTCCTCCAGCAGGCACTGCAGACGGAGGAGAGTCTAGGTAAGTGGTGCCAGGACACGGACACAACTACGCGGGGCCGCATCACCTTGGCTACCAAGCCTGGCGACAGTTAAATCAGTGGCCAGTTAATTATGTAGGAATGCATAGGCAAATCAGGGGAAGTAAGATAATTATCCAGGAAACAGATACAATAACTCTAGTATTGTATTAGCATTTAAATCAGTGCTTAATCAGGAGGGAGTTTAAAGACTAACAACTATGTTGTTAACTGTTATTAAATTAAATGCATACTATAATTAAACCTGTCATTAACAGAAAGAAGTGAGTTACGTTATTCAATAAGAAAAATGCCTAGAGCCATGTTGTATTTTTTCATGATTGTTAATACTTTTCTTAAATGGATTTGCATGTGTAACAGCTTCATTATTATTTCTGACCTCTACATGGCATAACTCTTGTCTCCTTCACTTGCATTTTTGCAGATTAGCATCAAAACTAATATTATAGGTTTTTGGTTTTTTTTATTATTATTTCTACCTTGGTTACTGCTTTATATTTTTAACTTAATTATTATTATTATTTGAACTGTCCACAAGTTTCACAGTATCATTTCACTAGGGGGTTTGGGCTTTGGTTTCGTGTCCTGTGCAAGATGGGAAAAACAGTTCAACATTCCAGTTACATTAAAACAGCAGCTTGAGCCATGTCCCTAAAATATTAGACATTTCAACAAACACTATACAGTACAGTAGAGTATAAAGCTAGAGAGATAAGGACTTGCTGTTTTGGCGATGGAACCGTTTTTCTCACAGTTTTCATTAAGGAAAATGAATTAGTGTTGTGGTGAAGTATTTAAGAGAAGGATGGGAGTATGATGGGCATGTAGCACCTTACATACAGTACAGTAAACACAACAGTACAGTACCTTTTGTGGCTAACTTACTGATAATTAATAATTCTCTGCACTATTTTGTTTAGTCCACTAGTGAACAAAACAGGAAACATCTTCCTCTGGCATTTTTGTAGACCAGACCCTTATGATAACTAATCTTGGGCAGCAGTTCCCTCACCTGTATTCATTGTGAACAAAAATACAAACGGCCTGGCAAGTGCATCATAATGAATCAATGAGGGATGCACTTAGTGTATAGTGTGAGATAATGATATTTGTTTGATCACGGAGTTCATATTATGTATTATGTATTGCTATAAGTTATTAAAGGGTGATGCGACTAAATATGAACTTGTTGATTGACAAAAAAAAATCACAATATACTTAGTGAAGTTTACTTTGAGTAGTCAGGTATTTACTAGGTAGGAAAGCTGGTTAAAGAAGTTACATTTGCAGGCAGAGAAGTTAATGTTGGTTGTTTTAAGAAAATTTGGGCTTCAGAAACCCACATGCTCCCACTCCCAAGCAATGTTCTGCTTTTTCAAAACCACTTTCCCTTATTCACAACTTATTGAAAATAAATTCTATTAACAAAGATAATTTAAACATTGCCACTGAACAGTAAAGCTATTTACTGTTTGATGGAGATAATCATTAAAATAAACATATTAACTCATAAACCCTTGAGTGTGAGGTCTTTGTGGTGGAAGGAAATCTCCACTTATGGTGTACACTCCACCCCTCTTAATTTATCAACGTGGGGCTCTACCTGTGTTGAATTACACAGTGTCCAAACTTTGTGAATCAATTCAGATATTTTGTCAAGATAATGAGGTGTTTCCATCAACTTAGTGGGTAATTCAGTCAGTACAAAAAAAAACAACTCCATTCTGATTTCTTGTTGAACTCCAGGAGTTTAATTTTGTCACAGATCAACCCTCTATTTTTTCCCCATATCAACCACCAGTTTTTTTATACCTGTAAGTAGAAAACTTACTGGTAGTACAGCAGAGACACTGCAGCTGACATGCTTCTCAGTGATTGTCACCCAATTTGCCTTTATTACTTTACCTTATATCTGTGTGTATGTAAGGTAAAGTGTTGTTACCTCTATGGGAAAACTGCAGTTTTCCACACGAGAGATGAATGTCACATGGGGAATTATGCATAAATTAGTAGTACAGAATTACTGCGCAAAATGAAGATTTAATCACCTTGATTGTTTCCCATCTGTGAGGCCTCAGGTTCTAACTGTCGGACGAGTCAGTCATTTTGATAACTGTCGAGTAATTCGGACATTTAGGTCTCGATGCCAAAAAAACTTCCTACAGTAGTAATTATTCAACTTTGCTAAAAATATCCAAATTAAAGTGAAGTTTGAATTAGAGAAGTACAGATTAGAGGAGCTTGAGTGTACAGCACTGAGACTTTGGTGTGATCCTTTAGGAACAAGAGGTATTGAAGGGGTATATTCACTGTGTGTACCAAGTTGGTCAGTTTGACACCACAGGTCAATTACCCAATATACAGTACACTAGCAAGATGCTAATTTACAAAAGTAGTACAGTACTGTAGAAAGAACTTGGATATATCCTCTGTATGGTTAAAACTGCTCCAAAGTTCTCCAGCTGTACTGATAGTGAATCATGGGTAACATTTATCATTATTTGGATCATCTATAAACCATTAATGTTTTTGTTCACCAGCTTTTAAATCCTGCATTGATCGATGTATTATAAATCGTAAATGGCAAAAAAAAAAGTCTTGTCCACTTCAGAGAATGATAAATAGCTTTACAAAACAAATAACTTGGAATAAGATGTTATAGAGGAAGTGGTTTTAGCATCTTTGTGGCATTGGTCTCCTCAGTCTGCAGCTCTCAGTCACACACACACGCAAGGTAAGCACCAGTCGCAACCCTTTGTTACTACCAGCTCTTCACTGCCATCTTTTATTATGGCTGTAAGGTTCACTCATGAGCTGCATGGTCATCACAAGTTAATAATGTATTTACCCAATAATTATCCATCATGTGTTGCCATTTTACAGCAGCTAATTTAATGTGATTTTACAGATGGTTATAAACTACTATACTACTGATAATGGATTGATTTGTTCAATAAAGACAATCTGAAATAGAGATCTATAGTATGCTTATATTAATGATGTATATTACATAGCCTAGAGCTTTTCTACAACAAACTGTCATAGAGAAATATAGACTGTAGCTATTTTTAATATTATAAGTAAAACAACATTAATAGAGTAGTCCCTGTTACTGTAATTAGTTCACTCTATGAAGAAGATATTAATAGAATAGTTCCTCATAATGCAATTAGTTGACATGAGTAATATTAACACCGTTCACCACTTGCTTGTCCTGACGGTGCTGTACCTGGATCCCTTAATCATAGAGAGAAACTGGCGCACCTCACCTTTACCCTTCTAAATAAAAATCAACATCACTTCTGTTTTGTTAATACGAGTCACTCGTTTCTAAAAAAAAAATCTTGCCCATACACGATTAACGTTGACGAAAAGCATGTTCACAATAATAGTCGCAGCTCAGTGACCATAGTGTCGAGCCTAACACTCCCTCCACTATATCTTTTACTTGAACTGGTATTCTGGTAACTCTTGGCAACAATTCATCGCTTAAAAAGATACGTTGATGGTTAGATGTTGCTGCTATGTATTATAGTTCAGTTCAGTACACTGCTGGTCTTGACACATTGACAGTATTCTGACATTAATCTTGTGGTCATCTAAGGGAAGGGAAGTTCTCATAGTAAATAAAGCCTCAGATGTATTTACAGTACATAGTCTGAGGTAACCATAAGGAAGTCTTGAATCATATTAACTGTCAGCAGGCGGAGATCTATGAAAATATGCTCATAAGAACTGAACTAACTCGCTTATTAGGCCCAGAAATACGCCGCACTGAATACTATACGTACAACATAATTTACCCAGGCCATTCTTCCAAACATTGTATATTAGAATAAATAGGCATGATGAATATGAAGGAAGTTAACATTGATAGGTAAATAAAAACACTGTAAACATGACTATGGATCACAGGAAAAAAAGGAGGAAAGCCAAAGGAATCTCTGTTTACATAAAGGTTTAGAAAGTGACCATTACACACCAGTGGGTCGTGATATGAACTCACCATGTTACATATAGTACAGGGTCTGGGGAGTACAGTGACTGAGGAACATTACACCAGTTAGACCCATGTTGAATATTAGCCCCAGGTTGAACATTAGCCCCAGGTTGAATATTAGCCCCAGGTTGAATATTAGACCCATGTTGAATATTAGCCCCAGGTTGAACATTAGCCCCAGGTTGAATATTAGCCCCAGGTTGAATATTAGGCCCAGGTTGAATATTAGCCCCAGGTTGAATATACAGGACTTGTAAACAGTATTGAGTAAGCAACAGAAGACCTCAACCTTGGGAAAAACTATTATAGTCACTGCTACACTGTTCATAGATACTGAAAATAATAATTATATAAGAAAGGAACACTGTATCATTATTACTGTCGTCTCGAGTTAGCCAAATAGAATATTAAGTGACGTCCAGTAGCGAAGGGGTAAATTAGTACAGTTCACATACAATATAATATTTAGTTTAATAGAATGATCATATTTTTTTTTCCAACAAGAACCATTAGTAAGTCGTGGGAAAGACATGTGTAAGTAAATTTGAGTGTTGTCAATATTTTATTTATTATTATTATTATTATTTTTGTTTTATTTTGTCATTATTCATAACCAGTCATGCATGCTTGGGTATGGGCTGTGTTGTGCACGGTTGCTAACTTGGCCTATTATTCTGGATTTTGTTTGTTTGTTTCTGCATGAATATTTGTTGCCTTTTTAGTGTGTATTGAGCATGTCTGGATCTGTTCAGTAGCATGGCACAATTCTTCTTTCCAGCTATATTACTTATTTATATTTATATTATTTTAATACCTTAGTCTTCACATGCCTCTAGGAATCCTCTAAATAAAACATTCTTAGATAAAAGGTGACAGTGTGTAGGTAAACTTTAATGAAGCCTCAGATATTAATGATGAGCGTGGCACATCATCGTCCACGCATCTTAGTTATCTCCTCTCATTGTTATGTGTATGTTAAAGAGAGACAATGTACTGTATACAGTACTAGAAGGTAGATAGAGACTGGTAGAGTCACTAGCTAGCATGTTGTCCACTAGAAGATAGTCAGGGAGTGTAGCCATTTTTAGAGCTCCCACTCAAAATATATATTCAACTTTTTAATATTCATTTCATATAATATTTCAATGAAAGTTATGAAATTATTTGTTAATCTAAATTTATGTACCTACTTTACAGAATTTGCTGTGTAAATAATATATTTTTATACTGACATATTGTATATGACTTAATACAAACAGACAAACCATTGTTCATCTTGCTTCTGAATTGTCCCAGTAACATTTGATTCAGCTAACTCTTAATTTTACGTTGTACATACCTTTTGTCTCGTGTCCCAAACCATCTTGCAATGCTGTACATTATTTCCTACCAAGACCCTTATCCATTTGAGAATATTTCCACAAAGTGTGTTTGTACAAGGCCCTGATGCCCTGCTATGACAGTGTGTGACTGTGTTCCCTACAGTGGCCCCTTCATCCCCTCCTGTGGCTCAACCCTTCTCTTCGAACATCGCAGTTTCTCAGACGAAGCCCAAGACGGAACTCCTGCCCGGCGAAAACATTTGTACAGAGTGTGGTAGACTAATTGTGTAAGTACAGCAATAGACTGATGCCAGCCTCACTCCCACTACTCCTCCACCTCCCACAGCTTTATCACTAACTGCTCATTTAGTCTGCCTGCTCATGACAATCAATAACCACATGTTATTTTGATTGGAGAGTTGTGGGAGATGACGGAGGTGGGACGAGGTGGTATGGTTGTGTCCGATGGCGGTAGTAATGGGTTCCTTTATCCCGGGCACAGACGGCCCCTTGATTGGTGACGGGCCGGGCCCCGCGGGCACTCGCAGCGTGCGTGCCCCACAGACCAGTGTGAAGCCCGAAGGGGCATCTGGCCCCTCACAATCCACCAAGTGCTCTGAATGTGAGCGACCCATTATGTGAGTACTGGCACTGGTCTCCCATGGATGATGGAGCCCACCACCTTTCTAGTGCATCCTGGCAGTGGCCTGCCATCTTATTTTTGCCAGGTGTAGGTGACTCAGGTGCACCATCTGGGTCACCTACACGCACAACATTGGTGCTTGTGATAAGGTTGGCAGGTCACTATGCATATCCAGCCCAGGCTTTGTAGGACTACCATTTGTTCGCTCATTGAAATCGCAAATTTTCCGCTAAACATTGGTTCCACGTGCGCTAATTAAGAGCCTGCAAAACTGTGACCCAATTGGGTCACGTGAACCTGTATGAAGGCAGACGTGCCCAGGTCAGCAGCTGGCATGAGGCATTAACGACATTAACACTGCACTGCTTACCTCTCTCTCCCGTTGATAACCATCTCACCTCGGTGTTCAGCAAGTGAACTGCATCCATGGTAATGCCCGCTAGTTGTGGGCGATACCCACGGGCAGCGAGCCGGGGACTGTGACGCCCTCTTGCACGCTGCTCACTCTGTACACCAACATGGTGTTTTTGCTGTCCTTCCAACACTGCAGTGTTTACTAATTGTACGTCAACTGTACTGTGCATCTTCAGCACTCGCTTTCAGTTTTATTATTTTTCTTTACTGTATATAATTATTTATATAAAGAAGAGAGAACATGGAAAGATTAAATAATGCAGAAATTGACCTTGACCTTTACCTATGATTCCACTTGAATTCTTAGAAACATTGTGGCAAAAAAAAAATAATGTTGACTAAAATAACGGTGTTGTTATTTCTGCTATAAGTACTGTATTCATTGCTAACTTTCTTTGACATAGTAATGGTTAATTACAACTGTATCTACCCTTTCCTCCCACAGAGTATGTAGAGTTTGTGTACCCTTAAATATGCAGCATCACTTCATTGCTCTCACTCACTGAGACGTATTATCAAAGCTTCTATAATTCATGACAGAGGATGTTACACTTCTAGGTGCAGAGTTTAATGCCATACAAGTGTGATAATCTTATAAAAGTCATAGTCTTAGAACATGTGATAGGAAGCCGTAGGAGTGAGAGCATTGATTTGAAGGATCCACTTGTTTGCGGCCCTCTCTTCAGGGTGGGATCATGCCTCCACTGCTGCCCACAATACCTGAATCTTTTTCTTTATCTCACTTTCAAAAAAATAAAAATAAATAAATAATCGATTTTATTGCGAGACTTAGAACCTTCAGCTTACCTACATGGTTTTTCAGTTTGTAGTAAAGAGCTCAGGCTTCACCAGAGAGATGTCATATGTTAGTGACGACGAAGAGTATTGTGGGTAGTGTGGTGGGATGCGGCGTGTGTGGCAATGGTCCACTGACGGTAGGATGTGTGTGTTTCAGCGGCGTGTTCGTGCGTATAAAGAATAAGAACCTGCACGCTGACTGCTTCAAGTGTTCCACCTGCGGTTCCTCACTCAAGAATGTTGGTAAGTTACTTGTATCCCTCGTGTAGTCCTCCCCTCCACCTCCATCCTAGTGACTCTCAACCCTCTCTTTTGTCCTAACACAACGCTCACATATTCACACTGCCAGTATAAGAATATTTTACTCTTTTTTTTTCAGCAATATCTCTACATTTATTATCTGTAGGCTAGCACATGGGTTAATAATGCTTTTTATTAACAAGCTGTGACTCTTGAGTTAGGAGTTGGTGTGTTGATGAGGAGAAGAGAGTTTGTACAATATTGTTACAAATAGCACCACTGAGGTGTCTGGTGAGGAGGTTGGTGTTGCTAATGAGAGTATCATTGACCAGGCTACTACAACATCAACGAAAAGCTGTACTGTGACGTTCATGCCAAGCAAGCTGCCCGTCACAACCCTCCAGGACCCAACCTGGAGCCGGTGTTGGTTAAACCGTAAGTGTGTCTTATCTCACCCTGTTGTCACTTGAGCTTATATTTTCAGATTCTTTGTTACTTTGAATATTTATTGTTGCCTCCTGAACTGTCACAAAGAAAAAATAATTGATATCAAATGATTTTTCCTTTTTAAAGTGGTGCCCCAGTGCCTTCCGGTGCCATGCCTGCCCCTGTGTCCAAGGTGGGCCCACCCCCTGTTCCTGCTGTAAGTACTGTGAAGCCAATCTCCTCTGCCTTGGTACAGAAACACGTAACATCAGATTCTCACCACAATAACCCAGATATTCTTACAGTTCAACAATGGGAGTTGCATCATGACCTTATAAAGATACAGTTTAGTCTCATGTGTCAACTAACCTCTATAAATTGTGACAGAAGTAACAATTTGTGTGTTGCATCAATACCATGGTTAAGGTTTTTGATTTACCAATTAACCAGATAGGAATTGAAATGAAACTCCTCGGTCAGTAATTTACACAGAATAAGACAACTAACTTGATACCTATAGAGTATTTACTATACAAAAATGTGGTACTGTACTGTATAAATGTAAGCTGGACACTAGGTAGTGAATTTCCCAATAAACCAACCATTTCTGTTCTCATATCTGGGAATGACTTTCATTTGCTTGCGATGCTATTGAGACTGGCAAAAATACCACAGGCATTCTCAAAATACTCGAAATTAGTTAGATGTATAAATTCCATCTTAGTTTTGTAATTAAGAGAAAGGTGTCCCATATAGTTATTGGGAGATACAGTACTGAGAGGGAGGGAGGGTGTCGCTCTTGTGTCTGTGACTAATGGTCCAGACCTCCAGGGTTGTTAATTAGGCCATGTACTCTGGCAGCCCTTCAAGCCTCCCGTGGGTGGTGTGAGGATCATGCCGTCCTCCGTCCTCGCCCCAGCACCCATGCCCAAGTTTGCCCCGGTCCCCCCACCCAAGGTACATCAAGCAAAAGGACAACTGCCTCTTTCACTGCCATTAGATACACTAGCAGTTGGAGTGATAATAGCTTTGTTTTAGCTTCTTCATAGCTTTATTGCAAGTAAACAGTGCCATAAGTTGAGATTGGTTCATAAGGTCTACTAGTTTGAGCAGTGTGTGCGAGGATGATATTAAAGGAGATCACATATGACAAGTTGAAGAAGAAAAAAATAGTCAATGTAATGAGGCTGTTAGTGTGAACAGGGCGCTGTATCTGGACAAGAGTGAGGCTCAGCTGTATTTGGACCTACCGGTACAGTATGTGTGTAGGGATGTATTCTTGCTACACCACCAGAATGTGATGGGAAGAGTTCTGTTGAAAGTTCATAGTTTTGAGTTTTGTTAAGGAAGCTTGTGACATAACTGATGCTGGGTGTACCTGACTTTATATGGGAGTAAAGATGTGCAGTAGATGTGAATATGTGTGTATTAGAACAGTAGATATGAATGATGAAGAATGTCTCATGCAATAAACAAGAATGGCAAGTGTGCATAATATACTGTACACAGATAAAAGGCCTGCTATGGACGATACAAAAGGTAGTGCTGTACAAGGCTGGCACACATAGAGCTCAACTAATGCACTTACTCCCACTGGTTGTGCTGACACTAGCTAGACCAAAGCACTGTTATACTGTGCCTGTGATAAATAGTTCGACTCAATTAACAAAGACTATTATAACACTCACAAATTTTGGCTTGGAAATTTTATATAATCCTACTTTATTTATTTTCATGTTTCCGGTACTGTAGTTTACTTTCATTTATAGATTTCACTTAGGGCTCATTGTATTCTGGTTCAGGTGTCGACGTGGACCAGGATTTTTTGGGGGACAGGCCGGTCGTCACCTCTCGGTTCTGCTTAACACGTTTTCTGAAATATGTGATCAGTTTTTGCTAACGTTTACTTACACATTGATTACTGACATGTTGTAGGTTGTTGATGTAGAACTACGGGCGACTTCATTAGTGGATAGCAATATAGACAGTTATAATAATTATGTCACGTTATAGATATACCGGGTAATAGTACCTGTGTTGCCAGGATGATGATAGGAAAGTTCTGTTAATTATCCCTTCTGCATGTAATATAATTTTTACATTTAAAATTCACACTAAAATAACATCTCAGGGTAAGTGCTGTAATGATGTTAGAGTTGTCTGGTAGAGTTGCTTCTAAAAATAAAATCCTTTATTTTGTTTAACAGTGCCATGATGATGATGGGCTATTTACGTCGTTCTTATGTGTACTGTACTGTACTTCTAACTTCTGTTTTTGTCAAGTCTTTTGATGTCTCTGTAAAGTAATCTTAAACTCCGACCGACCCGCTATAAAGACATTGGCTTAGTGTTTGTGTCCTTCCTCTCCGTCAAATATCACAGGAATGATGTAACATTAACTTGATGAAGCAGGAATGGACAAGCCATCAACATGGCAGCAATATATTAGCAGGAGCCACTGGAGAGTCTCTTGTCCTCCACACTCCCCCAATAGTCGCACTCACATATTTCTTACAGCCCGAGCCCATGGTCCCAGAACCTACACCAGAACCTGCTCCAGAGCCGCAGCCCGAACCAGAACCAGAACTAGCAGTGGAACCAGAACCAGAACTAGCAGTGGAACCAGAACCAGAACTAGCAGTGGAACCAGAACCCGAGCCAGAGCCGCAGCCTGAGGTAGATCCGTCTCCGCTTTATGCTCTGTCAACTCGCTCCTTCATAGCCACACTATTGTTGCCTGGGAAGTGGAAGCTGCACCTGAGGGAGAGCGACTCTCTGCATCTTGTTGCTCTTGTCTCTTCTCTCTGGACCTTGTCAGTCCTCTTGGCTTTCCTCTTAAATTTATGGTCTGTTTGCTTGCTTGAGAATCATGAAGGTCATTAAAATGGTCCTGGGTTGGCAGTGAGGTGATGAAAAGTTTTATTGCAAATGATGCATGTTGAAGTTGTGGAGCATTGTAAGGTTGCTACTGTCGACAGGGATTATTGCATGAAGACTCTTTGTAGCAATGGCATTTAATTGCAGGAATCATCTGTAATATCTATATGATGTTGAAGGTTTTCAGTGGGCTCTTCTGTTTGTTGTGGAGTTCAGTGGTGTTGTGTGAGATCGCAGTCTGTGTCATTTGACTATTCCTTGTTGATTGAGCTTGGTTGACACATTCCAGTTCATTGGTTGAGCATCCTGTTGGGTTTCCAAAGCATTTCTTGTGTTGGTCATTTTATATGCTTTATTTTTGTCTTTCTTTAAATGCTTCCATTATTTTGTGCTAATTATTTTAAGTTCTTTCTTGATATACAGTACTGTATAAAGTATTCCTAACACTTTTCTTTAAATATGCCTTTTAGCTTACACTCGTCTAACTGCTCTGAGACTTTTATCATTTGCTTTACTCTGCAGTTTCAAAGTTTATTTTGTGTTAGCATCATACTAGAGGGTTTCTCACCAGGCCCACAAAACCAGTTTTATTGTGGGGTGCCAGATTTTTACCACTGTCTGTCAGTAGTGTGGCCAGGCTAAGCCACCACATAGTGGCAGACACAGTTAAGAATTTTGAGCACAGATATAAAAATCAGCATCCTGGGCTGGTAATTAAGGCCCAGGATGCTGTTGGTGAGAGCCCTCAGGGAGGCAGCCTCGCGACTCCACTTACTGGGTCGCCTCTGACACTTGCAGCCTGTCGTCGCCGAGCCTGAGCCAGCACCAGTTTCTGAGCCTGTTGTGGAGGCTGCACCTGCACCTGCGCCTGTCCAGTCTGAGCCCGAGCCCGAACCCGCAGCTGCGCCTGAGGTATACATGGTTGTGAGTACAGCCCTTCCGGAAATCTCATTGCCCCACGCCTCAGCCCGGGCGTAGACGTCTTGTTGTAGGAGCCCTGAAGCACGCCTGCCGTGGGTCAGATACCGTACATAGTATCTGTCTGCCAGCTCGGTCATCCCATTAATTGTGACTCATGTGGCAAACCTACAGCCATAGTCGTTGGCACCCATGCTGAGGCTGTAGGGTGATGGATTTCGGAAGTGTGCCAACGTACTGCTGTGCACGACTTCGTCACGCCTGGTTTAAAGGGCACAACACCCAACGACCCCTAGGACACACAAGACCTGTCAACACATATTCTAGGGGGTCAACAGTTTCTACAACACTACAGTTTTTATTATGACAGTAGAAATTCGTTTGAGTTTTCTTTATTGTAGACCTCTTGGAAAGAGAGAGATACTGTACTGTACACTGGAGAATGCAAAGTTTAGCATTCCCTTTGTTCATACATTAAGTAGTGCTGAGACTCATTAAACCTGGGGGTTAGTCATTATACATACAAATAATGGGGTTCTGTGTGTACCTGATGTAGCTTAATGATGTTATATATGGTCCCTGCAGACTTGAGGATATAAAGGCTCTTATGGTCAACATTTTCTTGAGGTACGAAAGTGCCGTTGTTAAACTGTTGTATCTCGTAAAGGTGACGTAAATCTTCGTCATATTTTCTGTTTTTAAGTGGTACAGTATTAAACTATGGTGGATCATCACACAAGTTCATGACAATGATAGAAAAAAATTGTTGATACAGGATGTTGTTACGGTTTATCAAACTATTTATCTCGTGGTTTAACTCGCTGACTTGAAGAGAAAGTATCATTGCACACAGACCACAGGCTAGGCTCTCCGTTCAGAAATACTTTTCTACCACAGGATATACTGAACATAGAAAGTCATTTTAAGAAGATGTGGTACAGGAAATTATGTGATGCATCTACACTAACACTAGTCTCTGGGTGGTGATAGTAAGTAAAACTGCAACAAATTCTGTAGGCTGGGAACTGTTATATGTGTTGTGTTTGGGGTAGTTGTTGGTGCACACATCGTGGCATCCAAGTAACAAAGAAGAGAGTGACCATTAATAATTATAATAAGCTACATTTGGTACACGAGAGAGAGAAAGATAAGAGTAAGTCAGTGTTAGTCATGGCAGTACCAGCGTTCCCAACGCTATTGCCAGCATCAGTGGAGTGTACTTCTGCATGAGTATAGTACCCCATACAATGCATGCATATACATATGGTCGTGCATGTAGTACAGTACTTGTATTGCAGAGATGCATGCACGCGCACGTATGTACTGTCTGGTATAGCTATTCATGCTTCATGCACATACATTCTCATATATGTACAGTATACACAGCTATATTTGTACTCATATCCATAAAAGTACAGATGGTATAAAAAAGTATCTTCTCAGATGGGTCTGATGAATTTCAAAATGATCAGTATGACTTGTGTTGTCTTGGTAGGATTGTCAAAATTCTTCGTTCGATGTATAATATTGTTTCACACAGAGTGGCAAGATACTTTTTGTGTATATACGTTCAAATGAATACTGTACATACTTTACATAGCTATTCATGCACATATGTATAGGCATCCTTCTGGCCATCTTCACACGGTGGAGCTGCCAAGAGAGTGGTGCATCACTATTATACCACAAAACTTTGCTAATTTTTAATAATATAAAACATGGCAGGAAAAGTTTAAGCATATTGTCAGTCACTCAAATTGTCACCTGCAACTCTGTACAGGTGCAGAGAAAACCTCTGATTTACATACTTGAAAGTGAAAAAAATAAAAAGAGGAAGAGTGATAATGCTAAGCTTACATCATAGTAACTGCCTTGCAACAGTAGATATATTTATAAAAGGTTCAATTTTTACTTGGACACCATAACCATAAAATGAAACTTGCTATACTGTACCTAGAAGTACTTCATGGGGCACCAACTCCACACGGGATGGGAGGCGGCTAATTTTGAACCTCCCTCAGTAGAAGGATGCCGACATGAACAGGTTGCAGAGAAAATTCCTTGGCACTATCTGGCATGTAAGTTCTTGAGAATCAGTATGTGAAAGGGAGTGGAATTATAACATATTTTCTCTTGATTTCTCTTCGTAATTTTATTTATTTATTTATTTGTGCATATATGACCCAGAAGTAGGGCCAGATATTGCCCAGAGTTCGGGGAATTTTGTCCGCAATGTTACATAATCATACGCCTGTGCATACACCCATATATGTATATTACATTCCTAGACATATACATCCTTCCATGCATACACTACTACATAGGCTACACCATACATCATACCCAAACATACATGCATGTAATGATCAATATACACATGCACACTTAACACATACATACACATTTGGATCAACACAAACACACAACCATGCAAGTATGTATATGAATTAAGATACATGCATACCGCATACATATCCATAAAAATGTAGGTTAAACTGCATACAGATCCACACACACACACACACGGAGCAAACAAACTTATAAGATTAAATGTGCACATAAGTTTAAAGCACACAGATTGGGTTTAATACATACACAGTAGGATTAATGTATACAGGTATGGGTTAAATATGAGGATAAATATTCACACATAAGAGTTCTATTAGTACTGTACATACATACTGTACATACATACTGTACATACATAGATACATATATCCACAGACATTAACACAATACAAAGGTTTTCACTGACTTTAAATTTAAATGGAATATATTATCAAGACAATCGTAAGTATACATAGACAATACATGCGTATACACAGTTGTGTGTATCACCACTGTTACAATTACTGTATGTGTACACAACTACCACACCATATATCAGCTACACTCACGTACACGCTTGGCGAGGCTACACGTACACACTATGCTTTACTACACATTGATATACCACTCAAGATGTACACACTCAGTTAGGGTACATCGAGGTTTTGCGCTAGGCTAGGCTACATTCATGTACACAGTAGGCTACTCTTAGATACACACTAGGCAAGGTAACACACTATACTATACCTGTACTGGGCAGATGTACATACATGGATAGGGCTGCATCATGTACATCAGATTTGTATATTGAAGAGGGTGTGTGGGAGGCGAGTGTTGTGGTGGGTGGCATGGGTGGGTGGTCCAGTAGCTAGTGGGCGGGCTGCCAGCTGAACTACCCACCCCACCCGATCTGCCTGTTAAGGAAATGTGTACCTCCCAGATGCATGCGTGCCTCTCCCTCCCGACCTCCGTGCACGTGTTATGTTTGTAGTGTTATAGTACGGTGGTCACCCCGCGTTGTGTTACCACCACCCGCGGTCCTTTCAGGGCCCCGAGGTCGCTCCTGTCGAGCACCAGGCTGAGGCTCCAGCACCAGCAACTGAAGACATTGCTCAACAGCCGCAGGAAGAACCTTCACCACCATCTGAGCTGCAACCAGAGCTGGAGGTCCAACCTGAAGTTGAGGCCGTCACACTGCCCGATACAGAGACAGAAGCAGAGGCTAAGTTAGAGCCACAGACTGTAATAGAACCCCAGGCTATCTCAGAGCCACAGACAGAGGCTATCACGCAGCCAGAATCTAAACCTATAGTAGAGGAGCTTGAACCTGCAGCAGAACCAGCAGTTGAATCAGAACCAGAAGCTGCAGCAGAACCAGCAGCCACAGCAGAACCAGCAGCCGCAGCAGAATCAGCAGTCGCAGCAGAACCAGCTGTCATATCAGAGCCGGAACCTGCCGATATTGCCGCGGAATCTCCGGCACCAGGTGTGGCGGGGGAGTCTGGGGGGGCTCTGCCCCCTCCGACTGCCCCGGTGCCCACGCCTGCTGCCCCCCCTGTGGAGGTAGAGTGGCGCATGTCCCCTGCTTATGATACTGGCTGGGCCAGTGCCACAGTCTGCCATAGTTCAGCGTCCATACGCGCGCTGCTCCACAAAGTAACCCTTGCTCAGTGTTCACATATAAAGTGATTAATTTAAGTATTGGTGACGATGAGTGCCAGCCAGCAACTAACCTTCCCCGAGCATCATGTATTGTTCAGTTTTATTAGCATAGTGTGGATACAACATTACATTAGTGTTGGTTCTCGGTCCTCAGCCATAATCACATAGTAAAGGGACCGCTTCCCCCTCCTCCTACATCTGGTGTGGGGAGGCGGTCCCGGCCACTTCTGTGTTTACCTTAGTACTAACATGTTCTCTCAACGTTGCAGCCGGCGCCGGTCCCTGCTCCTGTCCCTGTCCAGGCCCCCGCAGCGCCCATGGCGGCCCCTCCACCCACCTTCACCCCATTCAAAGCCCCGGCGGCCCCCGCGACCCAGAAGGTACCATTTGGTGCCCCTGCTGGAAGCGTGGATGTGCGGTCGCACATTCCCAAGAAAGGTACTGTGACATAAAGTGTAGAGAAAGAGGTAAGGCGACCCAGCTGTGAGGCGATGGATTACACTATTGTGATAATAGAACTTGACCCACCAGGCCCAGCCTGTCTCGCCTTGCCTCTTGTGCTAGTGTTTAAGGACTACTGTAGGTTAATGTTGTGTTTTTATTATTATCTGGTAAATCTATAATGGTGCATTTATTTTGTGTTTTAAACCTTTGTCTTGGCAAAGTGAGGGAGGAAGGGTCAGTGAGCATGATTGTGGTGTTGGCAATGGGTGTGTGCCAACAGATGGTGCCCATGACCAGGCGGGCACCACCCACAGCCCTCTGTCCATCACACCTCAACTTTCCTTTGTCCTCACAACAAAATAAATGAAAGTAATTAAGCTGACCAAGATACACTAGTACAGAATAGTGCCAAATCAATGGTTATTTGCCTTTCTTTATTGTCATCGATGACACAATGGCTTGTTTCGCTTTGGCATGTGTATATAGTGTGGTAATTTGCTTTTTTTATTTCTTTGATACAATTATTTTTTTTTATAAAATATTTAAAACTATTCACACTATGGGTACGTGGGGGAGAGGTGTAATGGCTGACGTTGTCTCTTGAGCAGCTAAGCAACGATACCATCCAAGGGCTGCCAAGTTCCTTCTTTTTGCTGACGAGATTTTGTCTTTGTCACAAATATAAATAATTTTTTTTTATCTAGTTTAAATGATGTACAATTCTACTTTCTTTGGGAAACCTCTTATCACTGAGACCAAGACATGTAAGCACAAATACAAGCCACAATATTGATGGTAGCAATTACATTTAAAATTCCTACCTCCAGTTTTGTTCTAAAAATAACCTGGCATGTCTCCCATACGTCAAGGTGAAACCTCATCATAGACTCTTGATAAGTGGGCGGGGGAGGATGTGGCAGTAGTGTCAAGAGAGTCACCCCACGGTGTACCTCCTGGTGTGACACAATGATGAACATGTACAGTACATTACTAGTCTGCACTGACCAATGTATCATTACTTGATCAGATAAGTTTTTAGTGCAGGATCTTGATGGAGGTTGAACTTGACTGCTTTGTACAGTATACAGTAGTTTGATTTTTTTGTAAATAATTTGTGCTTTTATTTGCCACAGACATAAGTCTCAGGTCTACACACCAAGCACTCAGCTTCCCATTCTTCTCTACCACTGCAAAAACACTTGAATTTTGTCTTTAGCTCTGCAGTGAATTTACACTTTTGCTTTGGCATTGTGTTTACAGATAACAAAATAAAATACCAAATAAAGATATCTTGAAGAAATGCTACTGTGCAAAGTATGGACTCAGATGAGACACTGAAATTGAGTTCAGTACTAATACAGTATAATGAAATTAGTGCCATGGCTGAACCAAGGGAGGAGGCTTTGGAAAAAAAATTATATGTCCAGGACAAAAATTAAATGATGCAGTGAACTAGACAAGTCCAGGACAAATACTCAACAAATGCTCTCTGCCCTTCTCTCTCTCTCTCTCTCTCTCTCAAATGATCAACACCTTCTCCCAAGAACCAGTGAATATTTTATTTATTATTTTATATCTTAGAGATCAGTGATTATGTTCTAACTGGGATGGTTTGGTATCCATTCTTTCCTCCGTCCGTCCACGCAGTCGCCCGTTAGTTCACACTACTAAGTGAACTTAATTCAAAATTCACATTAATTTGTGTGATGATCTGACCCAATATGGTCAACTGGTTCTTATTTCTTCAGTAGGGAGTCACTTCAACAGAAACCTTGACAGTACATTTAGTCTTCAACTTCATTAACTGTCAGAATTAAGAAAGTCAATAAACTTGAGACTAGTTGGTACACAACTGGAAGTATAGGTATAGTACCCTACCCAGCACACTGTCTAGTAGGGTACACTTCCTGCCCGGTATGTAAGCCCCGTGATGGACGCCTGCCAAAGCCAGCAGAACAAAATTAGTAACTGGTCAGTCACTACAACACTCGTCATCCTAAGTCTCAGCTGTCAGGGAGGCTGCCCCACATATAGCATATGCTCTTGTTAGAAATAAAGTCAAGTGGATGAACTACTACTGATCGATTAGGCCATTGGTGATACTGCAGGCTAATGCTTACTAAGTACTGTACAGTGCATCATATATAGTACAAGATTTAAGTCAGTCATGAGAGTGATCAGTTATTTATGTAGGCAGTAATAATAATTGTGTCCAGCAATATGATTGGTGCACTGAAGCAGAGTATCTTTTAAGTTTTCTTTGGTTTGGTTAAAAATGTATTATTCCATTATTGATTTGGGACCGAGTCATATGCAATGGTAGCCAACATCCTTGCATACTGACCTGCCTGAGGATACTTAGTTTTTCTTTAGGAGTGTTAACCCTTGCATACCTTCACCTTATCTCTCATATTAATAAAAACTTTCTTTATTGGTCAAGAACCAGCCTCAAGCATGCCCTCTTGGTAAAGCCTGTAGTAAAGGACCCGACCTACAGCTGTCACTCTCCTGCTGCTGATGGTTGGGTTTCTAAATATACCTCATTTACACATGGCCCTTTTATTATATGAGAGCAGCTATGGTCGGAACCTCAGCCAATAAAAGTAAATTTTTTATAATATGCAGATTAAATTATTACCGAACCACTAATGATGTATTCTTCAGCATATAAGGCATTAGTTTTAAATTAATTTTTGGTTTATAATTTTGTAAAGATCTTTTTGCATGCCTCTTAATGTTATTGATTTTGTTTATTTTAGCTATATTACATGCTTCTAAATTACTTGGCTCCATTAATCACAGAATTATTAATCTTCCTCAAGTTTCACGTGCAATTTCAATATTCCATAAGTGTATATGTTTTTACATAACCCTTTGCTATGCATATTAATTAATTTGATTTTTAATGAAATTGATGATTTTTAGATCAAGTACAGTATTGTTAATAAATTAGAATATGGTACAATAGTGATTGATTGTTGTATAAAAAGTAGTTTTATTATGACATTATAATCAGGCAAATCCAGGAGTGATAGAGTACTGTGCCAGTTAGGTTCTTGAAGCTGATAAAGTTGTACATAATACTGTCAGTGTTGTCTAGATTATCTCTGTGAAGAGCAAATTTTTGATGAGCAGTTTGATAGAAATTAATATTTTGCTGATAGTGTTGAATAGCTGTACAGAAACAGACATTTCCTTCATCAGAAGAAGTCACTGAAAGATTTTTGTTACAAGTGGCTGGAACTCACTCTGGTTATTTTCTCACTTGCAGGCCAAATATTACTGGTGGACAGACTGTATACATTTTTATGATGAAATTATTCTATGAACATCTATTAAGAATTATTTATTGATTCCATGTATGTTGTTTAATATTTAAAATGTGAGGATAATTCTTAGTGATTCATTGTGTAGAAGTCCCTTGATGCAGTGCCCCTCACTCACTAAGTCTTGGATTTTATATTAAACAAATTACAAAGGCATTTTGAGGAAAGTTTTACTAAAAGAGTTATAAACAAGTTAGGGGAAGTGTAGTGTTGTTTTAGAGAAGTGATACAGGTAGTGTTGAATTAGTGGGGACAAACCTGGATATGCCTGTATTAAGTGAGCAAGTAGAAGGTGATGGTAGTGTAAGGTGTTTGAGCAGCATTACAGTATGAGCTGCGTGTTGATGATGGGGCAGGCTGCTTCCCGGTAGCCCAACCACTCCCACTGCCCACCTTAACATTTTCTTCCTCCAGGACTCACCTCAATCATTAACTACTACTGTATAGTCATGCTTTATATTGAACAGAGGTTGTTACATAACTGTACACCTGCCATGTCACCAAACCAATATACAGTAGTTGATTTTTTAATTATAATATATATATATATATATATTTATTTATATATTATTATTATTATTATTATTATTTTATTATATGTTTTTATTTTTTTATTTTTTTACTTTTATTATTTTTTGTGGGTTAACCCAGAATTGAAAGTTAATTATTAAGTAATTAAAAGATATAATGTTAAATTAATTTTTTCATAATGACTGACTTGATACTTTAGTGACACAACTGACAGTGATGACTAGGACAATGATGGCTGGACATGTTAAAATAATTGGGAAAATATCCATTAATCACTAACATTATAAAACCAACATCTAAAACAAACTTGTTACTCATTTGAAAACTATTTTGAAGATATATTTAAACCAGTTAATAATTTGTAGCAGAAAACTTTAAAATGAGAAGTGTAGTGTATGCATCATCAGAGTTAGGTTGGCAGGTGTGCACTAGTGTAGGGAATGATGCTACTAAGTGGGCAGTGGTGGTGTCAAACTGCCGTTGTGTAAGCAGCCTGTGGCTGCAGCTGGTGCTGCTGGAGTTGTGCTGGAGCTAACCCAGAGCCCCCAAGTCTGCCCTTGTCTGTGGCCCTGGGGTGGGGGAGGTGGTGTGACCCACCTCCCTACCTACCCACCCCTCACCCCCCACTGCTCCCCCAGCACGTCTCCTCCCCCATCCACCCTGCTCTCCACTAACCATTACTCACCATAAACTACTGGCCATCTAACTCACATTTCCTAGACTCTTGTCTGTCCAGTCTTCTTAACTATTATTTTTATCCTCCTGGAAACTGCATGTACCTCATAGAGGGAGTCTTACCAGACATTTTTTTGGACGGAGGAACCTTTTTTATTTTTTAAAATAAAGCATTTTTGCTTCCAATAAATTAATCATAATTTGCCTCGGTTTGGAATTGAATAACAGAGCTGGTGGTCCAAAATGTTAAAATAAGTGCATGTGAGTTGGCTGGTGCAATACACAACACGGCTGCGGAGTCATTGATGCACGCGCGTTTTGTTTTTGTCACATGCTGCCTGGTTTTGACTGATGGACTGCCGTAATAATAAAATAAATGCCAGAACCAGTTCCCTGCGGAGTCGCAATCTAATTAGGGATTTCCTTTCTTTCCCCCGTCCCCATTTTTTGTCTGGTATGTTCCTTCCCTCCTCTCCCCTGTGCTTTGTATCCCTTATTCATTTCTGCTTCCTTGCCTGTCGCTACACCCAATTTGATACATTTTTGGTAATTCCCATCCACTTTGTTTTCCACCTTGTTGGTGTAACTCCTCCCGGGTCTCTATGGTCACTACTCTTGTGACATTAATAACTTCTGTTGTACTTTCCTTCCTTTTGTTTAACTGGTATATCCATTTTCTTCTGGATCCACTTCTGGCACTTTTAATGGACTCATATTGTATGTTGTTGTTTATCAACAAATTTACTCCTAATTGCTCTGGATTTCTTGCCTATTATTACTCGCTTGACTCACCTGACTCTTGGCGATTTTCACTTCTTGGTCATTGACTCTGACCTATTATCACATTTACTTTAAATTTATCGTGTTTGGGTAACTTCTGTTCCTCCAAATCACTCTTACTGGCACCCTATTTCCTGGGTCCCTTGCTCTCACTTGACCCACACCATCGGTGCAGGTGTACCCTTTGTGTGGCCGCCGCCAAAGAAGGTGGACACGGTGGAGGAGGGGCCCCGCTCGCCTGCTTGGGCGCCTGCGGGGGAACCTGTCTATGTGCCCAGACCAAAGCATGCTGCTGGTCCACCCCCAAAGAGGCCTCCCCTCTTGCCCACCCCACCACCTCCAAAAGATTACGATACCATGGTCATAAAGGCTTCCCCTCCCACCCAGCAACCCGCTGAACCTGCCAAAGTTTCCCCCGCTTCTGCTTCTGCTTCTGCCCCTGCTCCAGTTCATCCACCTGCTCCTGCCCCTGCCCCAGCCCCCACTCCTGCCCCTGCTATAACACCAGCATGTAAAATCCCTTCTTTGTCTGGAAAGGGTAAAATAGAACCCCCATCATTTGTGCCAGTCACTGCACCAATGCCCACTGTTAGCAAGTGTGCCCCCACCCCACAGCTGTCTTCTACTATGCCTGCTGCTCCCAAGCCAATTGTTCCTAAACCAGCTGCTACTGCTAAACCTGCTGCTTCTAAGCCTATTCAGGGATTTAAGTCTGTGGCAGCTCCCAAGGTAGTACCAAAGGTAGCTTCATCAAATGTTGGTTTTAAGTCAGTTTCATCACCCGGCCAGAAAACAGGTCCGGCCCCAGGAGCTCCCTCAAGACTTGCCTCCGCCCCCATCCCTCCCCCTATTTCAGTTCCCATTGTTAATTCTGCTCCAGCCCCTGCTCCTAAGCCTGCTCCAGGTCCAGCTGCAGCATCCGCATCAGCCCCAATGCCAAAACCTGCAGCCCCCAAGCCCCCCGCTCCCACAGGCCCGGCTCCAGCTCCTGTCTTCGCTCCGGCTCCAGTGCCAGCACCTGTTCCTGCTCCATTTGGTGGTGGCATGCCCAAGCCCACGCCAATGCCGGATCTGGGTGGTAGTTCACTGAAAGGTGTTGCCCAAACTGGAGGGCAGAGGTCTGCCCCTCGTCGTGGACGTGGTGTGATGAACCCTTCCACTACTACCAGGATACCCGTATGTGCTGACTGCACGCGCCAGATCAGGTTGGTGGTGTGGTTAGGATTTAAGGGTGTTGTAGTAGGCTAGGTGTGTTCTAAGCATGTTGTGTGTGTACCTTTTGTCATGTTTGTTGTCCCCTGTGGCCAGGCACAGTGACGCCCGCTGCCACCACCACCAAGGAGCTCCCAACCTGCCGTGGCTGCAACACACCCATCAGGTAATACCCCCTGTACTAACATTCTCCTCCCTACTACTTGCATTTCACACTCACAGTTTAACATATGGTAATTAAAATTTATTAACATACTGAATTGTAAAGAATGAAAATTAGAATTATCTAATATTACAGGGCAAGTTATGACTAGCAGCGTATGAATAAAATACGTAACATTTATTTTTTTAAGGGTAATTATTGATTTAATGTTAACTGTACTAAGAGTATATCAGAAGATAGTCACTACTAATATACAGATAAAGATGTGTACACAGTATCTTGCATTATTTTACTCTTCAGGGGCTTAATTACTGTAGACTTATGTAATACCATTATCATCACCATAATTCTTCCAACACAGTTGTAAATGCATTACTTTGTCTACTTGTACATAATGTGGCTTTGCATGTTAAGTTACTTTTCCTTTTATCTGCATTGTCCAAGGTGTATATATGCCTGGTATAGGTCAAGCTATAATATTATTGTATTTGAGCAGTTGATTACATCATACTTATACAGCACAGCAATATTTACAATGAATAACAATGAAATATTTTGAAAAAATTTCCTCCAATTACAGTAGTTGGAAACTTGTTAATTTGATGTACACTGTATTACTGCTTACACTTGACCTACCTAGATTTTTAACCGAAGCCTTAATAAACTTTTCACAGAGGCCCCTTCGTTTCTGCATTGGGTAAAACCTGGTGCCCAGATCACTTTGTGTGCTCCACTGAAAGTTGCCGCAGGGCGCTAATTGACATGGGCTTTGTAGAGGAGCAAGGTTCCCTGCACTGTGAAGACTGTTACGAGAAATACTTTGCCCCCATCTGTGGCAAATGTGACAAGAGGGTGAAAGGGGTATGTCTTATTTTTTTCATATGAGCCAATTTATCATATTGCTTTTGAATAGTATCTTTGTACTTTTGCAGGGATACTGTATAAATTACAGTACAGGTACTGTATTCTTGCTTTTTTTATTCGGTTCTGACTTAAGAAAGCAGAGGTTTATCTGGAAATTTAGATTATATAAATGGTAATTAAGTGAATTTATTAAAAAAATGATGAAGTTCAACGTATAGTACTATACAGTATTTACAAAGAGTAAATAATTATTTTTTGTCTCTAGGACTGTCTTAATGCTGTTGGTAAGCAGTTTCATCCCGAGTGCTTCTGCTGTGCTTACTGTGGCAAGGTGTTTGGTTCTGGGGCCTTCTATCTGGAAGATGGATTGCCTTACTGCGAAGCCGGTGAGTTGTTTGCCCCAGGAGTAAGTACTTAGTAGAGAAGGGGATTTTTTATTTTTATTTTGTTAATCTTTAACATTATCTTTATTAAATTATACAAAGGTGTTAACATAAGTTGCAAAACACATGTAAAGGAAGGTGTATGAAGAGTTGAACAAGGTGAAGTAAATAGAATTGGTTGAGTGTAGTCAGAGGAATTGTAGAGGAGCAACTTTTTTTGCTTGGGGAAGTATTATCTGTAGTACAGTATTGTGATAATATGCCATTAAAGGTCGACTGAACTGTTATGTCATTTTACTTTTTGTGTCAATTTCTCATAGATTGGAACGACTTATTTACGACCAAATGTGTGGGCTGCGGTTTCCCCATTGAGGCTGGTGACCGATGGGTAGAAGCCCTCAACAACAACTACCACAGCCAGTGCTTCAAGTGCTCGGTAAGTTGCCTGTCAGTGTGTAAAAGTCCTATTTTTGAAGTGTAATCATCTCCATTTCCGAAATTACTGCTGCATTGCTAAAGTTTAATATAATCTTTAGTCTTCAATATTTATATAATAATGCAGTATGTGGTGGAGATAATTCTTGGCCTTCTGTGTACATGTGACAGGTGTTACATGTGCAAGTAAGTGATATAAGTACACACAGTATAAAGTTTCCTTACAAATAGGTTGGCTAGACACACAACTTCTATCACCAAGGAAGTGCAGTACACTACACTGTTAAAAACAAACCTTCTTTCTATTGGCTATTAGGACTCCCCTCAACAGCTAGCACTGTTCCATTGCAGCACCATCTTAGGAAATATTTTGTAATCTATTTTGTATTTCTTGTTCCCCAATTCTTACTTTTTCTAAATTTTTTTGTCAACATTACTTAGACTATTTACACTACATTTTAATTGCCTCATTTGTCAGTAAACTTTGAAGGATACGGGTAGAATATTAGACATGATAATTCTCCTCCGTGTTGTAGCATTGTCATTGGGTCATAAACAGTAGTAGATTTTGCACACACAGAATGAAGTGTTGAACATCATCAACCTGGTGTAAGGGGTATGGTAGCCTTACTCATGCTAGTGTGTTTGTGAGAGGACCTGTTTTTCTTTATACTGTACAGAGCTGCAGTAATATTTCATTTTTTGCCACACACACACACACACTGTATGGTATAAGGTTGTATATAAATACATGCATGTATTCTTCTGCATTCAGTACCATGCATATAAGGTGAGGTAGAATATGTTTTTTTTTTACGAGTGTGTTCTTGTGACATCATTCTTCATTTACCATTTCATGCATCCGGTTCAGGGTGCAGAGGTTGTTGACACCAAAATGTTTGACAAAGAAACCTGCATGAAGTACATTACAGTACTGTATATATATTGAAATGTCAGAATGGCCATTGTACCCTGCATGAACAATTGTTTAGGGTCCAGTACTAAAGTAAGAGGTGTGTTTGTGTGTGTCAAACTGAAACACCTCGAGTGTAATAGTATTTATGCTCCTGAAGAACCAAAGATGTATTTGAAAACTATTTTATCCATTTTTTTTGTATAGCTTAAAAGAATGTTTGTTTGCTCCCATCCTATCCACAGGTTTGCAAATCCAACCTAGAGGGCAAGAGCTTCTATGCCAAGAACGGCCGACCCTTCTGCAAGTCCCATGCTGGCCGCTAAACTCCAGTTTGGGCCACTCTTGCTTGGTGCTTTGATCCGATACTTAGCCACATTCCTCAACCACCCTTGATCACCTTAAAGACTCCCTAAATAGTCTATTGTGCATTCAACCACATGAATGCCACGGACTATGGGCTCTTGTTTGTTATCACACCTTTAAACTGATTTGACGGTGTTAATGGTTACCAAGCATAAGGTGTCTCAAGGAGGATTTTGGAATATGGAAAATTAGAGCTTTTTAGAATTCTCAAATAGATATTAAATGTATTAATTATGCGAGGGTTTCTTAGTTTTCTTATTATGTTTGATTAGCTTCAGTAAATCCTCTAGTTAACTTCTTAGTTCTCTGATAGTAAATAAAAGTTTTTCTCACAAATAGCTAATTAGCCAAGCATAGCTCTAATCTTAGCTAGTGGGATATAAACTGTGCAAATTACACTTGCAGTCAATAATTATATTTGTGGGTGCACCATAACCAATCAATATAGATTTAATTAAGCCTCGCCTGTCAGCGACCTGAGCCTAGGTCTGCCTTATGCACTAAGATTCACACTTACTGCTCATTCCCTCTGTCTTTATCTTCGGGTGGAGGTGGTTGGAGGGCGCTTAGCCACACTTACACTTGTGCTACAGCAATACTGTCCTCACACTCCTCTTGTTCCACAGACAGTAGAGATGCTCAGTATCTGCAGCACAATATTAACCAAGAATTCTGTCAATGTAGTGTGCATAATTAGAGTAGTAACTAGCCTCTAACCTGCAGAAATGCCACAAGAACTTGGAGGGCCAGAGCTTCTTCGCCAAAGGTGGAAAGCCTTTCTGCAAGGCTCACGCCCAGCGTGGTTTCTAAGCTGCTTCACAGAGCACGCAGGGTCCCGTCACGGCTCTTCCTTCTGAGGGCAGGGAGGGGTTCACCTGCTCCCATTCTCTAGCAACAGAATCGACTGGCTGCACAAGTGCCATCTTCACTAACTTATGTACAGTCGCAGCAGCAGGAGCAGAAGTCCACTAAAACATATCTGCTTACCTGTCCTTGTTTAGCTATTTAATAACATGTACTGTATTATACCCCTCAAAAGTGACTAACTGTTGAGGCAGAACTCTAGTGTGAGTTAACCATCTTTCTGTTGCATTTATTTATTTATTTGTCTTTATATGGTAAGGCAGTTAGTCAGCCTAATGGCTCAGATTTATCAAGAAATGGTGCATAAAAATCACCAGTGATATGAAAGTCAAGTGCCTTGATTTTATCACATTAATCTATTAGAGTAAGTATACATAAGCTTTAGTGCCTAGATTAAGGTTCAGTAATACAGACATACTATATGAAAGGTCTAACATGATATGTCACATGTACTACTTTTGATTTCTTCATTGCTTTAGCTATTTTCCAGTCCTTGCTGTATACTGTACTGTATAGAGAAATATATCAATTGTGAATAACAGCATATTGTTACACAGAAACTATTATTGTATATATGAATTTCGTGAATGAAACCTATTTATCTAAACAAAATAAAACTACTATATATACCAACTTAGCAACAAGATTCTAACTCGGCTATGCTTGCTTAGTCTCCTAAATGCCGTGTGTCTTGTCTGTCTCAATTTCTGTTTATGTTTGATGTTCACACGCACTGAGAACAGTCTTCGTGAATTTGGAAAAAGAGGGAATTCTAAGTCATTTGCTGACCGTAGAGCTTGCTTAGGGGCCAATTAATACACATCCCATGACCCTGTAGCAAACAAGTTTACGGAGGCTGATGTAGATTGTTTTAAATTCACGAAGGCTGAACCCAAAAACGTTTTAACTACTCAATCTAAAATTCTGTTGCGTGTTTCTTGATCTTCTGATTATCATTCGTCCCGCCTTCAAAGGGGAATATAAATGAAAATAGACATGTTGTAATGTTACTTTCATTACCCTAAACATTTGCTTATGTATTGTGGCTGCTCATATATATATATATATATATATATATATATATATATATATATATATATATATATATATATATATATATATATATATATATATATATATATATATATATATATATATATATATATACATATACACAGTAGTACCCCGATTTAAGCGGTCAATTGAACCCATGGGGTACCGCGGAAAGTGAAAACCGCGTAAAGTGAACAACAGAACATATGGGATTAATTCCAATAGAGACTGGCCCGACCCTCAAACTCCACTTTTTCAGACACAATACCTACGTTGTAGTAAAAATTACATCTTGATTTTATGATGGTATGCACACACATTAATAATTAAGAGAAATATCAATAATATTAGTTTTTTAACACTTACATTAGTAGAAAAGATGGTTGGGCACACAGGGATGGGGGGTTGGTTCCGAGGCAGAGGGCAGATTATTGGCCCTCACCTGTATCACTTGTATCAATTGTTTCACTATCCACCACAGAGGCTTGCAGGGCCTCTTTGTCAAACCCCTCAAAGTCCATATAAGTCCATATCCTCTCTATCACTATCACTGACTTGGGCCGGCTGTGGCGGGTGAAGAACTCGGTAATGTATTGATGACTGGGCGACCTTGTGCGCATCCTGCCTGCGCCGCTTCCCGCGTATATGATAAAATCATACAGAAAATAGGGAAACAATGGAGCACCCTAGCTTTTGTCTTTATTCAAGAAGGTAAATCAGGCAAATAAATTATTAGGTCTTATAAGAAGGTCGTTGAGATATCTAGACGGTACGTCCCTTGTAACGATCTTCAAGAGTGAAGTGCTTCCCCATCTGGAGTACTGTCACCCCGTCTGGTCCCCTTAGATATGCTAGGGACTGTCAGTTGGTTGAAAATGTTCAAAGGAGGGCCACCAGACTGGTGTCTGCACTTCGGCACCAACTACCTGAGAGATTTGAGCGCCTGAACTTGCCTAGCTTATACTACAGACGGGCAAGGGGCGTCTTAATTGAGGTGTATAAGCATCTCGAGGGGCACTACTCAGTGTCGAGTGTCCTTACTTGGAGCTGGCGGACGCTCGCCCCACAAGGGGTCACAGCTCAAGGTTGAAGAAGCCGCAAGTCCAGAAAACTATGAGGGCAAACTTTCGGAGTGAGGGTTGTGAACTCTTGGAGCAATCTGCCAGCAAGAGTTGTGACGGCACCGAGCATGAGCTCTTTCAAGACCAGACATGACCAACACTGGAGCAGGTTCAAGTACATTCAGGAGCTGGTGCATGCCCAGTACAGTACCCGCAAACAGTGCGGAACAGAGGCGTGACCGACCGCCCAAGTGGCTAACGAGCCGATCGATCAGTGAAGAGGATAAAAGAAGAAAAATTCTACCCAGACTTTCTGCCTCATTTGCACATATCTAGATTTATTTATTGCTATTATTATTTAGTTCTTTTTATTTTTTATTAAATTTTTTATTGATTATTAATGTTTAGTCATTATTATTATTACAGGGTATTATATTTTTGCCCCCGAGGCCCTGATGTGGGTCAGTGACCTGTGCCTGGGTGAGCTGAAGCCAGTAATAAAAAAAATAAAACCCTTCAACATTGCTAAATCTGCCTCCCGAAAGGTGGGAATGCTGTACAGATGCCGTTGCTATTTCACTCCTGAGTAGTTGCTTCAAGTTTATAAGGGATTTGTTCGTCCTAACTTAGAGTACTGCTCTCATAACTGGGATGGCTCTTCTACCCAACTGTTAGATAGGGTGGAATCAAAGTCTCATTAACCATCCTGTGTACCGCCGGCAAGGCTGTGGGCTCGTAACACTCATCTTGCCTGCGGTGCCCACCATTTCTCACTGGATGTTGGCCACACTAAAATAACCCGTTATAGTACAGGGTACATCCTTCTTTCCTCACACGGCCAATCAAAACCTTTTTTATGGCAACCAGTTAAAATGATTTGTGGTTTAATTCGCAGTATTTTTGGCCCAATCAAATTCCATTTTTATTTTGGGTCTAGTATTTTAAAATTCAAATTAATTTCCGACCATGGAAGTCTGCTATGGGTGTCACTTCAATTATATGGAGCTGATTGCGAGTTTTTTGGGAAAATAACGAAGAAACTATAGCATTTTTAGATCTCGTGGTGTTCTCCCGACCTCAGTAAAGTGCCCTAAGTGCAAGAACGAATGCAAATGTCGTCAAGACCAACATGTGTGGCCTTGTGGTAACTCGAACGAGAACCAGGCCAATAAGGTAAGAAATACGTGATTCCATCCTATGGTGAGAGTCAGTTAGGTTAGGTCAGGTCAGGTTTATGTTTTTCTAGTGTTTTTTTGTGTATTTTGTATTTGCTTAGCCATTATTTTTCGGAAAACGCGCCACCCCCAAAATATTGAAAAAAAAGGCCAATTTCCGACGGAATTGAAGGTCATAACCGATCTAAACACACATAAACACACTAGAATTATATATTTTTTACTTTCTAACAGTTGGGTGCGCTTATACAAATTTACTGGATAATACAGATACTCTTCAATATAACGGTAGCTGCCTTCTAAAATGGTTGTCAAAATTAAACCTAGTCTCTACCGTAATTAGACAAGTTCTATTTCTGTAACTTAAAGGTAAAATAAATCACACGAATCTTTAAGAATTATATTGTAGTTAATAAGCATAAGGTTAATTTGTGTATGGCCTTTTAGGTGAACAAGAGGGAGACTTACTCGAGAAGAAGTTAAATAAGAAATGATTAGTGAAAATAATTCGGCTTAGAAAATCTACAGTACAGTGTCTTTATTTTTCATATGAATACAGAGACCGTAGCATAGGTATTATACGCATTCAATTATAGGTATAAATGCAAGAACAGTTTAAAATGCAAATACAGGTAGAGATACAAGTCCAGGTACATGCTGTATACAAGCACAGGTACAGATACAAGTGCAGGTCCTGATAGTTACAAATGAAGATGGAAAATAACAAGACTTTGAGTAGTGATTGTTGTGTTGCGTCATCCAGCCTGTGGGGGGAGGGAGGAGGTAGGCTGACCATATCTCGTGACTGCTGCCATTGGTGGGGTGGGTAAGCTGGTGTGCTGACATTAATATGGTCTCTCTCTCTTTCCAGCCATCTACTAATATAAGTGTGTATCTCTCGCTCTTTTTATCTAATTGTCTTTATCTTCTCTCTCTATCTGTAAAACAACACATATCTCTCATCTCTTTTCTCTCAACCTCCCATCGACTGGAATCATCACAGAAAGAGATTATCACAGACACATTTTGAGTGGTGTATCGCTGGCTCTTACTGCACTGTCGTTTTTAGACAATCTTACAGTTAATTTTTACATTATGATTAACCACCGTAATGCTAACCTAATTTAACCTATCCTGACGCTGGCCTAACCTAACTTTATGTTAACAACCTAATCTAACTTAACCTTACCTAAGGCTTACTAAACGTAACCTGATGTAACCTAACCGAACATTTATCTAATTTTATGTAACTTAATATAAACTAATCTAATATAATCATATCAAACCTAATCTAGCCTAAATTAATCTAACCAGCCAGGTAGCGTTAGGGGGCTAATCTTCAGGTGATCCCAATTGAGTAAGCTTACGTCTAGAGACTATAGGGGATAGTGAAGAAGTAGAGAGAGAGTGGAAGGAGTGGGTTGGTTGGCGTGGGCGTGTGGGCTGCGTCGAGTCTCAGTAGTCCATCCTCCGCGCAACAGATGACTCTCCACCTCTTGTGTCCCAACGAAATTCTCAATACTTTCCTCTCTTGGTATTTGTTATTTTTTTTTTTTAATGCAGTGAAGTTTTCTACCAATGTTGATGAATTACAGAAACACATCTGAACTGTAATGGAGTAAAATATCTGAAAATATAATAAATGAACGCTAAAATCAAGGTAAATACAAATTACTTCACAGGGTCTTGAGTTGGAGACTGTTTGCCCTACCACACTGTGTTGAGACTCGGCCGGTGGCGGTGCGGGAGGAGTCAGTGGGCGGTAGTGTGTGTGTGTGTCTTGTTTAGGAACTGTTTAGTGTAGTGGGGCCCTCGTCAGGATGGTGGAGCAGCAGGAACAAGGCGGTGGAGGCTGGAATTTCACCCGAATAGGTAAGATCAAAAAACACGTTAATATGTGTGGTCCATGTTTTCGTGGATTAGTTCTATTATAACTCGATATGTAGTGATGGCTTAGGGTCTCATAATAACATTGGTGTCTTTTAATACAGTGAGTGGAAATAGTGTTAAGGAACAAGAAAGAAGTGACTGAATTTACGTAAGAAGCGATTTGAACCTTTGCCAATTAGAGAAAAAATGGAACAACTGAACTATGATTTTTACCAGGAACAACACTAATTACTGCTAAACTAATTAGATGTCGCTCCGTAATTTAGTCTTGTTGAAATCGTTCATAGTTCAGTTGGTTTTGCTTTACAAGATAAAACATGTTTGTCAAAACCCTATTACTACAGCAGGAAGTGTTGAAAACTAACTTAACCTAAGCTAACCTAACCAACCCATTACCGCGTTAGTTTGGTATTCGGATATTCCTATCACCGTGTTACTGTGTTTTTCTCGCTATAAACTTCAACAGGTGCATCGTGTTGTGTCTAGGATGATTTTTATAGTTATATTGTCGAGTGGGTTACATACTTTTCGTGGGGGTATCTGTACTGTAAGGCTCTATTTTCATTTTGTATTTTCTTTTCATTTGGATAAGCTTTGTCATGTAATTCCTGTTTATAGTATTATGTATCAGCATTTAGGTTGTAATACATCGTTTATTTGTTTATAAATTCATTACATTCCCCCTTAAATATGGGTTAGATTAGGATACTACGTTGTGACAGTTAATTTATTGGGTTTTGTGATATACAGTAAGATCTTTTGTATACAGCTAAAGTTTGTGCCTGTACAAAATACTCGTGTGTGTGTTTGTGTGCGCATCAGGGATTCATCAACAGTAGAGGAACTACACATGTTGACTTAGAAGTTAAAATAAAAACTTGTTTACTCATACCCAAAAAATATCTGAGGAAGTTTTAATCGGATTTTCAAGTGAGGAAGTTGCACGGGAGGAGGTAAAATATGGGATGTTGTGCTGTGTAATGAACACCTGAGATGTAATTGTGATTAATGATGTCTTATAGATTAGCGGATCACCTGAAGATTAGCTCCCCTTTCGTCACTTCCATGCACATTATTAACTATCCTAACGCTAACCTTACCTAATTTAACTAAACCTAATCTAACCTAACTTAACCAAACCTAATCTAACCTAACTTAGCTAAACCTAACCAAACCAAATCCAATCTAACTTAACCCCCAAGTTAATTGTGACTGGAACTAACCAAACAATCTGAAGTTAATCCCATGTTAACATAAGAACATCAGAATGGAAAAAACAGCAGCGGGCCTATTGGCCCATACTGGGCAGTCCCGTTTACACCCAACCCCTATCGCTCATATATCCATCCAACCTATTTTTGAAGCTATCCAGCGTTTCGAGTTAATGATGATGTTTAGTAACTTGGTCCACCCGTCCACTACTCTATTTCCAAACCAGTGTTTACTTATTTCGCGCTTAAATCTAAATTTGTCTAATTTAAAACCATTGTTACGAGTTCGTTCCTGGTTGGAAAGTTTGTAATGTCCCCTCTGTTCAGCCCTGACTTCCATTTATACACCTCGATCATATCGCCCCTCACTCTACGTCTCTCGAGGGAGTGCAAACTAAGACGCTTTAACCTGTCTCTGTACTCAAGGTTCCTAATGCCCGGGATTAGTCCTGTCATTCTCCTCTGAATTCTTTCTAGGGATTCTATATCCATTCTGTGGTACGGTGACCAGAATTGAACTAACACTCCTTTGTATGAACCCAAGTACTGTGTTAGCTTTGTTTCGAGCAATTACACATTGTTTACTTGGTTTAAGATTCCTACTTATCATTACTCCTAAATCTTTCTCAGTCTGATTTCTCTATAACATCTTTGTTCTTCTGTTATCTGGTTTTTCTGTTTACATCACCTAGACTAAGTGCTTAACATTTGTCCACATTGAATTTCATCTGCCATTTTTCAGACCATTCGAAAATTTGAATGATAATGGTCCAAGTACTGAGCCTAGGGGTACTCCACTAGTGACGTTACTTCAGTCGGATTTACTGCCGTTAATGCTCACTCGCTGTTTCCTGTTCTGCAACCACACCCTAATCCATTTTAGAATATATCTTCCAATGCCATGAGTATCGATAACCTTACCTAACGCCATTTATCTAAAGTTATCCAATGCATAGTGACCTTTATTAGTACCTTGGTTCACATCTGTTACCTGGTGGAAACTCGTGAGAAACAGGGAACAGAATATTCCTTTTGGTTGACTTCTGACCCCTCCCCCCCCCCGTCATTTACCGTTATATGATCTCGTATAACCTCTGAATGCACTGAAATTACCGCCGCTATTGAAGGAGTGACCTAGTTGCCTGATTACCCTTCATTCTATAGTTTAGTATATAAGAGCATTTGCCCCCCACTGCTTCTCCCTCCCCCCTCCCCTCGTCTCAGCCCAGTGAGTGATGGCGGGGAGGTGGTCAAGCCCTCGTGGGGAGACAAACTGCTCCTCCTGTAAGCTGATTACCTACCTGTTGGGGATCTTATCTCCGAGGGGCAGCTTGTTCTAGGGGCGCCTTCATCCATATGTGTCGTCCTTATTTCTATTCATTCATTGGTTGTTCAAGTAAATAAGATATGTACGTTTATCAGGTTATTCATCGTGTGTATGTATGTATGTATGTTGTATATATGTATGTATATGTATGTATGTATGTATGTATGTATGTATGTATGTATGTATATTTGTATGTATGTATGTTGTATATATGTATGTATATGTATGTATGTATGTATGTATGTATGTATGTATGTACTGTATGTCCATCCATCACCGGTCACCCTCACCTTTCACTAATACCCCAAACCCACACCCCTTACCCCACACCCCTCACCTCACAACCCTCACGCCTCATCGGCAGGCTCTCGTTAAAGATGGGTCACCGCTTCCTTTGATATGTTGGCTCTCTCTCTCTCCTCTCTCTCTCTCTCTCTCTCTCTCTCTCTCTCTCTCTCTCTCTCTCTCTCTCTCTCTCTCTCCCCCCCCCCTACCCCCGTCCCTTCTCCCTACCCCCGTCCCTTCTCCCTATTTTCCTTCTCCCCCAATCCCCCTTCCTCCCCTTCTTTCCCCGCCCTTTCCCCCTCCTCCTCCCCTTCCTCCCTCCTTCCCCTCCCTATCCCCCTTCCTTCCGCCATAGACAATACAAGAGACATCAACATTGTGGTCTTAAGAGATACCGTTGTGGTCTCGCGTCTCCCTGGACCACCTGACCTATTTCCTGAGGCCAGAGAGAGAGAGAAAGAGAGAGAGAGAGAGAGAGAGATGGTTTAAATTTATCGTGTTCTTAGTGAAAGACGTGAGGGTCTGGGGGATTAATAAAGAAGTGTGAGGGTCGATCGAGGTAATTGGAGGGGGGGGGAGGTGAAGGCCTGCCTCGGTCGTTTCTATGTCAGTTTGGTTTATAAAATGGACAGCCATGATCGCGATGGTCAGCAGAAATGTTGACACCCACATTCATTCTGGTGACGTAATAGTATAAATAAATTGGCACGAGGGATTTTATTAGAGAGAGAGAGAGAGAGGGGGGGGGGTTTAGTCGTAGCTACACGGCATAAAAAAAGTCTTGACATTACATAATAATTATCCTCGAGAAACACGGAAGTGAGGACTCTGTGTTGACCTGGGAGAGTATTTAAACTTGGGAGGGGCAGCTGGGATAGGAGTTGGGGTGGAAGGGATGGGAGGAAGGAAGGAGGTAGGGTCGGGGGATAAGAGGGAAAGGGAAGAGAGGAGAGGTGGGAGGTCGAGGGTATGAGAAGAAGGAAGGAGGGGGTAGGAGAGGAGAAGGGAAGAGGTGAGGTGTGAGGGGAGAATTTCAGCTGTCTATCTTTGAAACTGTAGCAGTACAGAGTGAACAAACAGACAGACAAATATGTTTTATCTCTACATTTAATAAAAAGGACGTGTCTGTCTGTCTGTCTGTCTGTCTGTCTGTCTGTCTGTCTGTCTTCCTGTTCTAGCCACAGCTCCTCAGGTAATCAAACCTTTGTCTTTTATGTAAGGAAGAAAATACATATCAGATCCCTCTCTCCCCCCCCCCCCGTGGTGGCCTCCTTCACCGCCTGCGTCATCGTCACTGTGATGGACGCTAACCCACTCAATTGTGCCGCGGTGGTGAATTAATAAAGTGATAATGGAATCTCTTGCCTCAGTTCCTAACACGATCGTCGCATTTACCTCGTCTCGGGTTGCCACTCTCAGCCTCACGCCGGAGAGTGGATATACTGTATGTGTGACCGCGTGAGGTTCCTTCCCGAAATCTCAGAATGTAAGAGAAAACATCTTTGAATAGATAGTCTTGGTTTAATTACGACTCCATTTATTTACCCTTCAGTTTGGGATCGTAGTTTAAGTGGTTGAGTTGGTATGTTTTTTGAAGTTTGTTTCAATATTATTATTTAAACAAAAGTCGCTCTGAGAATCCATAGCAACGATCAAAAAGAGTTTAACTAGGCTAAATGATGGACTTGTAGAATACTTACTACTCTACCCCCCAAAAAATACTTATTTATTATTCTGTGTGTTAGAAGTTGTGAATGACTTGGAGATTACCCTCCCCTAATTTAATTCACCTTTGATTAAACACCTTAATGCTGCCTTGGGGGAATTAGTTTAGGTGACGTTAATTTTAAAGGTGAAGCTAGATTATTGGGGGCCTAGGTGATCTTCAGGTGATCAAAGAAGGTGTTTAGGTTGGAGTTGGGTTAGCTTTAAAAAGGTCAAACAATTTGATGATTTGTAAGTGGACTTTTGTTACACAGAGAGAGAGAGAGAGAGAGAGAGAGAGAGAGAGAGAGAGAGAATTCATGTAAGGTTTCTTTGACCCCTTACGACTTACTGGAAGAGGGAGGTGGGTGGATGACAGACTCTCCCTAGTCTTAAAAGAAAGGTCTAGCGGTGTTTGATTCGTGGTTAGGCCAGGTCAGGTTAGGTTAGGGTAGGTTAGGTTTGATATAGATATCCTTCACCTTAACTAACAAGGGGTCAGCATCCTGGCTTAATTATGTGTTGTGGTTCGTGGTGGAGCGTAATTGCTACCTACCTACCTGCACCGTCCTTCTCTACCTTCTCTTTTTGTTTCACTTCTCTCTTTATCAAGCGTCTCTCTCTCTTCTCTTCCTCCCCACCACATCCCTTCCTCCTCCACCTCCCCCCCTTTATCCTTTCCTCTCTCTCTCTCTCTCTCTCTCTCTCTCTCTCTCTCTCTCTCTCTCTCAGATGGTCGCCGAGACAACCAGAGGGAAATGAGGTCAGGGGAGGGAATCATCTTAGCTCTCATTAATTCTAACTATGCAGAGAGAGAGAGAGAGAGAGAGAGAGAGCCATGATCTTCCAGGAATGAGCTAAATCATCACAATATCAAAAGCACGTTATCATTATCTCTCTCTCTCTCTCTCTCTCACGTGGACGCGTTATATTGCAGCTTGTCTCCCAGATCAAATTATGTAAAACTGATTGTAACTTTTCGTCATTTTTTTTACTGCGGTGTATTTTTTTTATCACTGTCTGGGCTGAATCTTGTCGATGCAACGTAGTTATTATTTTTGATTTACCTTTTCATTCTAAATATTAATAACGAAGTTTGTCTTTGTCTTTATGATCTGATCTGACCTGACCTGACCTGACCTAACTTGACCTGACCTAACTTGACCTAGGTACACCAGAGGAGAACGACAGGTGCTACACCCTTGAACGTGACCTGGTGCGTTAACTACTCTTAGATCTCGGCTTTTACGTCCTTGAGAGAGACGCCTCCTACATGCCTAAGTATAGCACCTGAGAGTGGTGAGTGTGGTCCTTCAAGTTAAGTAAAGAGTGTGTTCATGGGGACGTGAAGGTGTGTGTGTGGGTGGGTGGGATGGAGGGAGTGTGGGTGGGAGGGAGTGTGTGGGTGGGTGGAGGGGTGTAGGTGGGTGGGAAGGGTGTAAGTGGGTGGGAGGGAGGGTGTGGGTGGTGGGAGGGAGTGTGGGTGGGTGGAATGGGTGTAGGTGGATGGGAAGGAGTGTAAGTGGGTGGGAGGGAGTGTGTGGGTGGGTGGGAGGGGAATTATTGGGTGGGTGGGAATGGGTGTGGAGTGGGTGGGGATGGGTGTGGGTGGGTGGGAGGGAAGAGGTGGTGTAGGAGGGATGAGGATTTGATGATAGGGAGTGGAAGGAGTTATTCCCCTCCTCCCCTCCTCACCTCCTCCACCTCCACACTCCTCCCGTCCAGTAATAAATTACATTGGTAAACCTGACATTACCAGGAAGTCCACCTGTTGCTGACACTCTTCCGCGCCTTCTCCCACAACATCCACCTCCCCACCCCTACACTCCCTCCCCTACACTCCTTCTCCCTACCCCATCCTCCCCACCTCCCTACACCCAACCCCCCACTCCTCCCCTACTCTTCACCCACACCCTCCCCACCCCCACATAAACGTTACATAAGAACAGGTGTACAGTAGGTATAAACCCTCGAGAAATTTGATAGCAAGGAAAACCCCAATTGTATTCAGGGTTCAGCATGTATATGGACATCGCAGGTATACAGTTTACAGGTATTACAGGTTTTCATGATATTGGGGTACTGTATATTTCAAAGCTCCTACTGTACATCCTGAAATAAGTACTTGGTCACAATGTCTCTGTTACTTCTAAATATAAATGTCTTGTTTTTAGCTCCTGGGCGCTCATCTCACTAGGAGTTATTTCATGTTATTTGTGTTAGTTAGATGGTGTTTGCTGTTACGAAATCTTTCCGCGAAGCCCATGAATACTGTGAGTGAAATGTTATCGTTTTAATAGAAGCCAGAGACGTGATCGTAAGCGTATTGTGGTATTGATGAGACATGACGTGGCCGTAGCCTTACATGTGCTGCTTCTCGCACAATAATCCTCTTTGACTTAATCACTGACTGCCAGACCCAAGCCAGAGTGGACGACCTACTTAAGTCTGACTGTGTTGTAACGATCCACGGTTCTCGAAAACACTGAATTGCATCGGTGGTACAATGTTAGGTTGAGAGTATTGGTTTGATTCCTGTTTGGGTGTGACTGATGTGAGAAGGATGTAGTCTAGGCCAGGGTGACCTTACTAGACATAACCGGTGTTCAGTAGGTACCCCAGCGTCTTTTACTGTCCTTGTGAAGTTGAAGACTGAAGATTTGGACAGTAAGTTTGATGTCTTCCTTCGCTATATTCTTTTACAACCAATGTTAAACCATGTCATTAATTAAGTACAACGGTTGTCAGGTGGATATACGTGTAGATAGATAGCTGCATATAGTGTTCAGTTAAATCGTTTTACATGTTCACATTGGTTCAGTATGTACACAGTCAGCCTGTCAGTCTATTCTATTACAACTGTTTGCAAGTAGTGTACTGTATTGGGGATGTACTCTCACATGTGCCTGTGTTGGTCAAGTCTGAATTTTAAGGAGCTCACACTTGATGCTGTTACAACATTCTCTGGCAGGTTATTCCACCAGTTCACAACTCTTACTCCAAAGAAGTGAGCTCTGATAGTTTTCCTTATTTATAGCTTCTTTAAATTAAGGCTGTAACCTCTAGTGACACGGCCATCTAGTGACTCCACCCGTACATTTAACTGGAGTAATGTCCTTTGAGATTTACAAAAAAATTCTGTACAATGGCAAAAAATATGTAGTTTTGATTTAATTAGAAAGACCTTTCGAGAATATTGTATGTTTATTATTTTATTTCATTTAGATCTATATTCTCAATACATTATAATGAAACTGATACAATACAGTACAGTACTAGTTTTATTTGTGAGTTTTCGTGGTTTTAGTGTAAGAGACGGGGTGTTGTTAATTAAACCTTACTATGTGGTTTTATATCTTGCAGTGTAAAGGTTACCAATCTTTGAATAATAATTTTGATGTCTTGTGTTTCTAGACTCATACTTTAATAGCGATAAAAATTAAGTTCTTAACAACCTTGCCGTTCATATTAATTTTATGGTTGTGTATGTACATGTATATGTGCAGCATTGATTCGTTACACAAGCACTTAATATAATTCATGGCCTGTAGGTGTGGTGACCGTGGTATTAGGTGTGGCGGCGTGGACATGGCAGGCGTGGTTTGGTACATCAGTGGGCGTGGTTTACAAGGCGGACCCCGTCTACGACTTCATCGTGGTGGGCGGGGGCACGGCAGGCAGTGTAGTGGCCGCTAGGCTGAGTGAGGTGGACCACTACCGCGTCCTGCTGGTGGAGGCCGGGGGTGAGGAGCCCTGGCTCTCTAACATACCCCTGGCAGCCCCCCTTCTCCAGCGGTCCCGTTTTGACTGGCAGTACCTCACTGCACCTCAGAAGTTGTCTTCGGGGGCTCTGGTAGACAAGGTGGGTTGTAGGGAAGGGTAACACCACTGGGCGAGTGGGAAGTTTGAGATTGTCACACTGCAGCTGTGAGGGACCTAACAAAATCGTGGAGCACTTAAAGTACGGTAAAGAGTAAAATAGTGCAGAAGGCAGAATATCCTAAGACTTATTAAAGTTTCTGGCAACGTCAAGCTCATGAGATACATGTTAAGTGATTTAAATTTGCCTTTCAGCATCTCTCAACTTAATCTCGCCATATGTAAAGGAAAACCTGTTTATTGTTTAGTTCATCGTGTGTGTGTGTGTGTGTGTTGACATTGGCCATGTTGTTCATGTGTTCTTTAAACCTTGCAACTGTTGCTGCATTAATACCATTACAAGTACAGTACTGTACAATACAGTAAACATCTCTCTTTATTTTTATATTAATTTAGTTTATAATCTATTTTACACTGAAATTTATGTACTGCAGTCTAATGCATTTTGCACGTGAATGAAGGGCTATGTCATCCTTGCAGCAATCAGCGTGGCCTCGGGGTCGGGTGCTAGGGGGGAGCGGCACCATCAACTACAACATCCACATGTTGGGGTCGCCTCAGGATTTCCAGGTTTGGGAAGAGGAGTATGGTGCTGCTGGCTGGGGCTTCACCCAGATGAGGAAGTACGCCAACAAGGCCGAGTGTCGCAGGCTCAGGCCCAAGATCTTCAAGGTCCGTCCAAGTGTGGAGGACGTTTTCCATTGATTCTCTATACTATAATGATATATTAATCATAATATATTATTGAATTAATTGTGGATTTTTCTAAAAGTCCCTTAAACACAAATAAAAATGTTCAGACTTTATCAAGTCTAATAGAGTAAAAATCTACAGCAGGAGCAATGCAGCAGCGAGGCCCAGGAGAAGTCAGAGGCAGAATGCAACAGCACCAGCGGCGAGGGACTAAAAGTGGGACCTGGCGGTCACGTGAGACAACACCAAGATGCTGTCCAGTGCTACCACCCTCCGGTCCGCGTCCATACCGCTGCCTCCACCCTCACAGACACGTTTCTCGCTGCAGGAAAGGAGCTAGGTCAGTCTGTTCTTACTTCAGTTAATCTTAATGCTTTTCCAGTTATTGTATATGAAAGAAAAATTCTCACAGTAATGAAGTTGAGCCTAATTTCAAGGACACCCTTATTAGTACACTTATCAAGTTACAGCTGAAGTGAAAGTTTGTAAGTTGGAATACTGCCCTAATAAATTATCAAACATAGTCTTCTTAATATTGTTTAGTTGAATACACTTAGTAATACTGAACCACCCTCTTATATGTGTGTATTTGATGCTATTGGACCACTCATATAGACCATCACCACCAACACTCCTGAAGCACTGATATGACTCAACAAAACACTACTTAACCTCTTCAGTGACTCTTATATGCTCAGTATACTGTATTATAATTATAAGGTACATAAACAGTACTGTAATAGATAATGGTAATCAACTGTACCAACCGTTCTGAAAACTAGTGGATTAACACTGCTCACAATACTATGAACCACATTGGCCCCATGGGTAGCGATATTATTTTTAGGGACTGTACGTCATGTTTTAAGTCTGTGTGATCATATCAATTATATAAAGCTAAAATAAAATTACTTTATGACGTTAACCTCCTCCTCTCTCTCTCTCTCTCTCTCTCTCTCTCTCTCTCTCTCTCATTCATTCATTCATTCATTCATTCATTCATATCTGGATGATTTTGAGTCAGATGATATTTTCCAACAGAAACTCAGGTTTATTCTGACGTTAATTTGTCCCTACAGGCCTGCCGGTGGGTAACCTCAACGATGACATCGACTATGGGGTGATGGCGGCCGAGACGACGGTGTTCAAGGGTCGTCGCTGGAGTACTGCCACTGGCTATCTTAGACCTGCTCTTGGCCGACCAAACCTCCACGTCCTCCTCCACACACATGTCACCAAGGTATAGTACTCTCCACTTCCACATGTTTACGCATTTTATCTAATCTCCTAAAGTTTTTTCCAGTCTCCTTGCCATTCTGTGCTGTGTTGCCTCCCATCACTTTCCATTAATATGTTCTCCTCCCATTACTCTTTTGTCCTTATTAATGTGTTCCTGTTCCATAACTCTCTGTTGATATGCTCCCTTTCCATCTTTATAGACGTGTTATCTTCTCATTACTATTAATTGATGTGTTTCCCTCCCACATCCCTTTATGTATGTGCGTTCTACCCATTTTGCTATTTTTGATGTTCTTTTGTTCCTTTGGTTTATTTCATTTTTTTTTGTCCCAACAGATCATTTGGGAGGGCAAACGTGCTGTGGGTGTGGAATTTGTACAGTGGGACAATGCCCACCTTAATGGGTCGGTGTATGCTCACGGGGAGGTGGTACTGGCAGGAGGAGCCATCAACACCCCTCACCTCCTCACTCACTCTGGTGTGGGACCCAAGTCTATCCTGGAAAAGTTTCAGGTATGTTGAGGTTGTTCTTGGAAAGTTCATTGTACTGTATTAGTATTTTGAAATTGTCCAGGAAAAGTTTAATGTTAATTATTGTTATTTTGCATAAGTTTCCCAGAAAAGTTCTAAATAGGGAGTATTTACATGCAAGGTAGACCCCCCCCTGAAAAAAATTTCATGCAACCTAAAAAAAGTTGAGAAAAGTTCCATGTAGGCTAGGACTGTCTCAGAAAAGTTTCATGCAAGTTAGGGCCATCTTAGAAAAGTTTCTTATAAATTTAGACTAGCTTTATTCATTTCTACTCCTTACCTCTCTAAACCTGTTGTTTTTATGTCCTCATAGATCCCAGCAGTGTCCGTGCTTGATGGGGTCGGAGGCAACCTTCAGGATCATCTCAATCTGCCAATATACATCTCCTTGGAGAAGTCTGCCTCCCTCAACCCTGCCAAGATGCGCACCGCCTCCAACATGTGGGACTACTTTATCAATAGTGGCAAAGGTAACCACACAGTTTACACTAGACACTTAACATATATTTATCGGGTACTAGAAAGTTAATCAGAAATTCATCAATATATAATTTCAGTTTTAAAGAAACAAGGATACTATAATGAGAAAATAATCTAACTAAAAACTGCAAAGTTCTGCATCAAATATTTCAACTCATGGTGACATTCAAGAGTTTACATAGATCAATGATAAGATTTTGTTATTTGGGACTATATATATACACCCCCCTGTATATGGAAAAACTTTATTATTTTTATGTTTTAATTCAGTATAACTTTTATCATTATACCTGTACAGATATTTCAAAGGCACCTCCAGAATCCATTAATCCATGGAGTATTTAAAATAGACTCTGTAGTTTTAACATCATGCCACAGTTCTCCAGGGTAACAAACTACTCTACAGGTAATCCAGACCCTAAATTTAGAACATGAAACTCGAATCGAATTAAAGTCGTCATAAACAAGGGTAAGGTTATAATTTTAAATGGAAAAAAGGTATTCAGTATCATGGTTCACCTTTAGAGAGATTGTCTTTGTTCTTCAGGTGACCTAGGAAGGACAGCCATCGAGGGTGTAGGGGTGATGCGACTGTCACACCAACAGCCTGAGGTTGGCGTCATTCTCTTCAACATGGGAGCCGTCGACAAACATGTCTACTCCTCCGTCTCCAACATGAAACTTGATGTGAGTGAATTGATATATCTCTGTGATGGGGGAAGTATGGGGAAGGTTAAGAGAATAGGGATGAAAGAAAAGGGAGATGGAGAAAGCTGAGGTAGGGAAGGGGTATGAGAGGAAGGGAGAAGGAGAGGGAGATTTTCCCCCAAAATCTGTATTATATAGTCACTCATTTTTATTTATTTATTTTTTTATGTAAACTATGATCTAAAGTTTGGACAATAAAAAGTTCATAGATGAAAGAGTTAAATAGAATCAGTCTCTCTTAGATTTGTTTTTGTGAACAGTGTATTGAATTTTAAAAATCCCAAATGTTTTAGGAATATTGAAGTGCTATTCTTACATCATAGTTAGTAATACGTATCAGCTTATACAGTAGTATATATTTAACTATAAGTGCTGTTTCTTCATTATAAATTAACCTCAGGTACAGTACAATTTATATATGAGAGAAATTTCTTTAAAAAGCCTTTCATTTGGTATGTTTCTTGTCCCAGTGTTACTAATTCCAGTGTTTGAAGTACTGTAATGTCTTGTAGCTGGATTAAGTGGTGTTATTTTGCTCTACCGTGTGGCTTTATTCCAGTACTTTGAATCAACGTTCCCAAACATGGACAACCAGAGTGCCGAGGGGTTCATCTTTCTGGCAACATGTTTACACCCAAAGAGTCGGGGTCTAGTTCGTGTGGTGTCAAGCGACCCCCGTCATCCCCCCTCCATCGACCCCAAATACCTCCACCATCCCTACGACATCACTTGCATGAGAGATGGTGAGCTGGATGAGGAAGTAGACAACATTGGTAATAGTGTTTGAAAACCTGTCTTAGCTTACTTCCCTAAAGTAGAATACTGTATATTATTAAGAAAGGATGTACAGAATCTACACCTATATTTACTTTGCTATATTCATATCAATCTAGTTATAATACATTATCTTGGTTCACAGGCAATCTTATTTTGTTAAAGTTTTGATTTCTAACTGTGATACCAGTAATGTACACTGTTTTAACAAGCAAGGTTACAGTATACTGTACACTGTTTCTGTGGTGTTCATGGGAATGTAACTCAGATATGAATGAAGTTCACTGAAACACAAACTTACTCAAGAGTTAAAGAGTATATTGCTTTGTATTAGATTTGGTTAAAGTCAACTTACATGTGGTAAATTATTGTATATATAAAGATGCAGATGTGCTTCTAATCTAAACTTATAATTTTTCCTCCACAGCATTTAAGTTTGTGTTGCGTTTGGCACGAACCAAAGCATTCCAGAGCTTGGGTGCCTCTGTCCACCTGCCACGGTATGATGAGTGTAAGGTACGTGGCAGTGGAGGTGTCTATCGCTGTACACCCACTAGGTACCAGCCGTATTGGTCAACCAAGTGATCCTTTGGCTGTGGTAGACCCAGAACTCAGGTAGGCAACCCTAAAACACTGCTGCTCCACAGACCCTATAATATTACCTGAAATACACACATCTCACTCTTTCTAAACAATTGTATGAGACCCATAATAAGGTGTAAGTATGACCGAACAGCAGCTCAAACTATACAATATATTTTTGGGGGGTTTGGCCTTCTGGATTCACTATCACAATACAGGTATCAGTAAACCAGTCCTCATCTCACTTCTATTTGTGAGAAATGATCATGGTAAAATGAAACCACAACTCATCCCAATGCCAGTCCAAAAATTTTTAATCTTTATTCAAATTAAGTCGGTAATACTGTATACTCATCTCATTTCTAATCATCAAACAGTAGTCACAGTTTAAGTTGGCCTGCACACATTGTAGTGCTCTACCTCAAAAAATTTATCAGTCAAATTAAAATAATACTCATCTTCCTTCAGGGTGATTGGCACGGAGAGGTTGCGTGTGGTAGATGCATCAGTGATGCCCACACAGGTCTCAGGAACACCCAACTCTGTAATCACTGTCATTGCTGAGAAGGCTGCAGACCTCATCAAGGTAAGACACATGAACTTACTAGTGTTTGGCTACTTGGGGTGTAAGATTGACTCGGTATTATTTTTGTAGATGTGTTAGAAAAGTGTTTCCTTTTTGCTTTTATTTTGTGCATTAGTGTATACAGTCACTAACATCAGCTTAGACGTAGAGTGAGGGGCGATATGATCGAGGTGTATAAATGGAAGTCGGGCTAAACTAAGGTGATATATCAAAGGTACTCAAACTATCCAACCAGGAGCAAACTCGTAGTAATGGTTTTAAATTAGAAAAATTTTGATTTAGGTACGAGATAGGTAAACATTGGTCTGGAAATAGAGTAAGGGATGAGTGGAACTAGTTACCAAATATCATCATTAACTTAAATACGTTGAATAGCTTCAAACATAGGTTGGATGGATATATGAGCAATAGGGTCGAGTGTAAATGGGACTGTCCAGTATGGGCCAATAGGCCCACTGCAGTTTCCTCCATTCCTATGTTCTTATGTCATAGGTGTACTGTACTTCACCCAACCACCCACCTTCTGGTGCTATCACATCCTTTCCTGCCAAATTTCTTGGGTTCTTGACGTACCTGCTGCTCCTGCGTACTTGTTGTTGAACTTATTTTATATCGTACTTGTTGATGCCATCTGTCAGCCATCCTGTTAAATGTTTGTTGTTCTCGTGTCTCGTGAGTTGTCCTGCTAGATCTAAAAAAAATAGGTAAAATTTTAGTTTCATACAACCATGGAATCTGGAATTTTTAACACATGCAATCGATATATCTCATCATTCTGACTAACTTTCAGTCTATACACTTCTGTTGCAAGTGAATAATATTGAACCCTAATAGAATCTGACCTAACCAACCAAAGAAACCTACCTGACCTTACCTAATTTGCTAGACAGGGGGCTAACTCTCTGCTTATTGAGGAGAGAGTACTTATTTTCACATCTGGTACCAATGAAAGCAACTTTGTTGAAGCGTCATGGTGTAATTTTAACTTTTTGGTGGACGTGAGAGTATGCTCAGACTGAGTGGGTCGGTTGTGAACAAAGTGAGCTGTCCACCACATGTACTGACTCGACAGATTTTTCGAGGAGTATTTATGGTAAGTAGTTAATTTCTTCACGTACAAAGGATGGAGAGACATAATTTTAGTGTCATATGATCAGTTTTACACTGTGTTTTATCCTCCAATTTCTCTCATCCTACATGCCCTGCCCACTACAGGTGATTTATGATCCTAGTTATTGAAAACAAAAAAATAAATACTGTATCAACATTATTATTCACTTGCAACAGAAGTATATAGAATGAGAGCTAGTCAGATTGATGAGATATATTTATTGCATGTGTTTAAAATACCATAGTCCATGGTTGTACAAAACTAAAATAATACAAAAAATATATATATTATTCATTATTTATTTGCTTTCTCTGTCTACCAAAACATTGTTGGTGTTTGTACAATACATGATGAGGGTAATTATTGGCTAGGGGGGATACTGAGGCTCTTGTTATACTTTTTACTTTTATCCCCTTCACCACTGATCGGCTCGTTAGCCGTTTGGGCGATCGGTCACGTCCCTGTTACGCAGTGTTGGCAAGTACTGGGCATGCACCGGATCCTGAATGTACCTGAACCTGCTCCAGTGTTGGTCAAGTCTTGTCTTGAAAGAGCTCACATTCGGTGCCATCACAACACTTTCTGGTAGATTGTTCCAAGAGTTCACAACTCTCATTCCGAAAAAGTTTGCCTTCACAGTTTTCTGGACCTGCGGCTTCTTCAATCTTGAGCTGTGACCCCTTGTGGGGCGAGCGTCCGCCAGCTTCAAGTAAGGACACTCGACTGAGTAGTGCCCCTTGAGATGCTTATACACCTTAATTAGGTCACCCCTTGCCCATCTGTAGTATAAGCTAGGCAAGTTCAGGCGCTCCAATCTCAGGGTAGCTGAGGTGCCGAAGGGCAGGCACCAGTTTGGTGGCCCTCCTTTGAACATTTTCAACCAACTGACAGTCCCTAGCATATCTTGGGGACCAGACGGGGTGACAGTACTCCAGATGGGGAAGCACTTCACTCTTGAAGATTGTTACGAGGGACGGACCGTCTAGATATCTGAACGACCTTCTTATAAAACCCAATAATTTATTTGCCTCATTTACCTTCTTCTCGCAATGGCCCGAGAACTTCAGCTCATTGTCAACATACACACCTAGGTCCTTCTCACATTGTCTCAAATAGTGCAGTTTCTTCATCCCGTTGGAACATATGATACGCCTCCTTACAGTTGGTACGCCCCAGGTGCATCCTCTTACACTTCGTGACATTGAATCTCAGCAGCCATTTCTTCGACCATTCTTGGAGCCCACAGAGGTCCTTTTGCAGCTCTTCACAGTCCGCTCGGTTCTTGATTTTCCAAAATAACTTGGCGTCATCGGCAAACATTTGTATGGAGGAGTGTATGTCACAGTTACCTTAGATCCCTGTTTTAGAAATTTTGCTTCCACCCATTTTGTATATAAGGTTTATAATCGATCATATTTCAGTGTGGCAACTTTGTACACTGTTGGTGAGTGTCATGGTTTCACCCAATAACAGTCCAAGAATTGATTTATACATTGATTGAATATTTTTCTACTCTTGTTTCCTGGACTTCAATACAGTATTTAACTTTTACCATTACTTGATGCCACTGATCTTATTACAGAAAACTGATGGTAATTATTATTTTATGCCTGATTACTTATTGTATTACAGTACAGAATATGCCTCTACTCATTACAGGAAATTAAACTTTAATTATCTTTGTTTTATGCCTCGTCAATGACTACAGGAAACTTGGAGTGACAAATCTATATTGGCGAGTCAGAAGATATGCTCCACCGCACCGGACTGTGAGGAAAAGATTATAGCCAACCTCTCCAGTTTAGCACTGTCTTGTATCAGTGTCCATCCCAGTAGCGTAATTATTTTGGTTGCCGTGGTTGCGTTTTCTTATTTCCATATTGTTGCATTTTATCTTTAGCTAACTGACAGAAGCTGGATATTGTCTTAGCTAATTGACAGTACAGCTGTTGCATTTAATGTATTTTCTTGAGCTAATTAATCATGACTGCAGGTATCTGTAGCTAATTGGCTGTACATTAGCTGCATTTTTCTCATTTACTGTAGCTACATTTTCCTTTTTTATCTGCTACTTGACTATGGCTACATTTTATGTAGCTAATTGATTATGACTGCTTTTTATTTATTTTTTAACTTATTACCCTTGGCTGCTTTTTTCTGAAGCTAATTAATGGCTACATTTTTCTTCTTAGCTAATTGACTTTGGCTACATTTTTCTGTAGCTCACTGATCGTGGCTGCATTTTTCTTTTTTTAAGCTAATTGATCATGGCAGCATGTTTCTTCAGCTAAATGATATGGCATGCACTTTTTAATGAGTTAATTGACAGTAGCTATATTTTTCTTAGCTAATTGACAATAGCTGCATTATTTTTTTAGATAATAGACAGCAGCAACATTTTTATTGAGCTCATTGATGGGATTTGCTTTTATAAACAATTGCTACTGAATGAATTATATTATTTTAGTAAATCAAGTCTGGAATCTTAGTTTTAATACATTGAACTAAATTTATTTACTATACTGGAAGACTTGATCCACCTTCCAAACTGTATTACTTGCTACAGTGCATATTTCAAGGTAACTAATGATTTTATATCATCAGCTGGGAGGTCTTCACTAATTGTTCTTAGTGTGGCTGCAAATCAAGGGGGCCAGCCATGGTTTGTGTACTGTAATTGTATACAGTAGTTATTAAACAAATACTTTTTACTTTTACTTTTAACCTCTTCGCCACTGATCGGCTTGTTAGCCGCTTGGGCGATCGGTCACGTCTCTGTCACGCACTGTTGGCAAATACTGGGCATGCACCGGCTCCTGAATGTACCTGAACCCGCTCCAGTGTTGGTCAAGTCTTGTCTTGAAAGAGCTCACACTCGGTGCCGTCACAACACTCTCTGGTAGATTGTTCCAAGAGTTTACAACCCTCACTCCGAAAAAGTTTGCCCTCACAGTTTCTGGACTTGCAGCTTCTTCAATCTTGAGCTGTGACCCCTTGTGGGGCGAGCGTCCGCCAGCTCCAAGTAAGGACACTCAACTGAGTAGTGCCCCTGAGATGCTTATACACCTCAACTAGGTCCCCCCTTGCCCGTCTGTAGTATAAGCTAAGCAGTTCAGGCTCAATCTCTCAGGGTAGCTGAGGTGCGAAGTGCAGGCACCAGTTTGGTGGCCCTCCTTTGAACATTTTCAACCAACTGACAGTCCCTAGCATATCTCGGGGACCAGATGGGGTGACAGTACTCCAGATGGGGAAGCACTTCACTCCTGAAGATCGTCACGAGGGACGGACCGTCTAGATATCTGAACGACCTTCTTATAAGACCCAATAATTTATTTGCCTGATTTACCTTCTTCTCACAATGGCCCGAGAACTTCAGCTCATTGTCAACATACACTCCTAGGTCCTTCTCACATTGTCTCAACTAGTGCATTTTCTTCATCCCGTTGGGACATATGATACGCCTCCTTACCGTTGGTACGCCCCAGGTGCATCCTCTTACACTTCGTGACATTGAATCTCAGCAGCCATTTCTTCGACCATTCCTGGAGCCCACAGAGGTCCTTCTGCAGCTCTTCACAGTCCGCTTGGTTCTTAATTTCCCGAAATAACTTGCCATCACAGGTAGAATTAATTATGGCAACTCTGGGTTATGGAATAAAAACACTTGTGTTGAGAGAGAAATTAAAATCAGGTTAATTTTTCTTTTATCAGAAAAATGTAGATACAGTACTCTATTTAAATTGGCCAACAGGTCGATCAGTGGTTAAGAGAATAAAGTAAAGTTTGAACTGGCCGAGTCATCAGTCTTGGCTACTTCTCCACTTTTCCAACAGATAATAAAGATGAATCTTTTGTGCTGTATTGCCAACGTCTACAATGTAATCCATAATAATTAATTTTTGCCTGAAGCTCCGAGACAATAGATAGGTAGATTGTCTTAGCCTCATTGGAATTATTCCAGTTACAGTATATATAAGGCAGCTAAACCTTCCTCTGTTTCTATTACATTAGTGATAAGTTTGGCTTATCTTCTTGGGTGTCTTCAAAATAAGCATTTATCTGGTAATACATCAGCAGTCATACAGTATACAGTATTCTTAATTTTACGGACTACATAAGCTCACTAGAATACGAGTATTGCTATTATGTGATACAGTACATATTAAGTGTTAGTCAAGACCCTGATGTAAGGTTTTGATCCAACACCTCGGGAGCTGGATCTTATGTCTTAAAAGATGCAAATTCAAGTTGGCTTTTCAAATGTTTATTTTCATTGGTGTTGTTATCTTATACTGTAATCAATTTACTCATTATGTGATTTACTCAGGGCATGATGCAATGTTCTCCTTGTACATTAAAGAGGTGTAGGGCTAGTAACACCATGAAGCCAAAGTAAATCACAAAGGGGCATATTTTAATGTGCATTAATGTAATCAAGAGTGAATGACTGAAAATATGTGGAGTGAAAAGATTCTGGATATCTGTACACGTATTTCGTTTTATGGAAAATAAATCTGAAGAGCAAAAGAGAAGTGAATTGAGGACAACTAAAGGGGGGAAAGTAAAGGGTGTAGCAGTGTTGTTGAGTGATGAAATGGGGAGTGTCAAGTGTGTGTGATGAAATACAAGAGTCAGTTTTAGAATATCGTGGAATATAGTAAAATTGGGGAGGGAAAACTTGGTTCTAGTGGGAACATTTGCACCTGAGAATGAGGGAACAAGTAGGAAAAGAAGGGTTTAGGGAAGACTATAGAATAATTGTTAAGGCTTTAGTGTGGGAGTAAACATTCAGGCTGCAGCAGGGTGTGTACATGAGCAGAGATCATGGCGGTCATATAATATTTAAGGAGAGAGATGCTGCTGATGGTTGAGGCTGGCTTGTGTGAAGCAAGAGGGGTTAACCAGAACTGTGCCTTGTTTTGGTAAGAAAGAACAAATGACAGACTGGCAGAACACGTATCTTACAACAGCGAAGGAATGTATGAACAAACAATGTGTATGTGCTCTCGTTTCCAGTCACCATGGTACATTAAGTATAAAAAGGCTTGAAGGAGTGATAAAAAACAAATAAATTTCACTGATAATGTATATGATTTATGTACCAAGCAATGGAATTTGAATTTACAAAGGTTTCACATACTCTAAACTAAGTTTCAATAACATGTGAACGGTATCAGGATAACTGCCCTCTGGTTGTTAAGTTAGGTTAATTTAAGTTAGGTTAGGTAAGGTTATTTTAAGTTAAAATTAGGTTATTTCCATGTTTTTTGCCAGTTATTCACTGGCAATGGGGAGAAATTGTCCGGGGGGGGAGGCAAATGTCCAGGGGGCAGTTGTCCTAGAACCCATGTGAACATACAGTACAGTACTTTGGAAAGTAGCATACACAAATAATATTTCAAAATTATTTTAAAACTACACAACAGGAATGTTATTTTATAAATTATGAAGATGTTTGTAAGGAAATAGTTAATAGTAGTTAACAATAAGGGTCCGGTTACCTAACGAAAATCTCTCTAGAAGATAACCTATTTCTTACCTCAAGAATAAAAAAGCCAATCAGTTGGAGAAATAGTACTTTTCATATTCAGGTTTTACCTCTAATTTTCTCACAAATAAAGGTGTTGCTACCTACTTGTTTTACAACAATGCCACATTTTTGCATCACTGTTGACAAAATGCTTCACAGCAACTGACCAACTGGTCCCAATTGCTAAGCATCAGAGCACTTCCCAGCCAACAACTAACCAACCTTCTTTTCCTTCCATACTAACCTACCTATCCAACCCTAAAATAATAATAATATGTATACTGTACTGCAATTCCATCCTTGGATAGGTGTGTTAGGTCGAGTTTGTTGGTTCATCTTATTTACAATAAATTATAATACAATGTGGAAGTGTTTGTGTGTGTGTAGAAAGAATGACAATGCTGCTGCTAGCCAAGCAAATAATGTAATTACAAATACAGTACTGGACTACAGTACTATTATTTGTCTCTGATATTCTCAGTGTAAGAAATAAAAATTTATTATCATTGACTAAACAAATTTTTTCTACACAAAACAAGAGTGTTAATAATGTGAGAAAAACCAAAGAAAAAACCCGAATGTAAAAAGTGCTATTCCTCCACCCAATTTGATCTATTCTTGATAGTAAGTATTATAAGTTTTCTTCCCGAACATATCACCAAGGACTGTTGTTATTTATTTTACATGCTTCAACTGCCAGAGGTTAATAAGCACTTCATTAAGTCTTAAGTTCTACAAGACTGCTTATCAAATTTAAAACTTCAGAATACTGTACATTTATTATATTCTTTTTACTGTCCCATGGGGGAGGTAGAGGCATTACTGTACAAGTATCTTTAACTAAAGGTTCCCTAAGAGGTCACATTGACCCCACAGCAACACTTAGTGATATTTTACACTTTATCAACAACCTCACCATCTTCTACGCTTTCATAATTTCTCAGACTATTTTACCTTGCTTTTGTTCTGCTCTAACTCTTATGTACAGTCACTAACATACATCTCAATATCACATTCATATTTCTAAATGGAAGCAAGTGATGGCTATTTCACTAATGTTTTAAGCTTGACCATGGTCAGCAACTGCTGTCTGAGGATGATTCTATATATCAACCCTAATGGAAGTATGGGATGTGGTCACACTTGATACAAACAAATTGAGGCTTCAGTGATAAGCTTTTGTGTGTAAACCTAAATCTTAGACCAGATTCTCATAGATTCATACATTATTATCTTCCTCTAACTAGGAACAAGGGATTGCATCTTCATGTTATTTTCAATGTTACATTTCTAAAGTGAGCTAGTTGATGCACTCTTAACTCCATTACAAAAAGGATTTAACATAAGAGCCTTTGAAAATCTAGACCCACTTGTTCATAAAATTTTAAATCTTTACAGTACAGTATACCTGAGCTATAACCATGTTGTTGAACATATTAGCCTTACAACTATTTTAGGTATAGAGGTGTAGATCTTACATTTAACACTGTCATAGGTGCTGTGGTGCAAGTAGGTAGTAAACTAATGTGCAACACTAGTGAGCTAAATTATAATGACCATACCAGGATTGTATACATGTATAATCCTGTCTGGTCAGAGAAAGTCTTGCACTGTCTCACCTATGCATCACAATTTACATATAAACAAACAGTATAGTATTATCCTAGAGCCATTCTGGTTTATGAAATTTATCTCTGCCAGATTTAAATACTGTAATGATAAGAGCTGTGTACTATGTAACAACTCTAATTATTATGCATAAAAATCCAAAAATTAAATTGCTATTGGGAACACACCATAACTTGTAAACTATAAACAATTCATATATTTTAGGTTAAAAAATCTGCTATGAAAGGAATAATCACTGAACATACTGTAATTCTCATTTATAAAGATACTGTACTATGTATATTCCAAACTGTAATTGCAGGTTACAGTACTTACAATATCAATGAGTGACATGAAAATTTATATTTTGTCTAAGGCATAAGTATAAAAATGTGGTCATTAAAATGTTTCTGCCAAAATTTTACTTTTGATATGCTAAAGCAAAAAATAGTGCCTATAAAATTTCTTATCAGTAACATGATTGAAAGATAAAAAAACACCAATTAGGCATCCTTGTAAGGCATATCTTGTGTTGTAGTAACCTTTAGTACAAGAAACATCAAAGTAAATCTACAGAAATATTACCATTTACAAGTAGAGTTATGAACAAAAAGAACTTGGCTGTGAGGAAGAGAGGGTGGGGGTGTTGCCTCTGGGTGGCGGTGAAAACTCTCCTCAAACATTCAACTTTTTACGACATTCTTGTAGTTGTTTTGGTGTATTGAGTTACAGTATTTACAGCAAATTGTAAGTGCAAGCTGTGCCTGCCTCATAATTAAACTAAAAAGAAAGTGAAAATTTGTGGAGTGAAAATAAAATAAACTTTAACTGCCACCTCTATGCAACGGTGCCAAATCTCTACCTACCCATACCCTCCTCCTCTCCCTGCCAAATTATTTTTATCCACAACTATACATAAAAAAATTCCTTTGTAGTTAATACTAGTGATGCTGAAATAGACTACTGCCATGATGTTAATACACTTCCTGTTTAACTCTTGAAAAACAGTGTAAATTATGTACACACAGCATATGAACCTATGACCATTTTGATCAAACAAGTATAAATAATTGGTTCATTGGCTACTAAAATGTACTACAGGTTGTACCTCTCTAGTCCAGCATTCTGTGGTCCGGAACGATTTTAGTTTGCCAATGGAGAAAATTCATTTGAGTCTGGTACTTTCGTTGTTTGGCTAAATTTTGCCTTATTTACCCTACTTTTTTGGCGAATTACTACCTGTAATAAAGCAACATCCTAATGCACCAACGAAAATAACACAGATTAAGTTAAATAAAAACTAAAAAAACACAGAAAAGTTCTTATGTTCTACAGCTTCAGCTAGAGTTGAACCTGATGACTTGGCAACTTTGTCATCCAAGTAAAAACACACACAACAACATTGGCTGTCCTTATGTTTTCAACTTTACCACCACTGGTGGGTAGAATTTTTGTTTTAAATTCAGAAACATTAATTAAAATATATATGAACAGTAAATAAGTCTTGCCTTCATATTCTTATGTAGAGTAATGACGATATGTTTCATATGTGCGCACTTACATACGCGATCTCACTTTTTTTCTTTACCATTAATGGTTAGCTACTTCTATTGTTCCATTTATTAACATTAAGTAACATTACTTAAAACAACCATATTAATTTTACTACAGCTACAACCAGGGTCTTATTTTCTTCAGTTTTATATGTAGAACCACTCGGTCACTGGTTTTGTAAACAACGAAAACAATGCCGTCTCGTCTCCTCGTGTGTTTTAATATTCTACGTATTATTAATGAATTGTATTGTTCATTTTGCACACATAAACATTAATTCAATCAAAAAGACATTCAGTAATAAACAATAATGAATGTTTTGTACATCGAGAAATGACGCTGTTTACACAATTGTGCATGAATTAAAAATTCCCAAAATTTGAGAAGCTACTGTACAACATTTAACCCTTCAATATGTCTTCAAAGAGACCACGAAGCAGTGAAAGTGGTACTAGTGCTTCCAAGCATAAGCACAAGTCACTATCTATCCAGGAAAAAGGTGAATTTCCATGGTCCGGCACCGGTCATGTCCCGAGGTTGCCGGACTAGAGAGGTACAACCTGTACTGTAAACCAAGGATATTTTTTACAACAAACAAAAATCTATACATTATTTTACAGCATGCTATCAACACTTACAGTACTATATTGAGACTGGTCTCTCCATTAAAGGCTCCAAAGATGATCACTTTGTGTTCTAAATAATCCATGTTAATTAGAATATATATATATATATATATATATATATATATATATATATATATATATATATATATATATATATACCGTATATGGACACATTTCATTTATGGAAGACAAACTTTAAAATACCCAAATCTGTACTTCTATCAAAAGATTTTCATTATGTCTTTCATAGTAATTCATCATGGCCGTCCTACAGTAAAATATGGCACTACAGTACAATAAACATGACTAAAATATTGCTCTAGGGATATATACTTCACTCAGAGTTTTTATGTAACAATTTCTCTACAAATCCTTTAACTTCCTTATGAGTCACAAGACCAACAAATTTCTCAATAACCATCCCTCGGTGAATTCCCAGTACAGCCGGTACCGCTGTAACTTCAAACGCTTGAAGAAGCTCTGCATGCTCATCCACCAGTACCTGTTGAGTGGAAACATCCTTAGGTTTCAAATATTTATGAAAAATATATCATAAAATTACATTAAATGAAAAATTCTCACCCATTATGGCATCAAAGACATTGTTCATATCTCTGATCATCATTACTATTTCTCTCTTTTGTGTATACAGTACTGTAGTATGCCATAAGTCATAACAATTATGGTATTTCTTGAAAATAATAAACAAACTTTATTTACTATGCAAGAGACATGCATGGTGGTGTACACTAAACCCTGGAAATTAACAAGCACTTGAACCTTCCTTCCACACACGGGATAAAACTAATTCCGCTTCCTAAAGACTCACTAGAGACCTAGATTTAATTTTCAAACTGATGAAATTTTTGGCACATGTTAGCAATGTTATAGTGCAAACAGAAAGTAACTAAGCCATTGCTCTTTATACTTGAAACCAATATCAACAGCAAACCATCAAAGCAATATCTTTCCAAATGAATGAACTCTCTTCACAAGCATTAATCGGAGATATTAACATTAGATAATTTCCCTACCTCTTGGCACAACTCTCTATACCATTAGTGTATTTCATGTTATAGACTTTTACAAACCAAATTAACAGGGGATAAGTGGATAAATCTTACTGGCTCTCAGCTTATTTATCAATACACTTAATTTTTCAGTGTTGTCTGTATATACTCTTCGTGTATCTTAACTTAGAAAACAGTATTGTACTAGAGTTCCAGAATGACAAAATCATAATTTTATTCCTCATTCTACGTCTAAAATATACTCTGCCTGAAGCTCATAAGCTTTCACCCGCAACCGTACATTCCTTATAAGCATTTACTCACAATTACACATTCCTTGTTTGTTTGTTTTGTGTATTAGAAGACAATGTGACACTATATATTAACTAAATCAATCTGTGTTTGTGCAAGGGAAAGTTAAGTGGATTGAAATTTGTGTTCTTAATCAGAAATCTAATTTTTGTCATCCATTAAGTAGGTAGTGTCATATATGAGTAGGTTTTCTGATACTGTTAATTCTTAGTGCATGTTAAACATTCTAACAGTCCCTTTCTGTCTCCTGAAAAGTGAAAGGACAAAATATGAAACCACTTTTTATGGGTAGGGACAGGAGACAAGTGACCTGTGTCCAATGGGGGTCAGTGCAAGTGCTTTTACAGTTCCTTGCCTGGTGAACAAATGTTGAAGCTGAGCTTTAAACTCCTAGTGCATTACATATTTAGCAGAGTGGGAGAGGGGATGAGGCACACTAAATCACATAATACATTATCTCAGTCTCACACACACACACACACACCATTCCACACTGAGTTACACACACATACATCCAACATACAGTAGCAGTGTTTGTCTAGCCAATGATGCCACCAATCCTTCCCAACATACATACAACACACCTTCATCAACCATCATACCATTTCATTTGAGCTTAATACTTTAGTACCATTCTCCTGCTTTAACATTAACCATGAAATAACGACTGGTGAGTGGATGTTGTGGGAGAGGGTAAGTGAACATCTGGGAGGATGGAGGCACATCACAACATCCCACATACACATAAGTACTGTAATGTGCAACCAGCTGTATGCATCTGTTGACAGTATGAACAATATGGCTGCTGTTTAACTGTTTTTGGCAGTGTATTCTTAGTTCTCAATGGAATCAGTATTATTGTTCTTAATGTAATAACACAGAATACTGTATATCGAATAAAGTATTGGTACAATACTTATTTATATACTGTATTGTGCTGTATTTGTGTTTTTATAATGCAAGAGGTTCTTGGTCCCATAGAAAAAGTGTTTCAAATTTTTGGTATCTGATGAACTTCTTAGCATCAGTAACATCTACATATACTGTATTAAACTGATGGTCTTTGAACTTTTGTAACTGGTTCACATGGATAACCATTAAATCAGGCATAAAATTTACCTAAACATCAACTTACTCTTGTCTATTGCTAAAAATCTGAATCTCATTCAAAATCTTACCTCTGCAAGATGCAGTTGACCAACGTTTTCAGTTGCAATTTTCTTCAATAAAGGCCTGAGGGAGTGACATGGCTCACACCAGTCTGCATGAAAATTAACAATTACAGGCAGTGAGTTTCTCATGACTTTATTCTTGAACTCATCTTCATTTTGTATTTCAAATATATCCATTAGGGGTTCACTTTGATGGAAGTTCCTGCTTCCAGGGGAAGCTGTTACAAGCTGTCCTTGAGTAGAAATACTCAGGAGACTCCTAACTGGGATCCTCTGTAGAAACTTGCACATGGCTGGGTTGGAAGTCATATTGTTAGGAGGCAAAAATTTACAGTGTACAAGTAAGACTATTAAACTTACTTACACAGTCTCAGCTAGCTCTGGTGTTATTTACCAATATTGTTTTGTACTAATCAAACCTTTCTCCATCAATATTATAAGAGCCACAGAGAGAATCTTTGTTTCTTAAAGCTTGACTTTCTTAAGTGGCTTTGCTAATATAGGCTCAGTCCAGTCTCCAATAATGGATCCAAATGCAGCAAGTGCTGACAAGCCTAAGATCAGCACTATAACCACTCGAGGTATGAAGAGATGATCAATCACCTGAAAAATATGAATATCTTATAAATCTTAAAAAAAAATCTTCTTTAAAATGCAGAATGTAATACAGTACTGTACAGTATATGGTTTTAGTATTAGAGCAGCCTTCTCCAAGGCAGTTACCTGGTAAGTAAGACAGTGGTTGGTAACAATGTTATCACTGTACAGTATAACATACAGTAGTTTTATTTTTCCTGCCACTTTTTGAATCCTCAGAAAGTACTCAGTCTGCAGGGACCGCTTGTGGTGGGGAGATGTAACAATGAAAGGGCTATTATTCACAATCCTAAACGTAACACAGAATCTTTAAAAATGGTACAGATAAGGCCCTGAAAGATGCCTCACTGAACTCTAAAGGTACTAGACTTTAACATTGTTCTGGGGATCCATAACCATATACCTGTTCAGTATAGTATGATGTGTTAAGGTTCCCCCACCATGGAACAACCCACGACCTGCCACTGCTGAGATATACTGTACAGTAGTGTTGTAACTGTCCCAGCTTATAGTACAAAACTTGATGTCTTCACTTCATGGAAAAAGTCATGTACAGTATTTATACATATTATTCTGTGACTGTACTTTTTTCCTTTATCACTTGGAGCATCTGTGTAATGTCATATACAGTAGTACCCCGATTTACGCAGTCAATTGAACCCATGGGGTACCGCGGAAAGTGAAAACCTCGTAAAGTGAACAACAGAACATATGGGATTAATTCCAATAGAGACTGGCCCGACCCCCAAACTCCACTTTTTCAGATACAATACCTACGTTGTAGTAAAAATTACATCTTAATTTTATGATGGTATGCACACACAATTAATAATTAAGAGAAATATCAATAATATTAGTTTTTTTAACACTTACATTAGTAGAAAAGATGGCTGGGCACACGGGGATGGGGGGTTGGTTCCGAGGCAGAGGGCAGATTATTGGCCCTCACCTGTATCACTTGTATCAATTGTATCACTATCCACCACATAGGCTTGCAGGGCCTCTTTGTCAAACCCCTCAAAGTCCATATAAGTCCATATCCTCACTATCACTGACTTAGGCCGGCTGTGGTGGGTGACGGGTGAAGAACTCGGTAATGTTTTGATGACTGGGCGACCTTGTGCGCATCCTGCCCGCGCCGCTTCCCGCGTATATGAGTAGATGCACCGCGGAAAGTGAAAGTTTGGTTCTGGCGAGGCACCGCGTAAATGAGAAATCGCGGAAAGTAAAACCGCGTAAAGCGGGGTAATACTGTACAGTAGATGAGAATAAGTAACACTGATGACAGATGAAATTAATGAATGAAGGTCTCCCATGGTCTGCTGTTAAACACAACTCTGCATCTATTCATTCATCTTCTCACTGTATTCTCTATGGTACTGTACCACCTTCTTGACTTTATAAGTGTTCACAGTACTGTACTGTCAGTTTTCTAAAAATACAAACGTAAGTAATTTCCATAATATCAATGTACAGTATTATTCGCACCCAAACTATTCTCCCCGCCCTTTTACATTAGTATTCTTTATAAAAAAAAATACATAGTACAGTAGTGTACATGTACAGGGTATATTAAAATTTAATTAAAAATACCAATACTTCTGTACAGAATTAAAAATTTGAACCAACTGAAAAAAAAAATACTGATAGCTCCAAATGATGCAATGGCAGTGTTAAAATTTTAAATAATATTATGGTCAAAATATTATCTGCTTGGCATCTTAAAAAACAAAAAAAATCCTACCACTTCTTCTGTGATGGGCTGGTGAGGGGTTGGGTGCTGGGGGAGGAGAAGGAGTATGAGAGAGAACACTGCTGCAGCCACAGTAACTCCCACTGCTGCTACTGTACGACTGCGCCCACAAGCAATTATGGCCACTGCAGCTGCCACCCACACCACAACCAGCACCACTACACCCACTCCCAGGCCAAGTACCCGCATGTTATTCCCGGAAGGCACGACATGCACGTTAGCCAGCTGCACAAGACACAACAACTGTTAATGTACTACAAGTAAATAATTCCCATTAAACTATAAATATTTACAAGAAAAAATATATATGAAATACAGGTACTAAAAATAAAGAACCAGGCAGTACTGTAAAATTCAAATCATCACTACTGCTTTAATAACTTAAAATCTTCTTCACTGCACAACAAAGCACAAAACAGAAATATTAGAAAGCAATAAACAATATTAAGTCAAAACATGACAAACTACAGTACTTTAGTTATAACATCTTAATGCATCTAAGGGGAGGAATCTAGTACTACTGTACTGTATCAGGTACTCTTTAACCAAACATGACAACAACTACTTTTATCAAATTTTGTAACAAATTTACTTAAAACAAATGATGAATTTATATCGGCAAACTGACATTCAAACATTGTTCAGTACTTTTTATGCAATTCAAGTTCTGTTCAGTTATCACTTTTAATGTTTTCAATGACAGAGTGTAGTTTGCATATGATTACTCTGTGCAACATGATACAGTACATGAATCTGTTCAATAGTGTCATATCTAAGTGCTAAATATGATAATTGCCTTCATAAGTACAGTATTTAAAATTTATTCCTATTTTTCACCTTGTTTACATTGCTAATACAGTATACTCTCTAAGTCTTGAAAGTAAAGTTTAACACTAGGTGAGTGCTGTACAGCATATATATGAAAAAAATGAAGAAAGGCAACCAACTTCTCACCTGAAAAATTATTCAGGTGAGAAAGCCTGTCCAGGAAAGTAACAGCCTATCAATGGAAAATAAATTACATTACTGTACAATGATCTTTAAACTATTTACTTCACTGCACTAAAAGAAGCATATCATGGAAAAAAATTCTTATACATTTGATGCTTTGTTTATACCGGTACTGTGGACGTAATCTAAAATTTGGGTGAGTGAATAAATACTCCCGTCACTACTGGGGAAGGCGAGCAATGGGCACACATGACCAGGTGCTTGCCTCTCAACACTGTACAGTATACAATATGTAAGAGATGGAACACTTTCTTAGCTATACTGAGCAGTAATAAGGATTGGAAAGATTGATATGAAGCTTCAGATTTTGTGACTCCCTTATTTATATTCCAATCTATTAATGGATTTGTCTACTTTCTTTGACAGACTATGGTAACGACTATATTCCCTTTTCTTTCTTATGTAAACTATTCTAACACCTTTTGATCAATTGTTCTGACCTTGTATATCATGTGGTTACAGTACTGTATTCATTAATGTAGTTGTTATTATTATTTAATCTACTGTATTTCTTCCACAGGATTCAAGACTGGGGGAAGGTACAGTATAGATATCATTGGTCTTAATGAAGGAGATTCTTAAGTTAATAATAAGCATGAATCCCTGTACTGTACAGTACTACCCCTTGGCCCACTTATATTAATGCTCAGTGTAAACCCAGAGAGTCAAGGTGGTATTGTATGACCTGAATTAACCAATCCAAAATTTTATTAGATTATTCTTCAGTTGGTTAAGTTAAGGTGGTTAGATCCTGTTTAATTAGTTTGAGTTAGTTGCAGTTATAAAGTTTTATGCTGTTGGCCCAACTCAAGTATTGTTTAAATAACTATGATGATGCTTTCATTGTTTTGTAAGTTTGCAAAAAAAATTTCCTGGCCGCCCCCCCCATCTGCTTTACATTCTAAGCAGTTCATAGTACAAGAAAGACATCACCTTTAACACTCCATAGCCTCCAAAACAATAAAAACCAACAGAAGAGCAACCAATAAATGTGACTATTGAGTTAAGTGGTTTTAGCAAAAGTTAGCATCAACAAACACGATACCGGTAATCCCCAATTCACGAAGCTTTGGTATATGATTTTTTTTTTCCCATGCTTCGATTTACAAACAAAAACCCAGTTACGGAATTTGTTTTGCCATTTTCAATAAATTTTGCCGAGTGTCACAATAATGAAAATACAGTAGCTAGGCTAAAATAATGCCCAGTGTTTGCTTCCAGTATGCTTATTTATTTCTCTTAACTTATTTCATTATTCTCTAACACTCACAATGTTATATGTCTACAAATAGCTTTCACTGTGTGATCCTCTTCCTACCATCACAGTATAATTATATAACTTACTCCTCAAACTTATTTAAGACAAGTAGACTCGTCTCCACCAGCACTGCCCACTTACCCAAAATAAGAGGAACCATCTTATTTCAGATTCACAATATCATGTCGCAGTCACTGGAATCATTTGATTGCTGTTAAGGTTTGTATGTCAACAACAGATCACGCAGATGGATGCGGCAGATACACATCCATTTATTTGTAAGGAGGAAAGCCACACAATAACCAATATCACACGAAAGAATTACAATTTCTACTCTTAATTCGTAGTTCCCTCAGTTGCTTTACTAGGTGGGCCCACGGCTTCTATTTTTTACAGGAAATATGCTCCAATATTTTTCTCTTATTAATTTCCCTCTCATTAGTTTTTCAGTGACATGTCTTCACTTCCAGGAAGATATTGATCAACTTTTATGTTAAGTTTACTGCCAACTTATTTGAAATTTACCAAAGTAACATACTGTAACAGTAAAAATCGGAGTTGTAAATGGAATGAAACGGTCCGACTAATTACCCAAATGTACCCAAATGTAGCTGCAATTAAGTCAAATAATGGTCCTACATGAATAAATCAGACTGCCAATCTTTTCTCGACTAGTATTTGGTGTCACAAAGTAAAAAAAAAATTGGAAAACTTACTTTAATCTGAGTTAATAGATCGCGTGCATGTACCGAGGGAGCGAGTAATTACCCAAATGTAGTCGCAATGAAGTCAAATGATGGTCCTACAAGCGTAAATCGGGCTGTGAATCACTTCTCGATTATTATTTGGTGTCAGTCACAAAAAATTGGTAAACTTAATTTAATCTGAGTTGTGTTAGGTTAGGTTAGGTACATGCACTCGATCTATTAACTCAGATTAAATTAAGTTTACCAATTTTTTTACTTTGTGACACCAAATACTAGTCGAGAAAAGATTGGCAGTCCGATTTATTCATGTAGGACCATTATTTGACTTCATTGCGGCTACATTTGGGTAATTAGTCGGACCCGAATGAAACGCCCCGAAATGCTAATAATTCTACAATTATATTACTGCCTTAATATATGAACGGCTTCAAACATAGGTTGGATGCTTATATGAGCAATAGAGGTTGGGTGTAAATGGGACTGCCCAGTATGGGCCAATAGGCCCGCTGCAGTTTCCTCCATTCTTATGTTCTTAAGATATATGACGTCAGCTTTCACTCCGGGAACCTATGACCTAGTGTAGTTTTTACGTCCAATTCATTTACGGGTTATTTCTACTTTATTCACGTGATATCATTGTAAAATTTAATATGCACTACTTATACGTTTAGTGAGAAAAAGTTGTTTAAAACCGCCAGCATACCAAGGCCAGTCCTCCACCTCCAGACAGTGTTTGTTTACATGAAGAACAACAACAACTTCGGGAGTGACGTAAACTACCTTTCTAGTACATTTATATATCTAATGCCATGATGATGCTGATAAGTAAAAAATATAATCCTTTCTATTTTTTTAAGCTATTTTAATTCATGAAATTGGAATATATTGGAGAAGTTAGCGAAATACATAATTTACGTGAGATGGAAATGCTACACCTTGAACTCTCGGGAACCTTCAGTACCAGACTGGATCAAGACCAACTTCAAGGTCCTTGGACGGGATGCATTCACTTCTGAAGAGCATGAAAGGACGAACGGAATATCTAGGTATGTGAACAACCTTCGTATACGTCATACAAGCTTAATTGTTTGATTGACCATTTTCTCACAATAGTACGAGAATTTCAGTTCGTTGCTAACGTACAGTTTACAACTCTCACAGTTACTCCATTATTGATGTTTCTTCATGTCGGTACATGTGATACACCATTTCTTTGACCACTTCTGAAGCCGATAGAAATCTCCCTGTAATGCATCACAATCCATTTCTTTCTTAATTTCCCTGAATAACTTAGCGTCGTCCGCAAACATTTATATGGAGTCAATAGGATCTGGCCAGTTCCCCACAAAGGCTCACAGGCCATCCAGCTGGAATAAACACATCAGCGTGAGATAATGTCATCCTTTAAATCGCAGTTTCTTTTAATACGAGGAGTTCCTTCTTACCATCTCAAATTCCCCTTGTGGTACACGCCTTGACCCGACCGCCGACCCTAGTTCTGTGTATCCCTTAGTGTCAAGACCTGACTGAATTACTTGGAATGGGCAAACTGTACTCCAAGCTTTTTCAATAAATTTGTTAAATTAAAAAAAAAATCTGTATCGAAACTTCTCCAAGCCTCACCATCCTAATCCACACTACGTATACTAGTGATATCTACACCTTTATATCACTTAATGTGACATACTACACAACTAAAGGAATTATCGAGTCTTATTTTTATCCTCTTCACCACTGATCGGCTCGTTAGCCGTTTGGGCGATCGGTCACGTCTCTGTCACGCACTGTTGGCAAGTACTGGGCATGCACCGGCTCCTGAATGTACCTGAACCTGCTCCAGTGTTGTTCAAGTCTTGTCTTGAGAGAGCTCACACTCGGTGCCATCACAGCACTTTCTGGTAGATTGTTCCAAGAGTTCACAACTCTCACTCCGAAAAAATTTGCTCTCACAGTTTTCTGGACTTGCGGCTTCTTCAATCTTGAGCTGTGACCCCTTGTGGGGCGAGCGTCCGCCAGCTTCAAGTAAGGACACTCAACTGAGTAGTGCCCCTTGAGATGCTTATACACCTCAACTAGGTCCCCCCTTGCCCGTCTGTAGTATAAGCTAGGCAAGTTCAGGCGCTCCAATCTCTCAGGGTAGCTGAGGTGCCGAAGTGCAGGCACCAGTTTGGTGGCCCTCCTTTGAACATTTTCAACCAACTGACAGTCCCTAGCATATCTCGGGGACTAGATGGGGTGACAGTACTCCAGATGGGGAAGCACTTCACTCTTGAAGATCGCTACGAAGGACGGACCGTCTAGATATCTTTTAGTCTGTTTTCTCCAACACGCAATAAAAATTGCCTCGTGGACACATATTCACGTCTCAACAATAACAATATTATAGTCAATCCTTATTTTATAAGATAATAAAATAGTAAACTGTATATTACGCTACCCACAGATGTGAAGCACGGAACACCTCCATAATAAATACCGTACATATTTAGTATGATGTATGCCAGATATCTACTAACTCAACAATCCTGTTTAATAATTAATTCACTAATTAAAACAAAATACTGCACTTAATCACAGACTGACGCGCGCTCTAACGTTTAAACAAAACAAACGAGTCCCCACCAACCACAGTTTATGATAACAGTTATTACAACTGTCACCGTATTAAACTTTTTATTTTTAAATCAGGCAATGAGAAAATATATAATACGTAGAAAAATATTAAGATATACTTGAAACCCCAAATATCTGTGAGTGTACTTACAAGTGAGCGACTGAGCGATTCCGCACAGTGATTCAGGAGAGGACAGCAGACACCTCACAACAGATCGTTCTGTACCTTTTGGCCTTCCAGACAGGTACTCCCAGCCTCTTAACTTGTCCCACGGTGTGACGTCACTGATGGGATCCAACAATGCATTTGCGTGATGATTTTTAGTCATATTTGGCTCATTCAAACTGGGTGCAAACTTTGGCATTTGAAAATACTGTGCGAATTCTTCAACCCACAGATTCTCCACACACCACAATCACTCAGTGACATTAGGGTTTTGAATGAATTTCTGGAATCTTATTTTCGTTCCTGAAATTTTCTAACGTTCTTAAAATACTTTTCAACTCATCATAATCACAATACAGGATCTCTGTGTGCCAAATTGTGGAGACCTGCTTGAACGCATTTTTGACTACGTGCACATCCTCACGGACTCTGGAAGCACCACTGTAAATTTTTCCCAGGACGAACTAAGGGAAGCTCAAATTCGGTAGTCTAATTAGTATCACAAATTGTTGGAATTGCCTAGTGTTACCAAGCTAAAGTTCCCGGAAGTTCTGTTGTTTTGTATTTTACAGTAATTTTCTCTTAATGATGTTGGTTTTTATTTAATGCACAACTGGAAAGTAACATTTTATTCCGTTTATTCTGGGAAAAACAAAATACGGAGTTTAGAGACGCCTGCTGCTGAGGGGGAGCTGGACGTCAAGGATCATTTGTTTTTGTCAAGATTATTATCTAAACCAATCGTCAACCGACCTCGCTAAAGGAACAATATAATCAGACTAAATTTCAGTAACGGTTATTATTATTATTTTTATTGATAAAACAGTTTTACTTGTTTTGGGTTAATTTGTCTATTACAGGCCATAAGTTACGAGTAATTAAGCAGTAGTGTTGTATATATCTTGTGGAGTGATATCTGGCAGCAGACAGACGGTAATTTACATTGTGTCATCCGATCACCGTGTGCAGGGTATCATAATAATCATAGTTGTCTGGTAACAGGCTAACAGCCAGAGGACAAAGTTTGTCTGTTGTACGCACACTTTCTTTTTTAAGGTGGCCAGTGATACACATGATCTGACGCATGACTTATTACTTAGAAAATGGATTACAACTGTCGATTTATTAGACACGGAGATCTGTAAAGAGAATGTCGTAATTTCAGGTGATATTATAAAAGCAGTTATATCTCAGTTTAATGATCTTTAGGGAGCGTATAAGAAGCAGGTAAACTGGTGACCTGCTGTAAACAGGCAACAGGTAAATAGCACTGTTCTGTATATTAAAAAAGTTTCTGATAAATCTTTGGTATTTTGGAGAGTGGCTTTTGATTGGCTTATTTGATTAGAAGAGACGAGCAAAATACTTTTACGAGTGTTTGAAATAAGATTATGGCTGTTCATTTATATTACTGTTTTTCGTGCTAAACCTGTAGAATAGATACTGTATATGCATCTCAGCAAGATCATTAATTATTTGTGTGACAGTCAGCTTATGTTCGCGACCATGTAAATGTAGGTGGCTCCAGTTTTCATTTGATAACGCCCGTTTTTCATCTAATATCCAATTTTTACTTCGCACAAACCTTCCTTGATTCCATGAGCGATTGTTCACAAAATTTAGTGAATATTGGCTGGATTATTGTTGTTCTATGACAAAAAACAACAGAATTATAACGCCTGTGCAAGTTGCAGTAGGTTACCAAAACAGTGTCACGGTCTTGCAGGTAATATGACAGCTGGATGCTCAAGAAATATCTTTATTATTTATCTCATGAGACCAAACGCAGTGACACACTCATTAGCAGGTAAACATCCTATAAAACTACCCCACACCGGACCCACTTGACTCCCTGCCTGTCAGAACTCGACTCTTCCAGTTCTTTTGTACACCCTCACTTATATGAACAAATTTATTTTCGGATGTATTGTAACTTACCTTGGTGTGAAGTCAGTATAGATAACGCCAGCTGGTTAAATACAACTGGTTCGTGTGGTAGGTGACACGAATGCACAATTAATATATTGTTTTTAGTCCAGTAAGACTAATCTGGCCAGGGAAGAATTATTGTCCATACTGTGTGACCACTGAATGCTAACCAGGGAGTTTGGCAGGTCAGGGAGGATGGGTGAGCGAGCTGTTCCTGGATGATTATAGTCAGCCAATAGTATTTTTGGATTTTGTTGTAGACTAATAGACGCAAGCAACACCTATAGTTGTTTGTTTAAACTTATTTACTGTAAATATAAACATAAAATAATAATTAATGATGTCTTTGTATGTCGTTGTGGTGAGCCAGTGAACAGAGTTTACGGGGGGGCATTGGCAACAGTCACCCCCTCAAGGCTGATATGGCAGCGAATCCAGGAAAAAGAATCACATATAAAAGGCACGGAAAAACCCTAAGCTAACCTAACCTACGTGCAATGCCATCATATATATATTGTGTTGTCAATGTGTACAAGTCATGTGACTTTTTTTCCTGTGGACTTTACCTCCGTCCACCATGGCAGCGTGTAGAAAATAGATCACCGCGACAACTCGTTTACATGAACACGTTGAAGGTTCTGTTACAGTTTAGTGTGACCAAGTGGAAAATGCAGTTAATATTGGAAGAACTGAAGGTGCTGACGATGAGTTATTTTAATCTGTCAAGATAGAAATCGAAATCCATGTCGGTTATGGGGTGACAATTAAATCGTCACACAAGTTTACATTGATTCAGCATGTATATAAAGTCAATATGCAGTAGTTATACAAGTAATGTTCAGTACACCGTATATCTGGGTTGTCTATACATATACTGAACTGTATGCCCTCATAGTCTGCAGTATATACTACGTGCTAAAGCAATTATGAACTCGAATGATAAGTTTACTGCATAATTACACGCCGTTCAATTAGTCAACACAGCTTACCCCCACCCATTCTAAACATCCTCGGATAAAACCATATCTTAACAGTTAAATCTAATCTAGTGAAGCTAACCTAATCCAAATAATTTAACCATACTAACAATGTTCTTCGCAATAGTCGTTTACGTCAGAGGGAATCTCTTTTCTCTTCTATTTCCCCTTTAATTCTATCACAGAAAACGAAGATGCAACATAACTATTTTTATGGTTAACTTATCTTTGTTGTAGTAACACTTTATATATCTTTAATTATATATCCCGTTGTAACTCAAGTTAATTTGGTTAATACATAAGACTAACTCGCGGACGAACTATTTGTATTACTGTTTATTTTCTCACTTTATTTTCATCAGTGAGTTCTGATATGGTAGTCATTTCATGTGGAAATGTTTCGTTTTGTAGATATTTAGGCGCCCACTAATTTGTCTTCCCGGCGGTAATGAGGCCGCGCTCTGCTGCTGCGCTTTTCCCAAATTCCCCAGTCCGCGCCAGAGGCAGTTTCATTTTCAGCATGACGTGTGAAGGTTGTCGCCAGTCTTATATGGACGTAATTTGGGGATAAAGGCAACGAGACCCTTCAATTGTTCTAAGACCACGGTATTTTTCCTTTAAATAGAGCCTGTGCACACTGCGGGAATCCCTGAGCTTTCAGACCGGAAATAAATTTGTTCATCCCTTCCTCAACGCCGTGGCTCGACGTTTCCCGCCAATGGGCAATGCAGAGTGTTGCTGGGTAGGTAGCATGGTAATAAGCGTTGAGTAGAGAGAGCTGGTTGGTGAGGGTGCCCAGAGGAGGGACACGCGGCTTGAGGGACGCCAAGGTCGCTGGCAGGAACGGCAGCCGCCAGGCTGGCGCGGAGGAGGAGGTGTTGCTTGCTGGTGGCACTGGGTAGTAAAGCGGGTGGTCACAGCGGTGTCAGGCCTTATAAGGCGGGGGTAGGCGTGGGTAGATAGTTGACCCCCGCTCCGTGGGCGGCGCTGGAGGCGTAGGTTGGGGAATTCGAGAAGGTTCGGTGCTTGTAGGGGAGGAATCCACTACAATACTCCCCTTCCCCTCCGGGCGCGGCGTGAGGCTGGAGGTTGGCAGAGTTGCGTGCCACATGTGAGGCAGAACGGGCGGTGCATGCCACATGTGAGCCAAGGCGCGGGCGTGGATGAGCCGGCCCCTAGGGGGGACAGCTCTGTCTAGATACACGAGATCTGTGGGAGAAAAGAGGCAGAAGGAGGGTTGTGGAGGCGATGAATGTTGTGCTTACCTCGCGACAGGTACAGAGTCCTCAGATGCGCCTGCTGGGGTGTGTGGGCCTGGGTCTGGAGCAGGGGCTGCGTTAGGAAGTGTGTCCACGACAGCAGCAGGGTGCATGACAGCAGCAGGGTCCACGACAGCAGCAGGGTTCAGGACAGTAGCAGGGGGTACCTGAGGGAGAAAAGAGGGGTGTGTGGGTCCGCGTCAGGAGCAGGGGCCACGTCAGGAGCGGCAGGGGGTACTGCTGGGCCAGGGGCGGCGTCTGAGGCAGGACGGGTGTGTTGCAGTCGGTAGGACATGGTGCTTGGGGCAGGAAGAGGAACGACTGTCTGCTTAGAGTAGCAGAGCTGCTCTAGGGTGTCTAACCTGCGGTGTAGAGACAGTAGTTGTAGAGCCGATGAGAGCTGCCTCTGCGTGGGTAAGCCAGTCTTCCATGTTGCTTGAAGACGGGGAGAGTGATCAGTTTCTCCTCCATCCTGTGTGAGTGCAAATCTCCGGGGGTCACCATTTGTAGGGGTATGAGATATTGGTTCACACTCAGGATGGGATGGAGAAAGGAAACTCACAATGTGCTCACTGTATATATATTGTATTGGATGTACAATGCAGCTTGTTGCTGGGTAGGTAGCATGGTAATAAGCGTTGAGTACAGATAGCTGGGTGGTGAGGGTGCTCAGAGGGCACCCTCACCACCCAGCTATCTGTACTCAACGCTTATTACCATGCTACCTACCCAGCAACAAGCTGCATTGTACATCCAATACAATATGTATACAGTGAGCACATTGTGAGTTTCCTTTCTCCATCCCATCCTGAGTGTGAACCCTTTATCTCATAACCCTACACCTCGACCCTTGACATAATATAGTTGCCGCTGCACCAACTTTCTTAAATCTACCTTCCGGCCAGACTATTCCTGAGATTTTAGCATTATTTTCGTGCACTTCATGTTCCCTTATTGGATTTCTATTCTATACGTTAAAATAAACCTATCGTTTAAATAATCAAAGTAACAAAAATACCGCCCATGTGTTCCCCCTAATCAGAATAAGTGGCAACTCCAACACACCCTCCCCAGCCTTCGTTTCTCTCTCAGTCTCTCGAACACATTAGAGGTGGTAGATTACTGAGAGGAACAGTTACAGACAAACTCGTGAACAGTGATTCACAGTTAAATAAGCCACCATGTCACCTGGACCACAAGGTTTACTCAGCAAGGACACGCCAGACATTGAGGTAAGTAATATAGGAAAATATTATAAGCAGCAATTATAGTGAATTAAACGTAGGGTCGAGAGAGGAGAACGAGAGAGAATATAGCCTAATCCACAACAATACCTGGACGATTATGTTTAGTATCAAACTTTGAGTAAACTACCAAAAAAAAACCTTTTTATTTGTTGTTGTTTACCAGGGAGAGACATGATGTCCCGTCGATATTAAATGAGTAATCCTGGGAGATGAAATTGAATCTGTTGGAAGATGTTGTATACTAAATGTATCTTAAAGTAACTTTCTATCAGGTTGAACTTGCTAGACTGGTTCGTCAGAGGTGGAATTTCACCTGCCAGAAGAGCTTTATATATACGATAACCAAGGTTCACTGCACATTACTATTTATTTATTTATGAATCTCAGTTATAAGTCATCGGGAATGGACAACCATATTTCATATTGCCGAAAAGGTATGTTAATGCAAAGAGGCTAAAGGGTGGAATCTGTGTTGTTTGATGTACAGGCAGGTGTGACGAGATGGTCGGTCAAGGTTGTCTATTGTGTATAGAGGCCCCGTCGAGGTTGACTACGAGTCTTACATAACATGTTTGTGGCATTTACGTGAGAAGAATGGTGTTTGTAGAGTGTTTATGGTTTCGGGGAAGAGAATTATGGTACTAAAAATTATTAAGGTTGTAATTCAATAGAAAATGAAAATAATGATAGGGATATGTAAATGACACTCAAAAGAATATACTAGGAAACGTGTAGTGTATTATGGTATTTTGCTGCTGAATAATATCGTCTGGCGTTAACCAAATAAATTATTAAAAGTGGTGTCCCCGTAGTGAAGGGGCTAGGCCCCGGGTAGGGTTGCCATACGTCCGTATTTTCCCGGACATGTCCTCCATTTAGGTCTCGAAATCTTAATCCGGAAGTAATTTTTAACATTCTTCAAAAGTCCAGAATTTCAGCTTCCATCATTTTCTCCACGGAAAAAAAAACATGAAGCTGTAATGACGAGAGAGAGAGAGAGAGAGAGACTGAGAGAAGGGAGGTGGAAACAGTAGAGATCTCCTTCAGTTTTCGTCAGCTGAAAAGTCACGTGTACGCTGTACGGTGTTGTCAACTTAGCTGCTAGCATTTTTTTGGGCAAGCATGTAGTGCCATGTACTGATCTTCCTTGTTCTTCAGCCACGCGCATTATATATATATATATATATATATATATATATATATATATATATATATATATATATATATATATATATATATATATATATATATATATATATATATATATATTTGTATTTAGTGCTATTACAGCCATAAATGAAATGTTGAAAGTATACCATTTATTTTTTTTTTACACGCATTTGTTTTTCTTGTCCTGCATTTTAGCAATTTTCAACCATAATCTAGCCACTTTCGCTATATTAATTACGTGTGTTGACAACTGTGACGGTGACCGGTGGTTGGCCAGTCTTTAACCTGCAGTGACAGTGTTTGATCTTCGTCTTTGTTGTGGGTTTGTCGCTTTTTGCCACAGCTAGTGCTTACGATTTGTTGTACTTTTCCAGAGCATAAAACGGTCACGGCTGCATCGAGGTTACACAGCGCCAAAGTGTGTGCCAGGCGGGGGTGGGGGATTTCTTCTGGAACGTCCTCTTTTTTTTTTAATGTTCAGATATGGCAACCCTAGGCTAGGGGAGATAATCTACTAAGTTATGTGGGAAAGTGACATATAAATTAGACCTTGACTATGTGCTCTTTATTATTAACGTCTAGAAGAGAAGAGAAAGTTCCCAAGTCTCAGTGAAGTTTCGATGCCATTAAAACCGCCATCTTTGTGTAGTTCCGTCAGGTTATTGTGTCTACATAATAGCGGCGACGGTGGAATTTTTAATATACGGTATACGACACCCTGATTATGTACAGGTACAGTATATACAGTATACCCAGGTCCCCACACCACCAGTGATCTTGGCCTCTCATGACCTAGACTTCATTGTATCGTTAACTCGAATATATTAGTTGCAGCGTCCACATATCTGTACTCGAATCGGTTCCTTGATTGTTCATATACTTCAGAGAAAGATATAGACACAACTGACAGCAACAGTTTTCTTAAGCGTCTGTGGGTGCAGTTTGTGGTTACCAGCACAGTTAAATCCTGATCACGAGCGACCAAGATCACTGTTACTGAATTAGACGTCATTAAGAGCTCCCTAGCATCAGTTGTTGTTGTCATGCTATGAACAATGGCGCTGACTATGTGAGCTTACATTCACGTCTTAAGAAGTTAGTGTCTCGAATGGCCATGTACAAGGCGTTGTTGAATTTACACCGTACGGACCTGCAGTGGTGGGTGGACCTGGGATCTATGACGTAAAAGCTTCTTTGTTTTTCGCGCTGTTGCGGGAAATTAAAAATCGACGAGCAAGGTAGTGAAGAAATTCCCCGTATTCAGTTAAAAGTGTATAATCTTCTGTGCTGAGTCTAAACCAGTAAACGCCCTTATACTCCATGTTGATTGAGGATATACTCGTACTTCCCGTCTGGTCCAGCCTACGTGACCTCCAAAACTTGACTAACAATAGTGGAGTGTACGAACATGACTGACCACTGTGACAAAGTTGCCAGAGAAAGATGCGTGGGAAATATTTAGAATTTGGCATCTAGTATATACTCTGAAAAGAAAATACTCTAACATACTTTTGGGGGTCATAAAATTGAACCTATCTGGAGTTGGTGGACGGTCGCCCCCACTAAAGGTCGCAGCCACAAGTTAAAGAAGTTATAAATACAGAAAACCGATGTTCCTCCTGGAATGACCTGGCAGAGAATGTTGCGAGTCCCAAGTGGGAGTTCTTTGAAGACCCGACTTGATCAGTACTGGCACATGTTCAGGTACGTGTGTAACAGTGAAGTGACCGACTAGCCGACCGACCGACAAGCTAGTAACTAACAAATAGCGAAGACGATAATTAAAAAGGAAGATAATGAAAACGAGGTGGAGAAGGAGGAATTTGCTTAAATGAGTCTGCATGTTTCAATGTTGTAGGTTAAGTTGCCTTACAAAGCACGGGTGGTGTGTACTTTCATGACCCACAAAGCTGCCTGTGTATGTGGTGACAGTACACCCTGTCAAAGTTGTAGAACGAAAATAACGCCACGGTGTGCGGTATAATGTTAATATTAATGGTTCTGGCGACGTATCTTTATACTGTATAACGAAATGTCTAGCACGTGATGTAGTTTTTCATGGTGAGTCATTGTCTTATAAAAAAATATCCCATGGCAATGAACTAAAATGCAGCAAAACAATGAACAAAACATAGAATAACTATACTAAAATGCCAGAGTATCACCATCGGCCAAAACCTAAACACCAACCAATGACAGGCTAGAACATTTTGAGGCTCCCAGCATTGTATAGGTTACTCGCGCCAAAATTTGAAAGCCGAAAAAATTGCGTTTAAAGTTTTTCCAACTTCAAACATGCATAACTCTGTTGTGTTTTGAGATACAGCATTCATTTTTGATGCATTTTGAAGAATCTTGAGCGAGACTGTACCTTAAGATGAGAGGGGGGGAGGGGGTATATTTTCTCCCGTCACTGATCCCAATACTTTTTAAGACTACACCTGTATACTCACTGAAGTAAAGTGTATTGGTCTCTTCATAATAAGGTCATTTCATCGGACTGAGGCTAAGCTAAAGTAAAAGAACATATGAATGAAGGTAATGGCAGGGGACCTGTTGGCTCACACAAGGCAGCCCTCTTTACACCTTATCCTTATCACTCATATAATTATCTGTCTAACCTATATTTGAAGGCCCCCAGCGAGTTCGAGTTATGTTGGCGTTTGGCAAGACTTTATAAGTACAAACAACTGGTATGATTATTGCACGAGGATAATTGCAGTACATTTTTAGATGTCAATATGTCTCGTAGGGGGCGCCGGTGGGTAGAGTGGTACCGCTCTTGCCTCGCAAGCGAGATGTCGTGGGTTCGATTCCCGGGCCGGTGGAAAGCTGTTCGGACACACTTCCCAGCCTCCCTTGGTCCCTGTTCACCTAGCAGCACAGTAGGTACCTGCTGTAAATCGAAAGTTGCGAATTCGTATTCAGGGGAAAGTTGTTGGAGCTTCCAATAACTTGCTTAGACATAAACCCTTGACTCTTCAGGCGTCTACGCCCTTAACTCATGAGACATAAAGGCAAGCATGATCTTAGCATGCTTCCCTGTTGGGCGCTGTAAACGCTTCTGCGCTTCACCTTACACAAGGATGTAGGGGGGTGCCCAATAAAAAAAAATATATATATCTCGTCTTAAAACCAGACCCGAAATTTTGAGCTTATTCGACCTGTTCGACGGTAAAAATAAATAAAATTGTAAATTTTCTCGAGGACTCTGCCAGTCGCACCGTTATCATATCTTGATAAAACGCCACGTCAGGTATAATCTGTTTGGCTTTTATCTTATCATGTACAAAAGGTTGTTATTCAACTCGTATGAGAAAAAAATATATTGGTTGGGTTTTGGTTGTGTGTAGTGTACTCAAAATCTTTTATTGTTTTCACGGTGGTTACAAGTAGTCGTCTCTGAGCAAGGGGAAAATGAGGCATGCAGGGGTGCGGGACTCGTCGTTTTGTTCTAATGTAACTACAGTATAATCTGACCATAATCCAACTTAACCATAACGTAACAATCTAACCATGACCTAACCATAACTTAAGCTAACCACGACCTAACCTAACCTAGCCATGACCTAAATTAAGGTAAAGAGCCTATGGTCCCGACAGTTCCCCGAAATGACTGAACACCTTCCCACATGACTAGCAATTTTTTTTTCGACTGTGTGAGATTTCCTACAGGATCTCGACATTGTAGTGTTGTGTTATCGTGGGTCGGGCCTGACGTTATTACCTTGCTCTCCTGACTCACGTGGTAACTAAAGCCACCTAATCTAGAACCCTTGAGGTTATGGAGTATATAATTCACCTTGATGTCTTATCTTACATGAAGCTATCATCGATCAACGACACAAAAGCTATATTAGCCGTCTTTCTTTACGTAGTTCATGAGTGCAGTATTACCTCTCAGTAAAGCTTGGTGTCACCAAGGGCCTTTTGCAGCTCCTTATACCTTTGGCTATTTTTCAAAAATCTTTTGCTGTTTTACCTATTACCCTTAATCCCTTATCTATTTCTCATTATACCCTTGGCTATCTTTGCTTATACCCTTGGCTGTTTTTCCAGTACCCTTGGCTATTTTCAGTATACCCTTGGCTGTTGTTCTTCATACCCTTGGCTGTTGTTCTTCATACCCTTGGTAATTTTTATTCTTAATAAAACATTTTGAACCAAATATTTACGTAATATTACTATGAGCATGTCTTACATTTATTGGACATATCCATCGTGTGTATTACTCACCAATATATGTATTGTATTGTCATTGTATTGGTCCTCGTAATATTGTTATTTTTTATATGAGATGGCAATGGTTTTTTATATTATTTTATCCATCAATATATAACAGTTTTTATGAATTATCTGGAATATAGTCAATTTATAATACTGGAGATTATTGGATTAATTATAGTGGATCATATTGAATTAATTATACTGAGGTGTTGGAGTTGTTTCATGTTAACAACAATGCATTATCAGTTAAGGGATTATCTTATAAAGTGCGACCGTTGGATTTAAATATTCGTTGTGTATAAACACTTCATGTAGAAAATTTAAATTCAAACGCACAACTTATGGAAAAAAAATACTCGTATAAGTAAAGTATTTTTGGTAAATATACTTAATTTCTTAATTTGAGATATGGGTATTGAAACTCTGAATGATTGTGTGAGCGGACAGCGAGTACATTACCAATCCCTGGCCTGCGCATGGGATGATGTGTGGTAGATGTGCTGTCACACTACAGAACTAGTACTGGTGTAGCACGTAACGTATCTACAAATGTGTAAGGAGTGGAGGACAAGGGACAAAAGTAAGCTAGCCATTTGGTTCACAAGTTCATTTGTCTAAGGTTACAAATGGACTGATACAGTATTATTGACAGGGCGTCGGCGGCGAGGTGTCTGGAGGGAGAGTTGTTATTGGTGGCGTTCACTGGAGATATTGTCTCCTACACACTTCGCCTTTGGGTATTTCTGCTTAATCTCCTGTCTTCTTTCTTTCTTCTTGTTCTTTCTTAGCCTTCTATCATCTGTTGCACTATTCTAATCTTGTTCATTCTTTTGACTTCGTTGTTATTAGCACATAAAAAATACATATACAAATATGATAATGTACGGATATATGTACAGTACCCCCAATCGCAACATACTGATAAGTTGGGTCTCCTGATAAGTTTTTAGTTTAAAAAATGAATTGACAAAGCTTGGAGTGCAGTTTGCCTATTGTGAGTAATTCAGTCAGGTCTTGACACTGAGGGTGGTATCACTTCTCACTGCCACGCAGGACAGAGGTTCGTACACAGAGAAATACATGATATTCATTAACAGTATATATGAGAGAGTATAAATGTGACTGATGGCGATATTCTGTAATTTAAAGTTGTGCGCTGTAGTCATTGGTGATTGGCTGACTCTTTTGTAGAGCTCTGATTGGTAACTACAGGTTTTCTGTATTTTAACTATGAACTTCTTGATTTTTCTGTTGTAAATATGAAGAAAAAAATGAAATTCGCTTCCCGGATATGCTATAGATACACACCCTAGTTATCTTTGTCAGCTGCCGGTGCTAGTGGTAAATGTGGTATCTTGTCATGTTATCCTTCTCTGGGCCATAGCGTACTGAGAACTAAAATTAAGAGGTGGTGGTAAAGAACAATGGTAGGAACTCAGTCTTCACACACACACATTAAACTACAACGAAAGTATGACTTAAATTTACATATAACGTAGGCATTACAAGCTAATTTATTGTATACATTATTATTTTAGTTACTATTGGGGTAAGGATAGGTTGTGGGGATTGGCCAGCTGAAGTAGCCTATTGAGTTATTATCTCAAGGAATTATTATATAACACTGACAAGGTAGCATACTGTAGTATGTTACCGCTCGCCCAAATCAGCTTAACTCTCTACAATGAAGGCTTTTTTGTCAGTACCTTTACTCCTCCTCTCGCTATTGTCAGTCTGTTTTATTTATTTCTTGGTCTGTAATGTAATTGGTTACGCCAATTATTAGGCTTCAGTTTATCATTGTGTTTTTGTTATATTGTACAGTAGCTAAAAAAAAAAGTGTCAGGGTGGGTCCGATGACCTCTGAAATTATACGTACTACTCATGACGTCTCGGGAGGGTTAGTATGCGTGTCTCACCTACCGCCATTCAGTATGCAACACAGGGTGTGAGTTAGCCTATAGGAATAAAATAAACCGTTAAGTGATTACTATCACATTATAAAGAGACAACACACATATCCCAAAACCTTTCTTCCGTGGTCTCGTATTGTTCTGTGCATGCTCTCAATCTCAGCCGCTTAATATTGTTCTTGTCTTTTTTTTTTTACAGCATTTACTGTAAGCTCATTAAAAATCAAACTTGATCAACACTGGCCTATGTTCAATTACAGTGCATACATTTCAACAGCCCAGTTTATAACACCAGATCGACCGCAATAAATTAAAGATATTGGTGAATTGTCGCCTGACGTTTGAAGGAAAAAAATATTAAATTGCGTCTTGTTCGTTGAGAATGGAATTAAAGAATAAAAGTAGTTACTAATTTTTCACATTACTCTGCAAAATATTCAAAGTTAGAACACGCCGATCAGTGGCGAAGAGGATAAAAGTAAAAAAAAAAGTAAAAGGGTGTGAGCTCTTTTAAGACCAGACTTGACCAACACTGGAGCAGGTTCAGGTACATTCAGGAGCCGGTGCATGCCCAGTACTTGCCAACAGTGCGTGACAGAGACGTGACCGATCACCCGGGCGGCTAACAAGCCGATCAGTGGTAAACAGTGGCGTAGCTAGAGTGTGTGCCGCCCGGGGCGGCCCTTGAGTTTGCCGCCCCCCCCGCCCGTGCCCCCACAAAAAATACATCAATTGTTGCTCCACGAGCAATCCTAATTTCCAACTCCTTCCATTGTGTGAAATTCCGAACGTGAGCTGCACTGGATTCGTGCTCGGATATTCTAGGATTCAGTTTCCACCATATGTTGAATCCATCCTCAGAATTAAACAGTTTGCAACAAAAGCAGTAAAGAGCTTCCTTGGAAGGGGAGTACACCATCCATGATCTCAACATTCTTTCACCATTTGGCAGAGTTTGAAAAAACCATTCGCGTGTTAGTTTTCTAGTTTGTCCTTTGGTTGACACACCTTCACGAATTACTTCACCAAAATCAGAATCTAGATTTTGAACCACAGACGCACCTTGACGTACCAGAAAGATCCGTGTGTCATTGCTAATCTTGCTTGGCCATAGGCCAACATCTTTTATGTCCACTCTGTCCACAGCTGGTCCCGGAATATTTTCTTCTTCATGTTCTTCATCACTTGAAGGAGTTGAAGTTGACGAATCGCTTGAAGTTGAACTTGAATCCCTTGAATTTGATAATGATTTGGTTTCTATACGACTGATGTATTTAAAGAGTGCCCCTTTATTCTTGTTTAATACTTCCTCTCTTGCCTTTCTCTTTTTTCTATACACAGCACCACTTTCTTTAGCTCGCTTCATCTGGGGACAGAGTGATAGAAGTATAAAACATTAATTTTTCGAGAAATAAATTCACACTGCATGTTTAAAATTAAAAGATAAAAAAAATTGAAAAAAATGACGAGAACTTTAGATAAAAGTGATGAAGCTAAATATCACAAGTCACAAATTCTACACTTTTAACAAATAACACATTAAGAAAAAAGCTCTGTGTAGCAAAAGAATGCTTTTGTGAATTTACAAAAAAAAATTTAAAATGTATTACGTACATTATTTATTATTTCGGCATTGCATAATATAAAAAAACGCTATTCCAAAAGTAATATGCATAGGAAAACATTTTTTCTTAAATAGCATTTCCTCAGCATATATATATATATATATATATATATATATATATATATATATATATATATATATATATATATATATATATATATATATATATATATATATGCATGCAGAAACTTCACATCATGAAGAATAGATGCACAATAACCACTGGAGAAAGGAAAGACAAGCAGCAAGTACTTTCGTTTAATACATCCTCAGGCAGAGGATGTATTAAACGAAAGTACTTGCTGCTTGTCTTTCCTTTCTCCAGTGGTTATTGTGCTATATATATATATATATATATATATATATATATATATATATATATATATATATATATATATATATATATATATATATATATATATATATATTATTTTAGGTTAGGTTAGGAATCCGTTACATAAAACAATTGTACTGCACCGTTATCTTTTATTGAGTATGATCTAAAATCACGGTATAATGACACTAGTATCAATGTAATACAATGGAAATGTAAAAAGTAGCAACTTAATCTAAAATTACAGACTCAGAGTACAGTGAAAATGGATGTCTGACATAAGCCCCCCCGACAAAAGCCACCCAGACGAAAGCCACCCAGACAAAAGCCCCCTACTTTGATCGGGGTGGCTTTTGTCTGACAACCCTAACCCAACCCAACCTAACTTAACCTAACCCTAACCTAACCAATAATTAACCACAGAGAAGAACAGTATATTTTACCCTCAACTATTTAATTATGTCCGTAACTTTTGAAAGCCCTTACTGTTGTCAGACAAAAGCCACCCCGATCAAAGTAGGGGGGCTTTTGTCTGGGTGGCTTTTGTCGGGGGGGCTTTTGTTTGTACCCCATTGAGGATAGTGTCTTAGTATAAAATCGCAATGCTGTGAAACAAAATCTTAATATTTAATCTCAGTACCGCAGCAAAAGTCACATCAATATTTTTTAACCAATACTTTAATATTTCTTACCTTATAGTATTATGTCTTCCAACGAAGTAAATAACTGGATCGAAAACACAAGAGAACTTAAAAGTCGTCTAGCCTCCCCTCGTCTTGTCACGATGGAGACTTGTGCAGAACTGAAGTGAATTGCTTGTAACTGGTGGATTGGTCGGCTGTACATGAACTGATATGACCCGAGACTGCATGGTTTTGCAGCTACTGGAGACGTTAATCCTTCCCTTTGTATCGGCGTTAAGTTAATCCTCGTCGTGTCTGACCTAACACCTGACCCACACCACATGAGCTCACTGGCGTACTTGTTTGAAGTTGTTTCCTTAATCCTCAACAGGTTACAGGTTGTGTGTGTGGCGGGGGGCCTCATAGCAAGGGTGTAGCTCATGACGTGGCCGTGATGATGTGGGTCAGGTGTTAGGTCAGACACGACAAGGATTAACTTGCCGCCGATACAAAGGGATGGATTAACGTCTCCAGTAGCTGCAGATATGGGTGATGAGCAGACCCAAAAGTGCCGCCCCCCAAAAGTGCCGCCCGGGGCGGACCGCCCCCCCCTAGCTACGCTAGTGGTGGTAAAGAGGATAAAAGAAAAAGAAACACTGGACGAATGCATATAATTAGTTATTATTGGCTACAGTAAATCTACTTACACAAAATCTTTTCTTTAGACAGTATCATTCTTATTCAGGTTGTCACGGTATAGAACATTGTAGCACTTATAACACACTCTTGCTTAGAGAGACAAATACGGGCGACATGTGGACCTCCCTGTCCTTGGGCGGCTGAGCCACCCATCAGTCATCAAACTTGATACATCCTGGTGTGGCATCCCTACGTTACCAATTTCACATATTGCAACCCTTAAAATCTCTTCTAGATAACTCTTCTTTTTGCACACAATTTGTTTATCAGTAAGTAACTATTGAAAGGAGCAAACCAAATTAGTGATGGAGTGGTATTATTACCTTCTTATCGTGAATATGTGAATTGGGGCAACCAACCCTGAATAGGAAATTGCTGCCTTGACTGCCCTTCGTCCTACTTAACCATTGGCTGAGTCTCGGGGCATGGCTCGCCAACGTCGCTGATTGGCTGTGACGGCTAGTAGTAAGACAAATAGTACCTGTATATCAATGGAGGCAGGTAGCATTTAAATACACCATATGTTTACTTAAGACATATGGCATTGCATCATTTTTTACTGAAGATGACACTAAAACATTGGCTCAAAATACTAATATGGAATTACTTTACTGTCCTCGAAATAATTGCCAGACTATATTGTACTTTAGAATGTATTAAGTAACCTCCTATTCCTCAACCTGTGCACTATGAATACTTTGTTGATATTATGTCTATTATGTAAATAAAACTTAAATGTGAAGGGAGAAAATAATACTGTACTGTATACTGTTAGGTGAGGTCGGGGAATCACTTAATAATCAGATAATCTGTATTAATTTTGTTTTGAATATATTGACCCTGGTGTGTATTATATTTTACTTGTCAACTCAACTGGTGTATGAACTGTGGAAGAAAACTGTATTACTTACCTCTTGTGTGTTTTTTTTTTTTTTGCAGAATATATTGGCCCTGAACCCTCGCATCACCAGCCATGCCACCTTCCAGCCCTCTGCCATCACCAAGGATAATAAGAAGCACTGGAAACGCAACAAGGCGAAGAACTGTGCTGTAAGTCTTTATGCAGACACTATCTTTTCTGTATCTCTTTGGCTCTGTCTTCATTGTCTTCCTCTTTGCCTTCCTCTCATGATTTTAGATTATTTTAAGGTTGGGATAGGTTACTGTTGAATTGAGGAAGAAACTGGTCCAGATTCAAATATTACAAAGGAAATTACGATGGGATGGGGGAGGAGATGAAGCAGGGGTGGATCCAGGAATATCAAAAGAGGGGGTCCAAGTAGTTTTGGGTGGGGGTACATGGCGAGCAAGACGAGCCCATCCAGCTGGGGGTTTTGGAATCTGACCAATATCATGGGCATTTTGAGACCATATTGAAATTACGGTATGTGCAATTGATATTAGGAGATATTCTGAGGTAAATAGTAATTACTTTTTACTTTACAAAAGCTCCTGATTACAATACTATATTAAAGAAAAAATATTGGAATTTTCTGATGAAAAGGGGGGGGGGATCCAGACCCCAGGTTCCCCTTGGATCTGCCTTTGTGAGGAGTATACACTGGCCTGACTTAATAAGGAATAAGAATGCAGATGCTGTGCTGAATATCATAGCCAGTAAAATAAACCATTTGATCGATAAATATATACCTAAGACCAAACCCAGTGCCTCCGGGAATACAAGGAGACCGCTGCACAGAACCATGCAGCGTCCGGCAAAGTTAAGAACAACCTATCGAAGAGCGCTGTGACGGCACCGAGTGTGAGCTCATTCAGTGCCAGACTTAACCAACACTGGAGCAGGTTCTGATATACCTGTATTCAGGAGGTAAGGCATGCCCAGAATCTGCCAGCAGTGCGTATCAGAGACGTGACCTACTGCCCAAGTGGCTAACGAGCCGATCAGTTGCGAAGAGAATAAACGTGATCAAAGTTATATTATAGCATCTGTCATGAATCCAATACTCTATAGAAACAAATTTTGCCTTGAGGAAAAAATAGTTTTTTTTTTTTTTTTACTGTAATTTCCCATTTTGAAGTGAACATCCCTGGTCCAGATACCAATAAAAATTACATTGGAAACAAGATAAACTGGAGCAGTGTTGGTGGTACTGTACAAATGTAATGTGTTTATCTCTCATCAATGTGACCTGGTTCAAGTTTTGGTTTGACTAAACATTGGCAGGTTTCCTCTGGGTACTTCATTTCTGCCTATGTGCTAACACTGGACAATATAAGTCATATAGCAATGTAACAAGAACAGACCAGCTGCTTGAATGGTTAGCAAGCTGTTAGTGGTGAAATGATAAAAAAACCACTGGGTCTTTATACAGTAGATTACAGATTCATATAAACATCACTATTTCTAGGAGTATTGGGCCTGTAGTGAAGTACAGAGTGTATTTGTTAGATGAAAAAGTGTATAGTCTAAGTAACCCCAATGTGATGTAATTTTTATTTGGGTTCCTTATACTGTAGGCCACTGAAAACTAATATGCCATCAGTACACAGGGAGGTTCTGTTGGTCGTCTTCACTCTGTTGCTCTCTAAACCTACCACTTCCTCAACAGAGTCACTGTGGTTTGGAGAGGAACTTTGACGACATCAAGCACACTACCCTGAGTGAGAGGGGCGCCCTCCGTGAAGCTGCCCGCTGTCTCAAGTGTGCTGACGCTCCCTGCCAGAAGTCCTGCCCCACACAGCTCGATGTCAAGCAGTTCATCTCTTGTATTTCAAACAAGGTAGTGTTGTTGTATGGTTGATGTGCAGTTATAGATAATAAATTAGTACTGTGCAGCTATATAAGTCATATAGATTTTATCACGGCTGTACAGTAAAGTTGAGGTGGATAATATTGACTGGCTTTTGCTCACAATGTTGATGACAGTATTGCTTCAAACAGACAATAGTACAGTATAGCTTCACTTGTGAGGGTAATAGAACTTAATATATAAAATCAATAAAGGTGCAACACAGATTCAAATATAACTTAGCACTGTCAAGTTGATTTGCTCTTCTCTACATCTCTACACCCTGTTATCATTTTTTAACTCAATTGTCTCATGAATCAATCTCCAAATATAGATTAAAATAAATATGACTTATTAGACATAAGTTGTTTAAAAATTGATGAAGTTCATATATAAATTTTTGGTGTAGGAGAGGGAGAATTTACTGTCAATCCAACTCTCCCTGTTTATGAATATTACACTGTACTCAAATATAAAGGTTTATTGCATTGATATTTCAATTGCCACTACGAGGAAATAATTAGTTCAGTATGTATTAAAAATTCATTGAAACCTTTTATGTGGTTTGATCGACAGAATTACTATGGTGCAGCTAAAATGATCTTCTCAGACAACCCCTTGGGACTGACCTGTGGGATGGTGTGTCCCACCAGTGACCTGTGTGTTGGTGGTTGTAACCTCTATGCCAGTGAGGAAGGTCCTATCAACATTGGAGGCTTGCAGCAGTTTGCAACAGAAGTGAGTTAACTTAAGACAGTTTTATGACATAAAACTTTTTGAGTAAAATGGATATATTTCCTATGGGTCCAGACAGTATTGTAAATTTTTGCAATAAATTTAACTTTAATGTTATCACTTAGCAGACAGTGGCATTACCAGAGGATTTAGCCTCAAAATACTTCTCATGCATATTTATGAACTAATTTTAATGTGAGTGTTCAGCTGTGGGATAGGTATTACACTTGTTAATATTCTACACTGTATCCAATGATCTCATTACCAAAATGGAATATTTATACAGTATTTATTTATTTTTTATCTTTTCACCACACACTGTATTAGCTTACTAGCCATTCAGGCAGTTGGTTTGCTCTTTGTTTTGACTTGTGTTGCCCAGTGTTAGTCCATCAGGAAACCAGAATACTGTACCCTGAGAAAACCTGCCATATTTGGTAGTGTCCCACTGGATAACTCCCTTCTCACATCTGTCCTGGGTTGGGGATTGAACCCAGGACATGGTAGTTAGAATACATGTGTAACCACTATACCAATTTAGTGGAGGGCTTCTTTTGTTTTTGTCAAATTTCAGGGTGACCGTAATCTTGTCTCTTTATCAGATATTCCGTCAGATGGAGATTCCCCAAGTTCGGCCACCTGACTTACCAGCAGACCTTCCTGAGAGCTACGATGCAAAAATTGCACTGATTGGTCAGTTTCTATAATGTACTTGTCTGTTACTAGCTTTTTGTAGCTGTCTCATGAAATTTTTATTCCCCCAAAATATATTACACTAGACTCTCGATTTAATGTCAGAGTGGAACTGGTTCAGTTTAAAAGTAAAATAGAAGAGGACTTTGATTCTTCTATGTGTACAGTATGTAGATGTGGTACCTCTCAGGGTAAGCTTGATGTACACTCACTTCAAAATGTATCTTTATGAATTTGTGTGAGACAATATGATGCAACGGATGAAGTAATTTTGACAACCCTACCAAGACAACAGGAGTCAGTGTTCATTTTGAAATCATCGGCCCCTCCGTTAAGATACTTTTCATAGTACAGTAAGTGTACAGCTCTTCAGTTTTCGATATATAGTATAGTATAGATAGTCATGACAGACAGTAAATATTTTATAGCAATTAATGACAAAATATTTAATTATCACAGGATGTGGACCAGCATCAGTCTCCTGTGGAACATTTTTAGCGCGACTCGGTTATCACAACATTGACGTCTTTGAGAAGAGTGAATATGTCGGAGGTTTGAGTTCTTCTGAAATTCCACAGTACCGACTCCCTTATGAGGTGGTTAATTTCGAGGTGGACCAAATGAAGGACCTTGGGGTGAAAGTACATCATGGCCGTAAACTTTCTCAGTCAGATATAACCATTAAGGTAAAAAAAAAAAGTTGTTTTTGCTTTGTGATGTTCATGTGCAATAGGCTCTGGAAATTTGCTTTACTATACAGTACACTGTTATTGCAAAAAGAGGTAGAGCTTTAGTGTCTTCAACTTCTTGGTGTAATTTTAGAAGTGGCAACCAGTAGAACCTTCCATAAACACATTAGTCACCATCATTGACCATATATTGTAATGTGTTTCTTTTATTATTGTTTCATTTATCATTTATTTTATGGAAAAAACATAACTCTTTACATGTAATTTCAGAACCTGCAGCAGAAGGGATATGAAGCTATTTTTGTTGGTATTGGTCTTCCTCACCCTAAGAAAATTGGTATATTTGCTGACCTTAACATTGACATGGGATTCTATACAAGTAAAGACTTCTTGCCCTTGGTGACAGGAGCCAGTAAACCAGGTGAGCTGTTTCAGATTTCAGTTATACAGAACTTGCTTGTCATATTCATAACTTATAAGCTATTTAGATTGTTACCTAATTCCCATATACTCATATCACAGGATAAGATATGATATATGTATAATTCACATTCTTTTGATAGAAAATTTAAAGAATAAAACATTTGATAAGAAACTAAATTCATGGTTAATGTATCAAATTCACTTCCTCTTATTTTAAGAAAACAATTTTGTCATAAAAGTTGAATCCTTATTGTTTTCATTGAAGTCTTGATTTATATATTGAATGTAATTATTTAAAAGATAAGTGAATAACACGTGGTAATCTGACAGGGATGTGTGCTTGTAAATCTCAGCTGCCGTCAGTAAAGGGTGTGGTGCTGGTGTTGGGTGCTGGAGATACTGCATTTGATTGTGCTACATCTGCTTTGCGCTGTGGGGCAAAGCGTGTCTTTGTCATCTTCAGAAAGGGTTTTACAAACATTCGGGCTGTCCCTGAAGAGGTGTGTATTTGTGAAGTTATCAGATGAAGGAACCTTTTCATACAAAAAAAGTAAACTGTTCTGAAACACAGTAACAATAGTATATCAAGAGAAGCATGTTTTTAAATGAAGTAGTGATTACTATGCTTGAGATAACTTGTGTAGCAATTGTACCAGATATTTGTGTAAATTAGCATTACCGTAATACTAATCCATATGAATTTCCCTTATTTGAGTCTTCCTTTTTCCTCACAATATTTTCTCATGGTTTATATATGTACATTTTTATTTGAAATTAATTTACATTATAAATAGATGTCCTCAAAAAGTTTTCTTGTTCTCAAGATCTTAAATGAGCCATTCCTGAAAATCCATTTGACCATAAATTCTACCACACTCCTATTTCAGACAAAGTTTTACATGTACAGTAAGTGCTTAATCCTCCAACATAACACGTACAGTAACATGTACAGTAAGTGCTTAATCCTCCAACATAACACGTACAGTAACATGTGCAGTAAGTGCTTAATCCTCCAACATAACACACCATACTTGTAAACCATCTCATTATTTTCCTCTCATTTGGTGGTACACTGTAGAACATTGTCCTTGCAAGTAAATTTCCCCAGGTTTGATTCCTACCCAGAGTGAAGGACAGGGTTCACTCTCTGCACTAATTATTTTACACTCAGCAACAAAGTGAGTGCTATAATCTCATGTTTACTTACCAGTGGTTGAACATGTCTTTGGTGGACATGCATCTTGGTATGATTCAAAATGTGGCTGTGACATTAGCTGTGCATACATTTTTTTTCCTTATCTTTAGATGGAACTTGCACGTGAAGAAATGTGTGAATTCCTCCCTTTCTTGTCACCGCTCAAAGTGATTGTGAGGAATGGTAGAGTTGCTGCCATGGAGTTTGTGCGGACAGAGCAGACTGAAGATGGATCCTGGATTGAAGATGAAGATCAAACAGTGAGGCTAAAGTGTGACTACATCATCTCAGCCTTTGGTTCTGGCCTGTCAGACCCAGATAGTAAGTTATCAACTTCTCATAAACAATTTTATGCCATCACAATGAATATACTGTACAGTACTGTACTGTCATGCCAAAACATACACATTTGCCTAGTTCATTTGTCTGTACAGTAAGCTGTGCTGCAAAATATAAGAAAATGTTTATTTATTTTGTTATTACTGTATAATTATTATTTTGTTGTTTGCCAGTAGCCGTACCCTATTTCTCCAACCGAACATTCAATAACGGAATGTTTTTCGAGGTACATGATCCTTTCGGATAGCACAGGATATCTGTATAGTACAGTATAACTTCAGGTAAAATGAATAGCTATTGATGCTTCTTACTCAGGAGGTGTCTTAAGTACTGTACGGTATATGGACAGTCAGATAATATTTTTGGGGGACATTGTTTGATATCGTATTCGTCAAATTCATCTACATTTGTTTTGTTTTTTTTGAGTGTCAAAACTTATGACTCTTCCCTGAAACAATTTTCTTCTGTTTATGTATCACAGATTATCATAGCTAAATTGCTCTTGTATTTGATATTTTGTAATTACTCACAGTTCAGGCAGCTTTGGCGCCCTTGAAACTGAATCGATGGGGCCAGCCTGAAATGGATACACTAACTATGAGTTCCAGTGAACCTGGAGTCTTCTGTGGAGGAGATATTGCTGGTGTTGCTGAGACTACAGTAGAAAGTGTCAATGATGGAAAAACAGCTTCATGGCATATTCATAAGTATCTGCAGGTAAGAAACAGTAGATTTGAGGAGCATTTGACTGAGGGTGGTGTGTACAGTCTTGCAGAAGGACAGAAATTAGATAGTGATCACTTACCATCCTACTAGATGATATGAAATGGTGAATTATTGATAGAGATATGTAAAAGATACGACAATTCTATTTACCATAAAAGATATGCTCTCCCGATTTGGGTTAGCAGTGTAGTGATCTATCTATACACTTCTGGATAATGCTCTGTAACTTTGAGTTTCCTTTGGCTGATTGTGTTCAAGTTTTAAGATAGATTTTCTCATTTTCTCACATGATATTTACATGCCAGGTTCAGTTTTGGTGATCACAGCTTTTACAATTCCAGATTATTGACCCATATTTTTTTCGGTCTTATTTCTAAATGTTCGGTATTATATCCCTGAAGGCAGAGTTTTAGTATCACTTTCTTGTTATTATTTCTTCCTATGAATGGTCGAGATGTTCCCGTGCTGGGTACAATTAGTGCAGTTGCAATTTTTATGTAGCTATGTGATGACTATGTTTATACAGTCATTATCTTATGACATTAATCTCTTTCATGTAACAGTCTCTCCACGGTCTCTTCGTTCCCGAGACTCCTCAACTTCCTAAATTCTACACACCTATTGATGATGTAGACATCTCTGTTACTATCTGTGGCATTAAGTAAGTGATTTTACCCGGTAGTTATACATTATGCTGTGTTATAGTTGATAATTAGATCCAAATATGTATACTACAGTGAACCCTCACTTTACGCAGTCAATTGAACCCACAGGGTACCGCGGAAAGTGAGAAACGCGTAAAGTGAACAACATAACATATGGGATTAATTGAAATAGAGACCGGGCCGACCCCCAAACTCCACTTTTTCAGACACAATACCTACGTTGTAGTAAAAATAACTTCTTAATTTTATGATGGTATGCACACACAATTAATAATTAAGAGAAATATCAATAATATTAGGTTTTTTAACACTTACATTAGTAGAAAAGATGGCTGGGCACACAGGGATGGGGGGTTGGTTCCGAGGCAGAGGGCAGATTATTGGCCCTCACACTTGTATCAATTGTATCACTATCCACCACAGAGGCTTGCAGGGCCTCTTTGTCAAACCCCTCAAAGTCCATATAAGTCCATATCCTCACTATCATTATCACTATCACTGACTTGGGCCGGCTGTGGTGGGTGGCGGGTGAAGAACTCGGTAATGTTTTGATGACTGGGCGACCTTGTGCGCACCCTGCTCGCACCGCTCTCCGCGTAAAAGGGTACACACACCACGGAAAGTGAGCATTCGTGTTCGGCAGGGTACCGCTTAAACGTGGAAACGCATAAAGTGGGACCGCGTAAAGCGAGGGTTGACTGTATACAAAAAATTATTCCCTTTTTCCCCCTAGCTTATCCATTTCATTTGGGACAACTGACATATGTTCAGTACATTTATTCCTATATTCTCAAACTTTATACTACAGTCGGCCTTAGCATACGCCGGGGTTAGGTAACAGAGATACCCGTGAATGTTAAAAATCCGTGTATTTTTGCTGCCCCCCCCTTCCAAAAAAAAAGAACCCTGGCCCCGCATGTCCTTATTTACCGTATATACCTGTGTGTAGTTCGAGTTTTTAAGACCAAATTTTGGGGCAAAAAATTGGGTGTCGACCTCTAAACGGGTAATAGTTTCGTTAGGTTGAAAAATATTTACCAGTAACTACCAGTAAACAATGGAAACGACGCACCACCAGCTGTGAGTGTCGGTACAGTTGCCAGGGCAGATCTCTTGCGTCATCATAGCAAGCCCAAAGTAGCCAAATGCATGGTATGGTAGCACAGGACGATGTAAAACATAGTATTCATTTTTTAAAGTTTATTTATAGATACATAAATTTTTGCCCATTACATTTGAAACATCAATCTTTGTTAATTAAATTTGAAACTAAAGAAAACTATGATACCGTATTTCTAATTACCGGGTATTTTCATTAAAATATTACATCACAAGTATATTTTACCTTAACTGTGACTGAATGAATATATTCTCAGAAATAAATATGGAAATGTAATATTTTTGCTGAAATGACGTACGTATTACAGTGGAAAGTGAGATAAAACCGTGACGAAAACAATGACTTGCTTTCTTTCGTTGTTCAAAAGATTTTACCGTAATCGCTTTTTGAATGGTTTTCAGTTAAAACACTGTTGTATTACAATAATATTCTATCCTAATTCACTTGAATAAATACTACGATACCATATTTCTGAATATTTTCATTAAAATCCATCAAAATCATTTTCCTTGTCATCGTCTTCAGCGCCAAACAGCTTCTCCCAGTCTTCTCCTTGAACAGGGCTAGAGGGTACGTGTTTTTCAAATTGTTTTCAGTTAAAAAACTGTTCCATCACATGTATATTTTACCTAAACTGCGCCTGAATGAATATATTCTCAGAAATAAATAGTAGTTTTGCTGAAACGTGATGTATTTCAATGTAAAATAGGATAAAATACATGACGAAAACAAAAGACTTTACCTAACCTTCCGATGTTCAAAAGATGATACTCGTTTTTTTAATAGTTTTTGGTTAAAATACTGTTATATTACAATGATATTCTATTCATACTGTGCTTGATGTACTACATTCACAGAAATGTAATATTTTTGCTGAAATGACGTACGTATTACAGTGGAAAGTGAGATAAAATCGTGATGAAAACAATGACTTTCGCTTTCTTTCGTTCAAAAGATGTTACCGTAATCGCTTTTCAGTTAAAAAACTGTTGCATCACAAGTGAATTAGGATAGAATATTATTGTAATACAACAGTTTTTAACTGAAAACCATTCGAAAAGCGATTACTGTAACATCTTTTGAACAAAAGAAAGCGAAAGTCATTGCTTTCGTCACTTTCCACTGTAATACGTACGTCACTTCAGCAAAAATATTACATTTCCATATTCTCAGAAATAAATAGTAGTTTTGCTGAAACGTAATGTATGTCAATGTAAATTAGGATAAACTACATGAAAAGAAAAGACTTTACCTAACCTTCCGATGTTCAAGATATGTTACTGGTTTTTTTAATAGTTTTCGGTCAAAATACTGTTATATTAGTGATATTCTATTCATACTGTCCTTGATATAATACATTCACAGAAATGTAATATTTTTGCAACAACATTGCTGATGTCAACACAAGCGTGGTTACAGCGAGACTGACTGAGTGAGGGTGACGACGCGCTATGTGTGTGTGTGAGGTAGCGGGAGCGGGCGGTGTGCAGTGTTTGGTGCCGCGTGCGATTTTAATGTATTTCAATAACTTCAATGTACAGAATATTCCTCCGGCGGGGCAATCCGCGTATTTGCGAATCCGTGAATGCTAAACCCGTGTATGTGAAGGGCCGACTGTATTAGGTGTTTGCTTGCTTTTGGCTTTTACTGGTGGACTCTCAGAGACTCCATACATGATAATGTTGTTCCTGCGCTCGAGATGATTGTGGAGTTTCTTGTCTCATATAATTTATTGCTGTAATCTTTTCAACATTTCTGCAGAGCCTCTAACTGCTGTATGACATTTTTGGGAAGATAACCAGGAATATACAAAAGACTAAGGCAAGCTGGGGTAATACTGTAGGTTGAACATAAGCATTGTAGATGTAAGACTGCAGTAATGTGGCTTAGCAACAGATGTTTGGGTCATAGATTGTGTATATTATTAATATAGGGTTATTTTATTAGGGAGTAAGGCAAGAGATCTCATTTGATTGTGGTGACTATATATTGTTTGGAGTTTAACTATGAACAACAAAGTTTTTCATTTACTTTTCATTACTATACCACTTTTGTTTGTATATCTGGTAAACAATTAAAGACTAATGTTCAATGTAAAAAGTGCCTTTTATTAAATTTTCTGAACTTACACCTCACTCCCAAATTAAAAGATAATTATCCTATTTCTCTCCTCAGATTTCCAAACCCCTTTGGTTTGGCGTCTGCTCCTCCAACCACAGCAGCACCAATGATGCGTAGGGCTTATGAGGCCGGTTGGGGCTTCTGCGTCACAAAAACATTTGTGTTAGAAAAGGTGCTTCTTCACTGTACAGTAGTGTACTGTTGAATTTTCCTTTTAGATTTTTTATTATTTTTTTCTTTTTATGTTAGTTTTTAGCACCTATGATAATGATGACATAAACAAGAAGGATGAAATGTATTGACAGATAATATCATGTCAGTCACTGGAAATCCAAGACACAGTGTCATGATTATATCTTCCTCCACAGGATATTGTAACGAATGTATCACCGCGTATAGTGCGAGGGACAACCTCTGGTCACGTATATGGTCCTGGCCAAGGCTCCTTCCTTAATATTGAGCTCATCTCTGAGAAGACATGTGCCTATTGGCTAAAGAGCATCACAGAACTCAAAAAGGACTTTCCAGATAAAGTATGAAAAAGACAGTAACCTTTTGATTACTTTAAAGAATGTAATACCAAATTTAAATACTGTACAGTACACATATACATTTTGGTAGAAAATATAGTACAGGGGTATATATAATCTACAGTTGACTTGAATTAGTGTACTAATCTTTACATTGCAAAAAAAGTCTGCTCTAATTTTATATTATAATTCTAATATTTTTATCCTAGGTACAATAAAGTGTCTGGTGATCTTTCCTCTGTAGTAAGTGTTAAATTCTTAACATTGGTATTTTTCTTTTCTTGAAGGTCCTCATTGCCAGCATTATGTGCAGCTATAATTCTCAAGACTGGATTGACCTGGCCAAGAAAGCAGCAGATGCAGGTTCTGATGCTCTTGAACTGAACTTGTCTTGTCCACATGGCATGGGTGAGCGGGGAATGGGCCTTGCCTGTGGCCAGGTGAGCAGTGGTAGTATTTGTTTATCTTATATCATAGAATAACATAAATGTTTTTATTCAAAAGTTAACTTTGAAGCTGAGCTCTAAAACTAATGGAAAATATAAAAGTATATACATAACCTGACCTGACCTGACCTGACCTGACCTAACCTAACTGTACATACATACATGCATGAAGTAAATACAAAATAATTCTTTTCTTCAGAGGATTGTATACATTATTTATACTTGAAAAATGTAAGAAACACCAGTGTCTACGCACCATTTAAAAATATTATCAAGCGTTGGCTTTGTTTTTAGTTAGATAAATCATAATTTAATTGCCTAGTGTCCATACTCTAAGCAGACTTTTTTTCTCATTAGGATGCAGAGTTGGTTCGAAACATTTGTCGTTGGGTACGTTCTGCAGTAGACATTCCCTTCTTTGCAAAGCTCACTCCTAATGTTACCAACATTGTTATAATTGCTAAGGCCGCATATGAAGGTAAGGGCACATACTTTATTTGTTAGATATATATACTGTATATAGGTTGTGTTCATCATATAAATGCCATGAAAATGTCAACTGAAATTATCATATATAAATCAGATTCTTGCTACATGAGTAATTGGTTGAGATTTTGTGGTTGACTTTATAATGTACAGGTACTCCTCGACTTACGACAACCTGGACATATGACCACTGTGATTGTATGAAATATTTTTCAAATCACGTATTTTTTAGTACAGCACTTACGTTAGTGCTCGCGCTGTGTACTGACAAAATTTTCGTTTGTAATTCCATTTAAAATGGCTGGCAAGCGTAAAAGTGAGAGTTCTCGTGGTGCTGAGACGAAAAAGAGACACCCATTTTAGAATTTCTATGTATTATTTTCGCGTTTTCGACTTATGACCTGGTCGTCGGGACGGAACCCCGTCGTAAGTCGAGGAGAGACTGTATATAGTTGTTGGCATTATGTAAATCAAATTTTTATTCTCTTGAACGTTTATTTAAGTTTGTCCACAATATTGTCAAAGTGCTAAAAGGGAAAGGAAGAACATTAAAAGTTCCCATGAATTTAATAATGTTTTAACTATTCTTTGATGTCTAGCTACACAAAAATCATTGGTAAGACTTCCTATTCTCAGAATAATATTAAAGTTACTAAATTAATAATAATGATCAGGGAAGTACTGTACTGTAATACGTTTATATTAATACAGCCCAAAAGGTCTTCATTAAGACTTAGTAGCCCAAACTGTTATCTTTTGTTTTTATGCAAATACTGTATACTGTTTCACTGGGGGTGCTGTACTGTACATCCCTCCCATGATTTTTATTTTTATTTTTTTATGATTTCTTAAAAAGGAGGAGCAGATGGTGTCACGGCCACCAACACAGTGTCTGGGTTAATGGGTCTTCGACCAGATGGCTCAGCTTGGCCATCTGTTGGCAAGGAGAAGAGAACAACATATGGAGGAGTGTCAGGTAAGGACTTTCATTTGATAATTTAGGTAAACTGACTTTTCTGTGTCCTTCATGTGCAAATGAATTTACAGGTATCCGCCCTTATCTGAAAGATGATCCAATAAAAAATTCAAATTGCTCGTGCCCGGGCAGCCATCTTGAAGAATTGTACACTCCAATTTGGTAATGTACGTATGACTGTACATGTACTGTATACTAAATTTTAGTAAGTATGTTTTTTTGTTTTTTTAAGGTACTGTACAGTATAATACAGTACGCATTGGGGTTTTCTTGTTGCTAGGGAACCGAACCCTAAGTTTCCCATTTGTTGTTATTTGCCAACCAAAAATTCAGTATCCAGTTGGTTCTCAAGAAACCTAACCCATTCCATCAGATCCACTGTGGTGAACTGGTTCTCATTTTTTTCATTATGCACAGCTCAGTTGGAGGCTGTTATCGTTGATGACTCGTTTTATGTTATCACCAAGTTTTTGACGCACATTATGAGAGTATGTTTAAAGTAGTATTCACATTTGCAAACTAGTATATTACATTTAGAAATATAATTCCTCTGAACTTTTTCTATAGTAATTCCCTATAACCATTTCTTAGGTAATGCAATTCGACCAATAGCTCTCCGTGCTGTAACAGCCATTGGCCGAGCCTTACCTGATTTTCCCATTCTGGCCACTGGTGGTATTGATTCTGCAGATGCTGGATTCCAGTTCTTGTTAGGGGGTGCCTCTGCTTTACAGGTAATAGGATCAGTTCAGTTCAGTTCAGTTCAGTTTTAATCAGAACATCATCATACAAATTTACATTGATCTATCATTTGTATAGACAAAGCAAGTACTGTTTACAAAATACATACACCAGGTATACAAAGGACCTAGATGTTTATTTACAGTAGGATGTTTAAATGCATGATTTCCATTATTGGTCGGGAAAATATCACTTCTAGAATTACAAATTGTCTTTTCATATTGTGTTTCCAGATAATGTCTCAAGGATTAATTAAAGGTGTGCCTGAAACTTTAATCTTACATTTAATAGCATAAAGCGTGCTAGGTTTAGTGTTCTAACCATTTCAGGAAAAAATTTCTGTATTTCAGTGGCATTAATTTCATATCTTTCTTTCTTATCCTCTTTGACAATGGTCAGCTCACTAGCCAGTCAGGTGGTAAATTATTTCTCTGCTACACATTGTTGGGAAGTACAGTACTGGGGCATGAACGGGCTCTTGATTGAATCAAAATTTGTGCCAGTGTTCGTCAAGTCTAGTCTTAACGGAGCTCATACTCGGTGTTATCATAACATTTTCAGATAGGTTATGCTAAAGTTTGACAATTTACTGCTAAAAAGTTTGCTCTGACATTTTTTTGTACTTGGGGCTTCTTTAACTTGAGACTGTGACCTCTAGTAGGGTAGACATCTGCTAGTTAGTTCCAGATGTGAACTTTTGACAAGGGCATTGGGTGTCTTGAGGGCTCTTAACAAAACTTTTGAAATCTCTCTCTCTCTCTCTCTCGGGCAGGGGACCTGAGAGAGGTGGTGGGCATGGGAGAGGCAAGCAACTTAGTGGGAAATGAGGTGATACAGCAAAACAGGTATACTGCTAGTACCTTTATGCTATAAATTAATTTTTTCTGAACCCATAGGTGTGCAGCTCAGTGCAAAACCAGGACTTTACAGTCATTGAGGACTATATTCTTGGCCTTAAGGCTTTGCTTTATCTGAACTCATTGGAGTCAAAGAAGGACTGGATGGGTCAATCTCCTCCTACTCCTCGACACCAGCTTGGCAAACCTATAGTGACTCTGAGCAGTGTTATTGGCAAGGTGAGTGATCTTCAAACCTTTTTGATATAGTTCTTTATCCTCAACATCATTCTTACAATGTTCTTTTGGGGTTTCACTGAATAGCTAACAAAATTTATACACTCAATACTGACCATTTTAACACAAATTGTCCACAGGGCCTCGCCAACTTTGGTTCCTATAGGTATGAGAAAGAGAAAATTGTTGCAGAATATAAAAGTCAGGCAGACATTTTAGAGCCACGCCCTGAACATCGTGGTATTGAGACTCCAAAATACGGCATCCCATCAGTGCAAGATATGGTGGGCCGAGCCTTGTCTATGGTAGGAACGTATGGAGAACTGGACAACAAGCAACAAATGGTTGCACTTATTGATGAAGTATGTAAATATTATTCTTGTATGTTTTTAGGCATGGATATGTACAGTATTAGTGCCTATTCAAAATACGATAATTTTAACTTGATTACTACAGTACAGTAGTAGTATGATGTAATCCTCAGGATGCACAGTTTGTTTATGTAGATTTGTCAGAGAAATGGAAAACAGCAATTATAATACTTTCCTCCTCCATTAGCTTCCTGATAAAAAGCATGTTTCCTTGAACTGATTAAGCCATCCAGCTTGGCTTTCTTCACTTTGCTCTCACTATGCTGCTGTATTTGGTGGAAGTGAATAGGTTAACATAGTACACTGATCAAGTGTTCAGGACAACCTGAATCTTCCTCATTTCATGAATTGACAAGTCAACCCAAAAAAGGTTAAAGTAATCAGCTCTGGATACAACCCGTATCTATAAAAACTTGTGTATTCAAAATGTAAATCTCTAAAGCTGCTATATTTGGGGGGATAAAAGGTCAAAATTTAAGGACTTAACATTGAGAAAGGTGCCCTTCAGCATAAGTGGGCATCTTACTCAAGTACAGTGTACAGTAGTATATGTTATGAGATAAAAGGTAGTTAATATGATATAATCACCATGCACACATTTTAGAGGGTAAATATGCAATGCTATGTTAGGGATAGGAGTGCAGTAGCTGGGCAGATACGGTAGTGTTGGCCTCCTGTCCTAACTAAGGATTGTAGGTTCAACAAGTGATCGCGGGCACCTTTGTGCCCAGTGAAAGTTTGAACGCTCGTGCTTGGCTAGCGTACAGCGAATGAGGGTGCGCCAAGTCCGTAGACTTGCATGGTTAATTAGGGTGCGCCAAGTCCGTAGACTTGCATCGTTTTCCATCGTAAATAAAATGGTTAATTAATGCCTTCCTAAAGAAACCATCGACATGGGACCAGGTTTGTTCCACTCTTCGAATTTTTTGCGATTTTTCAACTAAGTTTGATGAAAAACGATTGTGCCGTTTCGGCTGCCCAGAACAGACAGACAGACACACGCCTAGTCCTATAGTATATTAGATTCTAGGGCGCACCCAGTTCACCCATCTTTATAAGTGAGGAAAGTAAAGGCAGCAGAGTGCAGTGTCGGCCACATTGCATTACGTGGTTTAATACACAGTGTGCTATATTAACTGATCCCATTGGGGAGTCATGTTCATGGGAGTCCTCCTCACTTTCATGTTAAAAGATGTCATTATTTAAAATAGAATTGTCTATAGTAGTGAATAATACCAAGCACAGCACTGTAACAGAACAGGAAATACTGTACTGTACAGTTAATTATTTTCTTACCCCAAAGTTACAATAAGATAAACTGGTAATTCCCCGTGCCAGTTTAGGTAACTAAAATGCTGGGAGCAAGAGAGAGCCTTTGGTACAGATTAGTAATTAGGAAAATAGAAAGCAAAAGTAAATTAATTATTGCTCGAAAGAAGGTTGGATGTCTTCTTAGACCATTGGGGTTTGCACCTACATGATATGACTTGATTGATTGTTAGGCAAGTCTGATGGATGATAGAAGGTTTTACTGTGGTATAAACGTGTACTAAATGTTTTTGCACATTAAAATGTAATCCAAAATGCCATAAGAAAATAACTGTAATATATTACTCTTTCAGGAAATGTGCATCAATTGTGGTAAATGTTACATGACATGTAATGACTCAGGTTACCAAGCTATCTCCTTCGATCCCAAAACACATCTGACAAAAGTAAATGATGATTGCACTGGATGCACTTTGTGTGTATCTGTGTGCCCCATTGTTGACTGCATCAGGTATGTTCAAGGAAGAATATTTTCACGCTTTGTCTTTGTTACTTATATAGTTTGTTTAGACACGGATATAGTACAGTAATAGCTTTTGAGGTCATGAAAATATTCAAACTATTGTACAATGTAATAAACCAAGTATGTAAACTTAATTTATACTATATATATCATTTAACAGAATGGTTGATCGTCAGGGTCCATACATTCCAAAAAGAGGCATCCCTCTGGACACAGGAGTTGTTCCCCGAATTCCTGCAGTGGCACCTGTTGAACTAACTTCTGCGTGATTCCTCTGATCTTTTTATGTCTCCTCACAATTCTTGTTATTATATGTGTTTTTACAAGCTTCTTCAAGTAGCCAGTCGTAAGTAAAAGAAAATATTGATTTGTCTTCAAATTAAAAGTAGCTAAATAATTGTGGTATTCACATGTAAGACTCCCATAAGTTTTTAAATTAATAATGCCCTAAATTTTTAATGGTCACTTTAACTCCAAATACTGTATAAGTAAATGTTACACAGTTTTCATAGTAGAGCAGGACAAAGCAAGTAAGAATATATCTAATACTTAACAGATAACATCATTGCATTTGAATGCCATTGGTTCAAGTCACTAACAAAATACCATGTATGTAGTCACACATTTAATAATTCTTCCCAATTGAAGTAGTGTACATCATTTAGTTTTCATTTTAATAATTCATTGTATAATACTAATAATTAGTGAAATAATATATTATACACAGACTAAGTACCCGACACTTCCCCCTAAACTCTTGGGTACAAAAGCAACTATTTAGTTTTCTTTAGAATTTCCATTTCTGGTTCTTGGATTCACCACTCCTAAAACACAAGTTGGTACATTACTTTATTGGAGGGCTCACCACAGGGGGTAAGGGGTGGCTTGAATTGAATTTGAATTTTCAATTGAACTATCTTTGAGATAAGCGGGGAGTGCTTACATATACTGTAAAAGATGTGTAAGAATAAAATTTTTGGATACCAAACATTGAGATAATGAAGGATGCCTGCACATACCATGCATGCATTACTACAAAGTTAAAATCATATGTCTTGGTTTGGCCTCGCAGTTTCTCATTAAGTTTCAAGCAATTCAATTTCTCGTAAATATAAAATTATTGTATTGCATGCACTTTACCTACCTATAACGTTTAATAATAGTTTACTGTATAATTATTACTTACACTAAAATTTGACATTAGAAACTTATTTTGTAGCTATATATATTTTTTTTTTCATAGGAACGTATCCAATTTTTTATAATGGGAGTCTGGGAAAATGGCATTTGATATATGAAAGGTTTTCCAGGAACAGAATCCTTTCATAAATCAGGTACTGCCTGTATTATTATTATGAAGTTACCAGTATGTAGTGTATAGATTTTTACTTAAAAGTTGTAACTTTTTCCCAAAATACTGTACTGTAGTTATTTATGAATGCATGTATAAAGGAATATTTCGCTATTCTCACCAAGCATCTTCCCCAATTTACATTATTTCTTTAGGGGAAAATTGCCCCGATATTCGCAATGAGTTTTAGGAACGCATCCTGTTAAAACCGAGGTATTCTTGTATATTTTTTCATTAAAGGTGCTTAGAGGAAATATTAGAATGTTTAACTTATATACATTGTTTAAAAAAACAAACAAACATTTCGACTGTTTATACAGAACTGTATTAAATTACAGTATCTTAACAGCTGATGGCATATTGAAAATGGTAATTTATGAAACACAGGTTGACAATCCCTTATCGGAAATCCTTGGGACCAGAGGCATTTCGGATTTTGGAATTTTTCGGTTTTCAGATTTTTTTTTTTTGCCCACCCGGGCACAAGTCACTGACCACATTGGGGCCTGGGTGGGATATAATAAAAATTATAATAATAATAATTCATAGGTTTAGGTCATGTTTCTCACTTTTTATCTTTTTTCATTCTTGTATATTTCTTTATTATTATTATTATTATTTTATTTTATTAATACAGTATTATTGTAATTATTATTATTATTATTATTATAAATTTTATTATTATTGTTATCGTTATTATTTTATTTTGGTGCATTTTTTAATTAAAAATTTTATTTACTATGAATAATTAGTATTACTATTACATTTTTACCCCCCAGGCCCCGATGTGGGTCAGTGATCTATGCCTGGGTGGGCTAATCCCTGTTATATAAAAAAAACTTTCGGTTTTCAGAGCTTTTCAGTTTTCGGATAAAGGGTTATCAACCTGTATACGTATTAATACTTTTATTAAAAAGTGCTTGGAGGAAATATTAATGCATTTAACAGTTTTAACACATGTAAATTCAGTGTGTTATTTTGCATGTCATGTAAACATTGTCAGATGCCATACTGAGTTTAGCAAGCTCTACCAAGTAATCACCTGGTCAATGTTCCCAATACTGTACTGGTGGAACTTACTGGTTTAGTCCACTAAATGTACTGGACAAAAAGGCACCTCTTATTGGGAACATTAAAACTTGAGAAGTCCATTGAGAGATTTTTAAACTACTTGTGTTTGAGTGCGGTATGACAGACAGGATATGAACAAATCAATGTATCATCACAACTTTATATCAGAAAACGGTGGAAAAGATACAAGAACTTCTCCTAGCTATATTTGGCAGTTATCTACATACTGAAGATGTTTCTAGCATTTTGAGTACCTAAGTCCATAATAAAAAATTTTCATACACTTCTTTTGAAATTGGTCATCAATTTTGTCCTTATTTTTGGAGTTCTAATCTGTGTACAGTATTACAATCTTAAAAACTTTTCTAGAATTATAAAAAGCATTTTAAGTCAGTATACAAGTTAAAACAATTGCCATCACACTCTGGAATGCTCTCGAGTTATAGTAATAACTGGCAAACCTGAAGGGGAATTAGCTTGAGTTCTAATGCTTGCTTACATATGCAACACTACAACGGGTGCTCCTCTGAAGTCTGTTACTCCTTTACCATGTGGGGGTACAAAAGCTTATTATATATGGTCTTTACATCTTACTTTATATATATATATATATATATATATATATTCAAAGAGAGGTTTTCTGAGTGGGTTTCATTTTGTTTAACTTGCTGAGTATATTATAATCATATGATCCTTCATAAGTGTCTTCTGGTGATGTCTCGTCAATCTCGTACCTGTAAACAGAAACAGAAATTTTTTAATTCTTTGAGCTTGTTATATTCTTAGAAAATTTACAAATACAGTACAGTGTGAATATGTTTTTCTGTACTGTACATACTAACACATACTGTATATACCTTTGCAGTAGTATCAAAGTTTTCAATATTATACTTAGCAAAACAGTGATGGGTGAGCGAGTCCAAATTGCATCTTCCCTTACCAATTGGATAATCAGAATTTTCCCTATTTAATAGTGTACTATTACCTGTACAGTAGTACCTTTTACAACTGAAGTTTGTGCTTGAATACTTTCCTGTAATTCTGTATTCAACTGATCACAAAGACCTTTTGTTTGAGTAAATTTCACTTAACAGTCCCAGCCAGTGTTGTGTTGTATGGAAACATCTATATGAAGATCTTTTTCTTTCCATTTTTATTATGTGTGTCTACATCACTTTGTCCATAGTGACATATGCTATAAATGTATTTATTGATTTTAAATAATGAGAATCTGCATTACAATATTTTAAAGTTTAAAAAGGGCAACATGAAACATTAAATTAAAACTTACTTGCATTTTGTGAAGAAAGCCATACCATCAGGGTTGTGTTTGAATACAGTTAGTACAACCTTATGCATCTGATTTGAAAATGCCATTAACTCCAAAACTTGCATCATGAACTTTCCAAGGCCCTTGTTGCGACAATCTGCCTCCAACTGCAGTTCATAGCTGGTAGAAAGTTGTAATGGGGAAATGAGATACCACATGGTTTTGAATTTAAGTACACAATAAAGAGTTAGAGGAGTTATACAATGAATTCTTAAAAACCCTCATAAAATGACTCGTTACAGTAAAAACTTATTATTGTAAATTTACAGTAACATCATAGAATTCTAAAGTCCTTGATGATTCAAAGTTTGTTTAAATTACCTAGAAATATCTTGTAACCATATGGGTTGAAGTAATTGAAAGGTATACAGGTATATAGAGATACGTAGAGTGGGGAGGGGAAGCTTAAGGAAGAGACGAATAAAATCGGTAACTGAACTACTAGAGTACAATCGGCCCACAATTCACACGGATTATTGTGCATAGTTTCACCTACACATAATTCATCAGTCACCAGAGGATCTATTTATGGAACGGAGTTTAAAATTCAGTAGACAGAATACATCGACTCCTTACAGAGAAGTGTACAAAGATTGGCAGAATAAAGCAAAACAACTGACCCTCACCAAGGCTCCTACCACCTCCAATGCATTCTTTTGCAAGCATATCACCAGTCACTCCTCAGGCTGTTTGGGTGAATCCTCAAACTTCTGACTCCAACATTATCATCATCAACACTCTTAAAGATTATTAGCAAATCTAAATATCATTACAGCTTTAATGTTTTATTGTATGTGTATGTACATTAATCTTTGGTGTTTTTTTAACAAGGTTTCTATTTGTGTTTTTCAAGGACCGTGTAAATTAAGGACCGACAGTATAAGGTGTTCACCAGAGGAATTATAAGGTACTGGACAATAAATAACTTAGTATATACAGGGAGATTAAAAACTGATATAAGAGAGCACCTTAGTAAGTTAATGCACTCACTAACATACCAATATAGAACTTCATCTCCATAGTCCATATCAAACCGGAAGTGAGAGAAAGCTACAGCTTTTTCTGAGGTTGTATCAATAGCCATGAGATACCATGCAGCATCTTCCATCATTTCTTCTCTTTTCTCATTCTCATGCCACCCCTGGGTGCTCTTCTCATACCTGACAAAAACATAGAGATTAAGATGATTACCTGATCTAACATGGAGATACTGTACTGTACTACTTAGCGAAATTTAGGGTAAAGTTGTAGATAACGGCTACCACCAGAAGGAATTGGTTGAAATTTTTTCTGCACACTAATATCATATTAAACACAAAAATGGAAATGACGATGCACAGAACCTGACCTAACATACCCATAGGTTGGGTGTGTTAGGTCAGGTTCTACGCATTATCGTGTTAATTTGTGTTAAACAATTTACCTTAATACTGAGGTTGATATAAATCAGCAATGGCGAGGAGGAATTCGTGGAACCGTTCACCATCATTTATAGGAAACGTCTCTTGAAGAGGGATTCAGTGAGGTAAATAAAAATGGCAACGGGAGAATTGTGAAGCGGGATAGAGTAAATAAAAAAAATGCTTAAAATCATAATAGAAAGTTTCTTTTAATATACTTGAAATCATCAAAACAACAAGAACAGCAAAAATAAATAAAATCAACAAACAACTTCTGGTGGTAGCCGTTATCTACACCTTTACCAAATTTAGTTATTAAAGAAGTAAAATTTCTTCATTATAACTCTCCCTGTATTCACACTATATTGCGTACCTTCTTTGCTAGTAATCTCACTTCTATAACAAAGTAAACACTAGTGTTTGGCACAATTTATATATCTAACTTCTAATAATTGTGAAAGCAAGACATAATGAACAATATCAAGAAATTAACAAAATAACTTGCAAACACAAGAACAAAATGCCGGTCTAAATATATCACTTATATTCAGTACATCCGCTAACAGTTTTGGGGTTGTGCAACAGTTATAAATTTTTTTTATTTTTTTTTATCCTTCCAATTATAATAACTTCGCATAATTTACCAAGATCACTTAAAGCTCACTACATTCACATTATTAATTCTCAGTGTGTAAGTTAGCCTATGCCCATTTGGTATGTAGTGTTTGGAGAGGAGCAAGCAGATAAAGTGAAAAAGGAAAAGATAATTTGTGCAATATTGCCTTAGGTGAGAAATATGACTTGCAACATTTTGAGAGGTACATGATCAGTATTAAAAAAAATCTATGATTCGTTCTTGCTAATAATGGATAACATACACCCTCATAATCAAACTAGCCCCTATTTTTAACTCGTGCACTGCATTATACATAAAAAATAAATATAGAACATGTTAAATCAAAACACATTAAACAATTGAGGGGCAGTCTTCTTCCAGGGTAAAATAAGTGAAAAAAGATCTTCGGGTATTTAGTGTGGCCTTAGAAGATGGTAGAGTGTGGACACAACCCTACTGTGTGATTGGTGCTTGGCCTGGGATGTACAAATTGCATCATACTTGAGACTAAATGATGAGTTACTTTAAGAAGAAATTTCATAAATTTTTATTTACATTACAATATGAAAGTTTTGTCCAGTCCCTTTTTGGTCTTACACTTTACTGTACAGTGTAAACCACACATTTATTTCTGTGGTGATGAGATCCTTCTCACCTGAACACAGTACACCCACCTCTCGTTTTACGCAGGGGTTACTTTCTTGAAAACCACCTCTTTATTAAAAAACGCGTAAATTAAACCTTATTTTTTCCCATAAGAATACATGTACAGTAAATGGTACACGTTAGGGGAAGCATCATATACCGAACAGTGCTCTCACTTAAACCAAGCACGCGGCCAACCTCCAACACATGCTCTCTTCTCTGAAGGCGGGTGATCACATTTAATTTCACGTCCATTGTGATTGTTTTTCGTGCCTTTTTAGCTTTAGGCGCCCCAGAGGAGGCAGATGGATGTTTTCCAGACATGCTCATTGGGGAAAACAGCGTTTAACACCAAAAAGGTACTTTATAGTAATAACTTACAAGCACCTCACCAGGCATCACACACGACCAGGCGAAATACGCACGACAAATTTAAACACGAGAGCGTTTTTTAAAAAATAGGTGCCTGTAAATTAGCTTTTGGTATTAAATGAACAATTGCATTAACAATCACTCGGCAATACAAGGTGTCATTAACTAATCGGAGAAAAAAAAATATTGTACAAGCTATACATAGGACAAGAGAGCAACAAAGCAGCAGAACAGAGGAAATGCAGAAGACACAGGGAAGGTGTTGGGGTGGGGTGGATTGGATCAGATGTCTTATTAGCCGAGGACGGGTAATTCAACCTTTAACAAAGAGAGAGTCTGTAATCAGACTTAATTTAGCAAGGACTAGTAAATTCAGATTGCTTATGACAAACAGCCATATCAGGGTAAATGTTATTATATTTCTGCATTGTAAAATTTGTTATCATAATTTCAACAGTTTGAAGTATCATGCCTAAGAATATCACATGTTTAAGAATGTACATGTTCTTAAAGAATTCCAATGCCCCTAAACACTGCATTATGTAAATGATTGAATAGTAAGTACATAAACTGTCATTACTGATGGTAGATTATAGTGAGTAATAGAATAAATGTGAAATGATGTAGTACAGTACTTACAAAGGCTGCATGTTCTGTTTACATAAATCAATTGCCCACTCCAGCATGTCTGGGTCTAAATCTTTGACACGCTTACATATAAGCGTGCAGCTCAGTCCATTGCGCTCGTACTTGTTAAAGAATGGGAATTTTGATAGTGGATCCGGCTGGAATTTGTTGTATTATTACAGTTGATGCACTAATAAATGTTACAGTATTTTTTTTTTAGATTATCTTTATTTTTTTTTAGAACTTTATAAATATGACCAACTTAAATGTGTCACATACAAAGAAATTAAAATCATACTTGATCATTATGTATGAATAAGTATAACAATAATCACATGACAAAACATAAAGAACTGATATACTATACTGTACTTCTGAAAAGTGTAAATCCTTATGATAATTTTTGCTGAAGAAACTCCTCTTTGGAACGGACTTCTGTACATGACGACAGAGTAACATGAACTTAAAACACACAGTGACAACAATAAATAAAATGTTAACTTATACTTTTTGTATAGAAATAACTAATGATGTAAGTACATACTGTTAAATTTATATAAAATTTTATGTTTTTACTATAATATCCGATTAAAAAAAAAATCTTACCATTGCATTAGCTTGGTTGACTAGGAGTTGAGCTGCAGCTAGTCTAGCTCTCTCGGCCTTGAGAGCTGTTCTGCGTTCTTTTCCTTTCTCCTTAGATTTACTCTTCTTCAGCTGTCGTTCCTGTATTAACACACAAAGGATACTGTAACACTAAGCACAAGACCTACTGTGCTTTAGAGAGGTTCATGAGCCTAAGTAATGCCATTAGTACTGTGATGGATGCAGAGATCACACTGGATACTTTAAATCTATTAACTATAATATACATTTGCCAAAACGAATGAAAAAATTGTAACTTCAGTTATTAATATGTTTAAAAAAAAAATCAAGACTTGGCAATAGTGATCAGCAGTGCAAGCCCTTGAATAGCATACCATATTTTATATCAAATAAAATGGAGTAGGGTAATTGCATGATAAAATATGGTGAAACTCTGATCATATGACACTATAATGCTGTCTACTCTACATGTCTTTGTATGTGAAGAAATGAATTATTTACCATAAATATTCAGCCAAAAAATTCTGCTGTGTCGGCACGTGTCGTCCGCTCTTTGTTTAAGCTTTGACCAAGCAGGTCACTAGGTCTGAGCATACTCTCATGTCCACAGAAAACAAAATTACACCATGCTGCTTCAAGAAAGTTGGTTTTATTGGTACCAGATATCAAAATAAGTACTTTCTGTTTAATATGGAGGGGTTTGCCCCCGGCCAAGTTAGGTAGGTTTCTATGGTTGGTTAGGTCAGGTTCTGTGCATTGTCATAAATTTTATTACTATCACCCAAAGAACATACGTGGAAAAAAAGGAACGAAATCGTACGTGTTCTAATGTTTGCCATCTCCCCAGTATTACCCCAAAAAATTGTTTCGACCACACAGGACCTGATTGGTGTGGTTGATATTATCCTTGTGCTATAGTGGTCTTTCCAGAACGTCACACAATACTACTACATGTATTTCCAACAATTCTCAGCATGTTTTCAGTTGTATCTAAGTGAAACTGGTGTAACTACAACAATTCAGTCTACACTTAAGTTACCACAGGGTAAGTCTGTGGTCTAGCACACACGACAGCTTTTATTAAGGTGATGCGAGCGAATTTTTTGGCTGACACATCACAAGTCATATTTTACACTGTCTGAACCTATACGGTTAATCCTAACATCCATATGAACTACCAACGCTCAAGTACGTACATTCATTGTGCTGTGTTAGTGGACGTTGCTCTTGGTTCAGTGTGGTGTTAATATATCCTCAGCGCAGGTCATATATCCTCATCATTGGACGCGGGAACCTATCCGACACCACCAGCCAGGGCCAACAAGCCTATTGTGTCGGTAAATAACAAAAAAAATATGTGATTATATTTTTTTGTTTATCTGAAATTCGTGATTATTATCACCTTTTATTAATTAACCATTATTTTTTGCCAGGTTATAATGTAATGTATAACTATTCTTAATATTATTAGGCTTGTATCTGCTTTTATTTAGCCTATTTAGCTCTTTTTCATCTATAAAATACATTTCCAAAAGAACTGGATATGAGGAATACATTTTTACATTAATTTTATTTCCACTTGATTATTGTTGTATTTATAGATATACAGCGTAAGTTATTTGGTTCCAGTTTGTTACTCAGCTTTTTACTTAAGTTACTCGGGTTACTTAAGTGTGCTCTGGACAAAGGCTTTACACCCGCTGAATATCCACATCTTCACTTACTTCTGTAACAATGGTGGATGAGCTAATGGCTTTACAACATAAATTCAGAACAATATATTAAAACCGTCCAACCAGTTAGTACAAGTGGCGGAAACGATAAATAAAGTATAACACATCTTTATCTGCCGATCATTTATCTAGTCGTCTCTCGGAATTCATCACCTACTGTAGTGTATACTGGTTGACCTATGCGGCCATAATATTGACTAATTATACTGTATTTGTCTGAGTCTGTTGTGTTGGTCTATCAGACAACATAAAGCTGATTTTTTTAATCACCGGGAGTTGGCGGGTGAATGTCCCAGTAGAGGTTACAGCTTCAAGTTCAAGTAAGTTAACACAGGAAACTGCCAGAGCTAATAACTTCTTTGGCGTTACTTGATCAACACTGACACATGTTTAAATGTATTCAAGTCCCCCGTAACATGCCCAGAACTTGCTAACGGTGCGTACATTAGAGCTGGCCGACCACTAGTGGTTAGTGACCTGTCAAGTGGTGACAGCCGTCAAAGATAAAGGAAAGGTATAGATCAATTTATATATAAATATATCCCGGGAAAAACATAATTGCTAACATTTAGCGAATGACCATAGAATCCTTTTAATAGATTAGATTAAAATTATGAATAGGATTATTTTGGAAGCAAGTTTCAGTTCGATGTATCCAGACCTTCATCAACCTGTTAGATAGCAGTTTATAATTATAAATGAAACTACTGGTTTACAGCTAAAACAGGGGCATTAATTTGACCTTGCGAGATGCTGTAAAATTTTGAAACAATCTTTCATTGGGTTTTAAAAAGCATATGAATAATTCAATTCAATTCTGCATATTAATAAAAGAATGCATACAAACTATATAAATATTCAGAATGCGTAGAGTTATTAAATCTAGCATGAACACCGGGAGTGGTGGCAGGTGAGGATGACTGGCTGCTGCGTGTGGTGGCAACAGTGTCTCTCAGTCGGGGTCTAGCTAGTGGTGTACGTGGAGGCTGCAGCTGGTGACAGTGTAAATGTGCTCCAGAAAGAATTTGAATTGAATTAGAGAAGGTTATTTATAGTCGTTTCAAGATGCCTAAGCCCGATTTCCACACGGTGGAATTGAACAAGACGGAATGGGAGGTGCCTAAGAGATACACAATGCTGTCTCCCGTGGGGTCGGGGGCGTACGGACAAGTTTGGTGAGTACAAACTTAACTTTTATCTCCTGAAGTAATTCTTTCATAGGTGAGGCTTAATTGTGGGTGACAGTTAAACTACCCCAGGCAATTTTGGAACATAATTTAATTCACAATAATGCCATTAGGATTTAAATTACTAGAACCTCCACAAAGATCATTAGTTTCATAACTATTCCCGATTGTACTGCAGAAGGTACTCGGGATTGGTGCTATCAACTAGATGTTGAACAATTTTAAGTTAATGTCTTATATTGTGTTCACTTTTAATGTAGTGAAGGTCATTTAGGGTCGCCACTTTGAGAATGGTCAAAATTAGGATTTTTTTGCAGTGTTTTTATGGTAATTGTGTTGTTTAATGAGCTTATTGTTAATGAAAGAAAACCTATTCTGGATTTTGTCATATATATATATATATATATATATATATATATATATATATATATATATATATATATACACAGTATGTGTTTTAATTACTAGTATGTAACTTCAATGGGAGAATGAGGAAAATTACTGAATTTACTGAAGATGCATGTGATTAACCGCACTAGAGGTCACAGAGCCTGGAGTTAAAGAAGCTATCAATAATAATAATAATAATGATAATAATAATATTTATTCATAAAAATTGTCAAGCAGGTTTACAATTGGATAATTATGTTTATTATGTATGGATTTAATCAGTGCAGCATGAATTTAGTCAATGTAGGTACAGTATACAGTACAACAACATAAGAATGGAGGAAACTGCAGCGGGCCTATTGGCCCACACTGGGCAATCCCTATCGCTCATATATCCACCCAACCTATGTTTGAAACTACAAGTAGACCGTGGGAATACTGTACTATATAATTTTATGTGTGCCAAGACTGCAGGTAAACAGTAAGGAAGATTTTTTTTGCATGACCGCAGACACCAGGTACCATCAAATTATGTTCACTCCCACAAGTGCCCTGCTGGTACATATCCCTAATCTTTGCATGTTTGTTGTTAGATACTTGGGCACAGTCCATTGAAAATCCTGTAAGCATGATTCAGCTTCAGTTGCTTCACTGTATCTGCACAGAAAACTATAGAGTGCTAACATCTCTCGAGTAAGATTTGTGAACGCTGGAATAACCTGCCAGTTACAGTATCTCGCCTAACTTATTGTGTTCTTTGAAGCCAAGATTTCCCACACTGAAACATGTACTGTAATAAGTAGTTCAAGCTCCCATACACGCCCTGCTACTAAGCTGACAAGTGGCAAAGAGAATAAAGTGAATTAGGTTGTGGCCTCAGTGTTCATGCTTTCAAATTACCAGTTGTATATTTAAAAACACAAAAACTCATATTTTAGTTAGAATGAACTACGGTACATACATTATTACTGTGTGTGGTTAAGTTCTTGTTAAAATAAAAAAAATCAAAGCTTACATATTTGGGTAATACTTTACAACATTTTGAGGGTGATATTCTCTAAGAGATGGAAAGAAATAAGTTTTTCATAATATTTTTATTTTATGTAATTTTTTTCTCCATGTTTTGTTTGAAGATTGATTTGTTGATTCCCGCTACAGAAAAAAAAATAGATGATAAAACATAACTACTGTAGTACTTTTTTTTTAATGTTGGGTCAAGTACATTAGGTAGGTTAGTTTGGATTTTTTTATGGGTATTTTTATAGTAGTTCACACAACATTCCTACCCCAAACTTTTTATCACATTCGAAAAAGACATCTAATTTTAAGATAATTTTCTTCTATTACATTACCGTCAGAAACGTATAATAACAGAAATAGCGCATGCCAAATCTTTCTATATTTAATTCCATTAATCTTCAGCCATTATAGCCTACCCGACCTCCCTCTCAGCGTGTTGCCTTCATAAATTTGCTATATTTTTTGCCCAGTCAGATTCGATTGTGATTTTGGGTCTCATGCTTCAAAATTCAATTTAATTTCAGATCATGGTAGTCTGCGATGGGTGTCACTTCAATTATATGGAATTCATTGCGCTTTTGGGGAAAAAATGAACAAGCTATAGCATTTTTTAAATCTCATAGTGCTCTTCCGACCTCAGTAAAGATTCTAGTTCGTAATTAGGTAAGAAATAAAGGTGATTCCCCCATAAGGTGAGAGTCTGGTTACGTAAAAAACACAGTGACAGTTAGGTAAGGTAAGGTCAGGTCAGGTTAGGTCATCCCCCTAAAAGGTTAGGTTTATATGCCTTTCTCATGTTTTTTTTTTTATGTATTTTGTATTCACTTGGCCATGATTTTTGTTGGAAAATGCTTGTTTCTCTCCCCCACCCAAACCCCGGTTCCCAACAGGATCCCTTATCTTGTTGGGGGTATAAGGGGGGCGATAACTAAAAAACAGGCAATTTCCGACGGAAATCAAAGTTAGAACCAATAAAAAAACAAAAAAATACACTAGAAAAACAGTCTTGACTTTCTAACAGAGTTGTGTGAACTACTATAAATTTATCATTTTATGAAAGCAAGTTTACTGATGTACTGGTATCCATTGTTTACATCCGAGGCACTTCCATAAACTTGCCCGCTACTACCATGGTATATGATTAATCCAAGATACAATGAATCATCCTAATATACCTAACTTACCTACGGTAATCTGGGTTAGGTTAGGTAGGTTAAATTTCTCTATTTTATTTCTGATAATTCATATGTGGCAGGAGCTGGTAAGTTGTAGCGCTCAACCATACATATGTTTGGGATGGAAAAATGGTAGAAATAATATTAGGTTAAAATTATTCCTACCCATTTTAGGGCTGGTAAGAAACCATTTATCTTCTACTGAATAATTTCCTCAAGTTGTTGGTTAAGGAGCACAACCATTGTAAAATATTACCAATATTTATCAGGAGTACTGTACAATATATTATTTTATACAAAGATGATTTTGTATCCTCTCCCATTTCAATGTCCATAAATGTTGTTTTTTCTTATTTTTTTCAGTTCAGCTAATGACTCTAAAACAAATACCAAAGTAGCTATAAAGAAATTGGCTCGGCCCTTCCAGACACATATTCATGCTAAGAGAACATATCGGGAGCTTCGCATGTTGAAACACATGGACCATGAAAATGTGAGTACCGGGTATGCACCTGTACAAGTCTGGGTTTATGTAAGGTGGGCTATCCAAGGACAAATTTTACTGTGATACATATATATTTTGTATCGGTTTGCATACAGTACGTACAGGTTTGAGAAAGAATTGTGGAATTTTCTGAGATAAAGTGGTAATGCCAAGTACATACATCCTTTAAATATTTGAGTAAATATATGTGTGCATACTCTATAAGGTACTGTATCGGTAATTTTTAATTTATAATGCTTGTTATTTGATGCAGACCCATAACAGAAAAGTTTAGAGTGTTCTGGAATTTTCCACAAATTGCACATTATTTCATCCTTGTAATTTGTTCCTAGACCTGGAAAAAAAAATGGAGATATTTATAAAAAAATGTGACTGATTTTTAATCTTAAAAACTCGTTCAAAGACCCAGAATTGAAAAAAAAAATCCAAAAAAATTCTGGGTCAATTTCAATTCTGGCTGTTGGATAGTTGTAGGGACAGGAATTCCGGCTAATGGGGAGATTATTATGTTGTTTGTGATTCTTTATTTTGAAATAACATATTTTAATTTTTTTAAGCAATACATTATTTTGCCCCTTGAAACAGTGTCCCCAAATTAAGTTGAATTAGGTTTTGTCAGGTTCCTGGATTACAGTGTACGTACAGTATTTGTATGTTAACACTGATACACCCAGTACAATACAGTGTTACATCTGCTGGGTTAAGTATATACAGTAGATGATTTAAATCTTATGTTACTACTCGTCATACTGGTAGGACTGCATATGAGCCACGTGAAGAGACCTGCTTCTTGTGTTTCCTGATAAACACGTCTTGCAATGCAAGTTCTTATTCGACCTCCCAATGTACTGTCATGGTTGACTGACTGCAGTGTCTTATACTGTCCATAACTACTGTACTGGTAAACCTGGTGCAGTACCTGGCTTCTCACTGACATAATCTATTGTTGATTGGTTGGTGGGGAAGGGTTTGTTAAGGTAGCGTTCTACTCGAGTTTGAGGTATATCGGAACCTAAAAATGTATGGTTAAGATGTGAACCTTGTATTTATCAATCAAAGTTCCATCCTCATGTCTCAGGGTTGGCAGTCACAGTTCTCCACCCTAAAAGTTATCGGGCTGAATTTACCCGTCTTCTTAGGTTATGCATCTCTCCTGGGACCCAGCTTTTAATTTAATTCATCCATTTCAGTCTCTGTCTTTTGCCCATTAACATTACTGTATTAATATTCCGGGGTGGGGAGTAGCAAAGTATATTTACTTCATTATACTACTCGAGGAACTTTACTTATACTTTCCTTTTATATAAGTCCCCTCATAAATATTCTACTCTGCTTTTTCTTACAGTAAGTAAAATTAAGAAGAAATTATCTACTTTTACTTCATCATAGTGCAGTACTGTACTTCTTCCTTGTAAGACTCTTAAGCAAACCAGTGATATTCTTACTTGAGTAACTGTTTTAAACAGTAACAGTATTTTTACATAAATAAATATATCAGTACTTGACCCATCTCTGCTAATATGTTCCCTTCATCTCCAGAATGTAGCCAGTGTCCATTTTCCTAATTCTAAAATTTTTCTGTATTTCTCTTGTTGCTTTTTCCAGTCTTAGTACCGTACTTCTTCATTTGTTTTCCTACCAGTATAACTTTAACTACAAATTCTGCTGCAGCACCATATTTCATAGGACTCCTTCCTTTTGGAATTTACATGTACTGAGTGTCCAAGCTTATGACCTATTTACTGTACAGTATTAATACTAACCATAAATTTATTTGTTCTCGTATTTTAAGCTTGAACTGGTCTTTAAGATACGGTAATTAAATCCTGCTGATGGAAAATATTTGTGCTGTATTGTATAAATATTTTCTAGATAATTTCAAGTTTGAGAAAAGTTCAAGAAAATTTATGAGTAAACAAATGAAAGTACGTAGTTACTAAGCTGCTGTGTGTTACTTAGTAATGGATATCTTATCAGTGGTGTAAATTCTCTTTGTCACTAATCTTGTAAGAACAAAATTTAGTATAATTTTGATTTGAAGAATAATATAATACCTGTACAGTACTGTATAGCTAAAGAAGGTAACTGCACTTAAACGGTATCAAACTAGTCATTAATGTAACAATGATATTTACCTACCTGTAAAATCATTAGTGGAGATACTGTAAAGTATTCTATTAACCCCTTGTGTTTGAAGTCTTCTCTGGGCTGAATAAAGTTGTCTGGCACTATCCAAATAAAATATTAAAAGTGGCATCACCATTGTGAAGGGGTTAACTGAGTAATGATGGACTATCTGTGAGACGAAGGCTTCATGTTGAAAGGCCTCTCTTCAACAGAAAATGGTATGTGATGTAACTTTTGTCTGGTCAGTCTGTCATACAGTAATGAACTTTGTGAATTATGACATAATTTTGGGCAAAAGTGTATAGTATTTCGTTTCCATTATTTTTGCACAAGATCACTTCCATGGCTTCGTATCCCACTGTTGGTTAGTTTAGAATAATTTTAACTTGGAATCATCAGAGAGAGAGAGAAAATAATATATTGAGTGAAGTAGGGGGTCTGAACAAGGTTTTAAAGCAGGGTTATAAAAAGGGCGACTGTGACGATTTTACTGCATACTTTGCACACAAGAACTCTCTGCCTAGTGTTCTTTTAGCTCGCTTGCATGAATTGCAGAATAATTTGCTATATTGTACCACTTGCTTCATAGTTAATGTTTGTCATATTTTAGTACATTCTTAATCATTTAATGTTTGACTTGCAAGAGCAGGCATTGCCCTTGCCTTTTTTTAGTATGACAATTGTCTGAACAGTTTACCCATTTATCATTGTAACAAGCCCATTTTTGCATTAGACAGAAAGGTTGAGAAACTTTATCAGTCTGTATCTCAAAATTAACTTTTCCAACACTCAAATTGGAATTTCTCTGCCAGTTTGATCGATTTCAATGAAACAAACACTCAGCACAGGAAGAACCTTTCCTCAACATAATTCCAGAGTCCAATGTTTTCTATCTTGTAAGATTTATTTTTGGTTTGAATATTAATCTCGATATTTTGACGAAAATTTCAACTAAAGTTGAAATTTTTTTATCCTTAAAACCAAAGACAAAAACAAACATATCGCTCTGGACTATTCAATGACAATACTGTACTAGATCTCTTCGTACTATCAATTTTAAGGCAAAATAGAAAGAAGTAATGGAGAAATTACACCTTGAAAATTTAGACAAATGTGAGAAAATGTGTAGAGGGTTGAAAAATTTGAACGGGTAGAAGGGGATTATGGGGCTAGAATTGATATACTGTACATATGCTCCTTGATTGATGACAGGAATATTATAACAATCAACCAAAATTAAAACCACCTGCACCAAAAACCGGATTCTGCCCTAAGTCTTAAGGTTCACAAAATGTATGCATTAGCAAGATCTATTAAAACTTTCAAAGTGAGTTAATATCTTAACTACCCCTACCCCGATGTTAAAAAAAAATAGAAATTGGAAGGAAAACTGAAGCATAATTTTGCTGTGTGTGTTTACCTTACTGATTGTTTGTCTGGTAAACAGTTATTGAAAGTTTGTGTAATGAACCGTTTTACCTGCTTAAAACGGAATTGTGCATAACTTTGGGTATAAATCGTGTACATAAATGTGTGAAGAGCAAATTGCATGTGCTGTGATTGTTCTCCGATATGTCCTACCGTCTGGCGAGCGGAGAAGTAATATACAGTATTATCCCCAATGACTTGTTGGTATCGTATCTGGCAAAAGACTCTTGGCTTCGTTTGGTGATTACCACCTAGCCCAGTGCTTCAAGATCAGTGGTGATTATAGTCTCCTTTGTCTCGTTGATTACCTCTAAACAAATAAACTGGCCTCTGTTGATCCTCATTTGTTTCGTTTAAGTTCGTGATTGTTAGAGATATAGAGTAGAGTAATATATATATATATATATATATATATATATATATATATATATATATATATATATATATATATATATATATATATATCGCAGAAAAAATAAGTACAGGTAAGTGTAAATAAACTTAGACACGTGTGTGTTCTTATCAAAGAAGGGTTTGGTTGATTGGATTGTGTCGACTAATTTAAATCAATAAAATACCATTATCTAGTAAATCTATTTCCTGTATGCAGTTCACAGATTTCCCTTATGTGTTTACTCGGCTCTATCTTAAGAAATATCAGATGTATGAGAGCCTTGGGGGGCCGGTGTTTGTTGACGATACGATGGCGCGTATAGCCAGCAGGGTGATGGTGGCAGACGGCCAACGTGAAGCCCAAGCCATTTGCCGCCAAAGTGCGTCACTACCCGCCATTTTCACCATTATTGTTTTCGCACTCAAGCGTTGCAATAATTGCGGTTCATACTCACTGCCGACTTCCTTACATAGTATGGGAAAACAACTAACAATGCTCGCAACTAAAGGAATCCTGTAACTAATAATTATGTATTGTACCTGTACTTACGTAACCAATTTTAAGCTAGTCTAAAGTTTTCATTCTAGTGATTAGAATCATAAATATACTTAAGAATTGTGGGGTGGTGCTTGTTTCCCTTACTCGTATATATTGTAATATCGTATGACGTCGTTTTATCATTCATATCACATGGTGGATTTTTTTTTGTAGGAGACAATATCTACTCAGAGTTCAGGGAAGTGAATCCAATTTTCCGCGAACGAATTTTCTTTTTTTGGGGGAGGGTCTGCTAACCAACCATAGATGTGTGTGTGTGCGCGTGTGAATCTTGTTTTCACAAAAAACGGAACATTTTCGCGGGTAATTTGAGACATTGACTATAACGAAATTATTTTTCCAACCCTCTTGGTAATTCAGTCAATATTGATCTCGTCAAAACGAGTGGTCTCTTAATAAACATTACCTTTCTGCAGTTAACAAAAATCAGAAAGCGTTTTATAATTTTCAAATTTCTGCACCTTCCTCCCACAAACCTTCG